TTGTTCAACCAAAAGTCACTATCATACTTGTTTTTGGAATGTTATTTCCATGATTCCATGATCCCATGTGCTCTAATTTTCTTCCCAATGTTTTTTCCCACATTGTAATCAAGAACACTTTTGCAGTTTGTTCTAAGAAAAAGAGAGAAGAGAAGCAACCTTAAAAGGATCTTAGTCAGTGTAATTTGATCCATAATAAATGATAGTCAAGTTCAAGGAGGTGGAGTTGCTAGCTATCCTTTTTCTCTTTTTAATCCTTCTACTTTAAATGGATAGTTTGGGATTTGGGCAATGACGCCTTTTATCTACTGCCCCAGAGTCAGGTGAACTCGTTGATACCATTTTATGTCTGTGTGCATTTTGAAGGAAGCGCTAGCTGTTCCCGTAGACTTCCAGTCATTGCTCTAACGCTAGTTAGCATTGGTTCGTGAAACTACATCTTAATTGCCAAAATCCTGAACTATCCCTTTAATGAAATAACTGGTCTTTGTCAGAGTGACAGCAGGGGGCGGGTCCAGGCCTTGGGTGGGATGGGATTGGATAGTAAAGTTAGAGGGGTTAGACTGTAGACTGTTCTTTCTTAACAAAGTGGGACAGGATTGGGGATTATTGTTGGGATTATTTCTCAACTCAGACCTTTTTAGTGCCTGATTTATTTATTTCCTAAGAGCCAATCCTTTCATCAGTAGCTCATTTATTTGGGTCATAGTTCAGATATAACTAGACCGGAAGATGGATTTCTAACTGTATATGTTTATAATACACATTACATATAATACACATTACATATGCATAGTATTATTACATTGTTTGGTTGATCATAAACTACAGTATATCCTGTTTCTCCCTTCAACAAATTCACTTAGTGTTGGGTTGAAGTGTTACCTGATTACCAATACAATAATAGGCTATTTCTCAGAAGCCAGAACAGAATACTTTGGTGTCATGTTCTTTGTGCATATCATGGTCCCCACACTGGTTGTATCAGATTCTCTGGCACCATGAATGATTGTTACTCCTCTTAGTGAGACCCGTCAGTCTACATGCTCACAACCAACATTTTATATAAACAAAGCTGTTGCTTGAAGGTGGGATCTCTTGGAAGCGTTAATTTTTGTTTTTTCAAACTGTCAGAATGGGGGGAATGGGATATGTATGCAAGTTAATCATGTGTGATTTTTATTTTAATTCAACAGAAGAACGTGATCTCAACCACGTTATTTACAGTGCATTTTGATTTGATTTATTGTTTGACTTTGTATATGTTAAGATAGTTCTAGGGATTGTAAGAAAGACCAAGCACTGAGTTTATGAATGAGTGAACAACAGTATCTAAACTGAAGAGTATATATTGCTTCATGGATGTCACTGGGTTGCTACACCTTTCACTTTATGCACATTTATAACTCATATTTGTATATCCATATTATGGCTCACAATAGTTTTTAAGCACTGAGAATGATCCTACGCTCGTCCGGCCCGCTCATTAGGCAGGATTAGGCGGCTGGCAATTGCGGCAGATTGACGAGGGAGGCATTTTCTGAGCTAAACTGACCAAGACGCAACTCCAACAACAACACATAAAACCTCACATAATTCTGCCCAAAAACAATGACAATGTCTCTCAACCAGTGGCATATAGGCTTTTTAGGTGAGTGCAGATGCCGCCCTGTGATAAGCAGTGCCCACTTTGTCAAAGGCAGGGGCGCAAGATATTTTGCTTGTCCATTCCCAGCTCGCCTCTCCAGGGTGCTCTTGGAGAGACTCATCGCTGCGGCACTCCACCAACGTTCCGTCAAAAAAAATTATCTAACATAAATCATGTAGCAGATATAGGACATGTTAGAAAGAGTATGTGGCCTTTTCTGTAGATAAAATGTATGACAATGTAATGAGACGGACACTTTTGACATCATGCAGGTTTCTCTTATCAAATAGCCAAATAAAAAACGCACTGTCATGTTAACAAAAAATCCTAAAAACAGGATGGGTCAAAGTAAAATGGACAATATTTAATGGACAATCACAACTGTTGTCCAGGAGTTTCACCCCGTTGTCATGATCAGTGGTTTCAAGTTTGTATCTGTCAATGTTTGACAAGCTGGTTATAGCGAAAAAGAAAATACTTCTGTATTTCCCGCTGTGTAAACACATTGCAAATAGGCTCACGATAACTCCTGATGAAGTTGGATAGCTGATATTCAGAGCTTAAATTGCCCAATTGATTAGTCACAGCAATTATGACTAATAAAGCCTATGCAATGGCCTGTTTTACAAGTGGTGGGCCTTCCACATGGATGGGCATTCATAAAATGCCATTGTGGCTGACATGGTAGGCTCCTCCCCAATAAGCATGAGCCAACGTCTTTTTTTTGGGTCCTGTCCGATCTGTCTTTTTTTGGTGTTTTACAAGTGGTACGCTTACCACATAGATGGCCGTTCATAAACTTCAATTTCAGGCAAAACTGTAGGCTACACCTCAGTAAGCACGGACCGACACGGATGCCTTTTTTTGGTGCTATATGGACCGGCCTTGATTTCCACATCCACGGACATTGGTTTTTGGTCCGGACCAAATCTGAACTAATCATAGACGTCTATGTTTGGTTCAGATTTCGTCCGGTCTGGACCAGCCTTGATTTGGCCCAAACATAGACATCTATAAATTACAGATTTTCAACTTTCATTCAGAACCGATAATGAACCTGATTTCAACATTGGGAAAATACACCTTTTCAACGTCCTAGAAAATATGTATTTTAAACATATGGAAAATACGTATTTTCACCTTTCATTCAGAACCTAAATTGAACCCAACTTCAACGTCTGCAAAGTATGGATTTTACACGTCTTTTCAATGTCATCCTACAACCCCTTACAGCAACACTGCAGTAGCAGATTATTTTTGCCTAGTGCATCATTGCAATCTATAAGAGGCAGAGACTGCCCACAGAAGGTCAAGTGTTCGCCTTTTCTCATGTCCAAATAAAAGTTCAATCGACACGGGGGACCTGCCTCGAATGCCCTCTTCCCCTTACAAAGACATGGTTGTTCGCCTTGGAAAATTATTTTGACACGGAATCCAATGGTGTTTAGCCTCTGAACATCAAGTGCAGAATTGTTCTGCCGTTAACCAGCAGAAATGTTTGGCAATTGGCATCCAAACAATCAAGCTTTCGGGCCTCTGTTTGCTTAGAATCTTTTTCGAGACACTTCCTGGAAATTAATTTAACCATTTCCATGGCAGTGCAGACCTCCATCCTCACAAGGGAATCTTTTTGGTCTGCTACAGCACATGCCAGGACAGGAACAGTGACCAGGCAATTCTCTACCTGGTGTCTGTTTTTGTTTGTTTATGACCTACTTAGAAGCAGGTCTCTTTGGTTTGGCCTTGTCTTATAGCTTTAGATGGCCAATTTGTCTTAGTACCCAGGTTAGAGTACTCCTATCTTTTTAGACTCATTTGCTTTGATGCTCACTTATCCCTTTTACTTTTTTGCCCAACTGATTTTAGAAGTCCAGACACAGAAAACAGCTCAAACACTGATGCTCAAACACTGACGCTCTGAATTGTTACCCACCCAGTGACATCCTTGCCTTATGGCTAGCATATCTATAAGCTATTATGGAAATCATGATCAGAAATATTGGAATGGTAACTATGCTCACTGCATTGCTGTTTGCTCATTCATAAAGTCCTACTGTAGGTTTATTACAGGTTTATAGTTGCAACAGGAAATGACTAAACAGACTGTCTGTTATGCACACGCCTGAATCTGAGACCAAATCAACCATAGGTCTTTTTGGTGTCTGTTGTGATACCAACATGATTGGTTGTGTTGTTTCTTAACCTTATTGGGTCCTTCTGATTGGATGCCGGCTGCTTTCACATTATGATATGTCTGTTTTCAATATTTTTCTCCCTCTTAAATAGTGAGTGGCACTGTACTGCTCCAACATATTGAGTCTCATTTTTGCTTTTCTATCCTGGAAGAAAGAACATATTTTGTCATCCCTGTTCCTTGAAGATTACTCTGCTGGATCTCTCTTTTCCAGTCTGTTCATCTCTTATGCTTTTCCATTTCCAATCCTTGTCCTCTTCTTTCGGTCTCTTGTTCCGTCTGCATCAAATCATGGACATCATTGGTGTACTGAAAAAAAGACCTAGCTTCCTCTGTGACCGATGAAGAGTTGGAGGACCCTGAAGCCTGTCTTGTGGACTGCCTTTGGACCATATAAGCAGAACATCGATCCTGTGTTGCCAGTCTCTTCTACTCACATTAGCAAGAAATTTAACTATTATTCAGCTTTTTTAGACACTTTGTTCACTTCATACACTCATATTTATTCTCTCACATACATGCACATACATTTTCTGCAAGGTAGACGTTTACCATGATTTTGGTACTGTTCTCTACCTGCAAGTTTTCAGAACACCACCTTGTATAACTTTTCCTCTTTTTGACTATTATATATTATTGTTTTTGAGGTCACCGTCAATCAGAATGAACTTGTCCATTATCTCCAAGGACGTGTATTTCTTCTGCTCAATGTTTTGAATCTTTGAAATGTAACAACATTTCTGGGATGTGGGAATGACTTTGGTCTCCAGATTCAGGCATTTTTCAAATGTGTGCATATTGATAGTTATTTATCATGTTCTCTTGCAGTGGACATCTCTCTACATTTCATTTAAAAAAAGAGATGTAACATTTATTTGTATTTCAAGATGTATTTAATTTCAGGGAAAGAATATCTAAAAGGATCAGTCGTCATCTCTCTCTCAAAGAGATGATGGTAGTGAAGATGTGCGAGGTTAGGGTAATAGAGGCAGTCAGGGATTTTTGTGTGTTTGTTTGTGACTGTGTGCATTTGAGTGCCTGTGTGTGTGTTTGTACAGTATGTATGTGAGATTACGTGTGTGTGTGTGTGTGGGTGTGTTATCCCTGGCTATGGCAGGGCGTAGGTTTCTCTAACGCTCTCTTCTCTTATTGCGCAGTATGAGGAACGCTAGTGGGCTGTCCGCCGCTGACCTGGCCCATGCCCAGGGGTTCCGCGAGTGTGCCGAGATGCTCTCCAATGCGCAGAACCTGCAGTGGAACCAGAACCTGACTCAGACCCATCTTAACGGCTTCTGTCTGAACGGTACCACCCAGAATGGAGGCCACTCCCACCCTCTCATCCAAGGGCGGAGCCTCCTTAACGGGGCACCCAATAGAAAGAGATCGTTTGATAACATGGAAACCAATCAAATCAAGAAGGCCAGAACTGACGGTAGATTTTTGCATTTTTAAAACTCTATAAAAATAACTTAAACTTGCGAGGGATTATTAACATTTTCCAGTTACTTTTTTATGAGCAAGAGTTTTAGGGTGACTAATCTTTCCTGACTAGGGTTGCAAAGAAAACTGGTAATTTACCAAAGTTACCGGCATCTTCTGTAATCTATGATTACTTTGGTAATTTATAATTTTTTTAAATGTATTAATATATAGTATTCCTTTTTTTTATACACTGCTCAAAAAAATAAACACAATGACAAAACAACACAATGTAACTCCAAGTCAATCACACTTCTGTGAAATCAAACTGTCCACTTAGGAAGCAACACTGATTTGACAATACATTTCACATGCTGTTGTGCAAATGGAATAGACAACAGGTGGAAATTATAGGCAATTGGCAAGACACCCCCAATAAAGGAGTGGTTCTGCAGGTGGTGACCACAGACCACTTCTCAGTTCCTATGCTTCCTGGCTGATGTTTTGGTCACTTTTGAATGCTGGCGGTGCTTTCACTCTAGTGGTAGCATGAGACGGAGTCTACAACCCACACAAGTGGCTCAGGTAGTGCAGCTCATCCAGGATGGCACATCAATGCGAGCTGTGGCAAGAAGGTTTGCTGTGTCTGTTAGCGTGGTGTCCAGAGCATGGAGGCGCTACCAGGAGACAGGCCAGTACATCTGGAGACGTGGAGGAGGCCGTAGGAGGGCAACAACCCAGCAGCAGGACCGCTACCTCCGCCTTTGTGCAAGGAGGAGCAGGAGGAGCACTGCCAGAGCCCTGCAAAATGACCTCCAGCAGGCCACAAATGTGCATGTGTCTGCTCAAACGGTCAGAAACAGACTCCATGAGGGTGGTATGAGGGCCCGACGTCCACAGGTGGGGGTTGTGCTTACAGCCCAACACCGTGCAGGACGTTTGGCATTTGCCAGAGAACACCAAGACTGGCAAATTTGCCACTGGCGCCCTGTGCTCTTCACAGATGAAAGCAGGTTCACACTGAGCACATGTGACAGACGTGACAGAGTCTGGAGACGCCATGGAGAACGTTCTGCTGCCTGCAACATCCTCCAGCATGACCGGTTTGGCGGTGGGTCAGTCATGGTGTGGGGTGGCATTTCTTTGGGGGGGCCGCACAGCCCTCCATGTGCTCGCCAGAGGTGCCCTGACTGACATTAGGTACCGAGATGAGATCCTCAGACCCCTTGTGAGACCATATGCTGGTGCGGTTGGCCCTGGGTTCCTCCTAATGCAAGACAATGCTAGACCTCATGTGGCTGGAGTGTGTCAGCAGTTCCTGCAAGAGGAAGGCATTGATGCTATGGACTGGCCCGCCCATTCCCCAGACCTGAATCCAATTGAGCACATCTGGGACATGTCTCGCTCCATCCACCAACGCCACGTTGCACCACAGACTGTCCAGGAGTTGGCGGATGCTTTAGTCCAGGTCTGGGAGGAGATCCCTCAGGAGACCATCCGCCACCTCATCAAAAGCATGCCCAGGCGTTGTAGGGAGGTCATACAGGCACGTGGAGGCCACACACACTACTGAGCCTCATTTTGACTTGTTTTGAGGACATTACATCAAAGTTGGATCAGCCTGTAGTGTGGTTTTCCACTTTAATTTTGAGTGTGACTCCAAATCCAGACCTCCATGGGTTGATACATTTGATTTCCATTGATAATTTTTGTGTGATTTTGTTGTCAGCACATTCAACTATGTAAAGAAAAAAGTCTTTAATAAGATTATTTCATTCATTCAGATCTAGGATGTGTTATTTTAGTGTTCCCTTTATTTTTTGAGCAGTGTATATGTGTCCATATTGTCCATGAGTTTCTAGTGGATAGACCATTATGGTTCCAGAGAAAATAGTTTAGGCTAATTAATGAAGAAAGCATTTAATCAACAATGGCATTATTTTCAATTAACTCTGCAACTCTTGACTTTTTTCACAACCAGTTTGGTGCCAAAACGTTTACAACAAAGATGTATTGACATAGTAAAATAAGTGTGTAACCAATACACCAATGGTATTCACTAAGTTGATGGTTTATATTTAGGATAATGTTTACAGCTTTATCATTCACTTTTTATTTGAAAATCATCTTTTTTTATTATTTTGTATATTTTCGAGGGCCAGAGATAATTACAGACACCTGTGATAATCTGAAGTACCCCAAAAAAAGGGCACTAGATGTCATCTGATCAAATAAATAAAAAATACCTTAAGTTACCAAAATGTTGCTAGTTTACTGGTAAACTTCAAAAGTTTCCAGTAGTATTGCCTCCATTTGCAGCCCTATTCCTGACTGAATTTTCACCTTACCTAATAATGTGTGATAAAGCATCAAGTGTCATAAAACCTTTTTAAGATTCTAAAATCCTGTTGTAAAACCATGATTAACCTGGCCTGGCCTATTGAGAAACTGGTAGAATACATTGTTGTTCGCTGAATTGTGCAGCATTAGAACAAGCAGTATGAGGAAGAAGGGGGTGGGAGGGGGACTTACCTTTGCTGTTTGCCAGGCCTCTGATGTTGACATTTAAAAGCATCTGCTTGTTTTATTGGACTTCTGCAAACTGTGGAGCAGAGTTTTGAGCGGTTACCAGGAAGTTGATACAGGCTGTAGGGAATCAGGAAATGGGGCAGTGGCCGATTTATTGCTGAATGATAAAGCCTAAAATTGGACTTTGTACTCGCTGAGTAAGGTAGATTTTATTCTAGCATGCTAAATACCAGTGTCTCCCCTTATGCCCAGACAGCCTGTGCATGCTGGAATGGCCTCTTTGGGACTGTAGAGTATTCTGACCAGTATGTCATTGTATTCTTATTTAGTCGTATTCTAGATGGTAGCCCAACACGCTCATCCACTACTCTCTCCACTGCTCTAACTAGGTATGGGCCTGCCGCTGGGGATGCTGAATGGGAATGGGTCGGTCTGCGGCGTCGGAGAGTTCCTGATGGAGAGCATACACCAGGAGAGCATGGAGTCAGCGCCGCCGGCAGTGAGCTCAGGTGGGCCAGGACCCTTGGCGTTTGAGATGAATGGGTCTGCGCCAGTTCCAGGCCTGCTGGACCAGGAGCAGGACCAGGGAGGAGTGGAGGTGTCCACCCCGGCCCCTAAGGAACTGGAGATCTTCACTGTGGCCTCCATGCAGATCCCCTGTCGCTGCACTAACTCCTATGCCTACCTGTAGAGGCCTTTAGAGTGCGTGTGTTGAGTGTTGACCCTCCTAGTGGTTGTATCTTGGTAGAATGTCCATCAGGCCCCCTCTGGCCATGTTCTCTCACTGATGGCATTATTTTTAGTGCAATTGTTGGGTTTTTGGCATGATAATTATGTATTTCCGGTTCTAGAAATAAGGGCGTAAATAGTTAATTTATTGTATTCTACATACATGTTATGAAATACATTGCCTTTCTACCATACTTAATTGATAGAGAAACATTAGTTTTATGTTTTGTTGTTATACCAGTATCTTTGAATGATCCACAAAATTCTTGTTAAATAATCTTGTCTTTTTGGCAAAGCCCCTTAGGATGAGTGAATTCTGTTTTGCACAATTATCCCTCCACCGCCCTACATTGCCCAATTGTAACTGTAATAACGTTGTAAAATTATAATCTACATTCCTTTGATGTAGAAACGCCCACAACTTGAGAACAACGTACTAAAACCAGCCTCACTTGGTTTAAGGAGAAGATTAGGGAGAAGACGGAGAAGATTAGGGAGGTTAAACTTAGGTTAGTTCAAATCCTAGAGGCTGCACTGAAGTTTCCCTCTGCATCATGAATATGCAATGACAGAATTCTGACCTTTATGAAGTTAGACCAGTGGTTCCCAACCGTTTTTTAACCGTGACACACCTTGATGGGATATAAAATTCTGCGGCACACCTAACATTTCCCTATTAATTGATTTAGTGGTAATGACCTCTTCTCTTATCTGATCCATACAGCAAATCAAGTGTTTTTTATAGATTTAAATAGGGTTTATTTGAAATATTTTCATCGTTTTAATAATTCCTTACTCTCATGATGGTTAATTAGTGTGTACTAAAGTTCTTCACGGATCCACCTGTATGCGAATACACGAGACCAGATCCGGGACCCAATCTGGTCCGGATCCACAATTCTAAATAATGTCAAGGGTTTGGGTCAGATCTGATATGATTGTCACTGGCCTTGGGTATGTGTAATTTTAACTGACTTGTCTGCTAGGACCCACATAGAACCGAACACCACTGCTGCAGTAGAGAGAGAGAGAGAGAGAGAAATTGTATAATTTAGGCTGCTGCTCTTTGTTTTTCACGAGAGTGGCGCATTTAGCTTGTTGGTCAAACATAAGAGCCAATTTATGCTTGATCCGAAAATGTAGTCGAGGCAGCGTATGGATGGTGTGACGCAATTGCGGAGCCTCCAGAGGCACGCAAAGGCCAAATTGAGCCTTGAACCGCATCGCCTTATGCCTCTCAAATGTGGAGGGTTCCGTATAAGCTCCGCATTGACTTGATTGGTTGACTGTAGGTGAGGGCGGGAGATCCTGTATAAACACAAACCGACTTCCTTGTCAACTTCCTCCACAACTGCTCGGTGAAGTGCAAGAAGTATGAATGCCCTGACTTCTGCAGAGGCTATATTCACGGTAAATGCTGCATGGCCAATGCAGACGTCGGAATGACCATGAAGCGCCTTTCAGTCATAAAAGCGGAAATAGGCTACATTCATAGAGCGTCACCTCTCTACCTCCTCGCGCTTTATCAGCTCCGGTTAATAAAGTAGCTTAAAAATGTACTTTTCTGCTGCTTCACTCGGACCGGGTCTGGATCCGATCAGGTCTAGACGGAACAGGTCTAGTTGTCCTCGGGTCTGTTCGGAACGGGTCTCTATATATTTGTATTTTATTTATGCATATCGGGTCCGGATGGGAAACCCCAGGTCCATTTCAGAACGGGTCCAACCATTTTAGAAGGTCTCTAGCCCTTTAAGAGCGTCCCCGAATCTGCACCAGAAAGAAAAAAAATACAGCTCTCGTAAAATAGGTCATTCGTTTTAACAGTTTGGGCTACAAACAAGCGGTTTTCTGCATCGTAAAGGTGCAACCACATACACAAAGTCATGATCTGTTTGTTTCTATGGCACAAGCTGTGGTATAGCTAAACTCAGAGCCATATATTAAGAATTAAATTACTCCGGCTAAGCTTAATCAGACTTTCCTGTTTTAATGGTTTTCACAGACTAAGTAAAATGATACAAATTATCTGACCGACACTGTCTAGTGCGCCCGAGTCAAAATTCCATGTGCATTCTACAGGTCACGTTTATAAGTGAGTGTTAAACATCGGTTGGGAACCACTGAGTTAGACATCCATTTGATGTCTTTACTGAGTACTGCATTTAGTGGTAGCATTGTTGTTGCACCACTTTGGCCAATAACGGGATAAAGACAGAATTTGTCCATCTCATGTCAGAATGAAGAGACTACTAGAGAATGTTCCTGCCCTTACCAGAGTAAAAATAAGGGAAAGCATATTTTGTTTTATTAGTTTGTTTAATTCCCCCCCTGAGATAATCTACCTTTTTGGCCATTTCTGGTGACTCCTCTGTCTCATAGCTATGAAGCTTTTTAAATTTATTTTTTATACAAGAACTCCCTTGTTATGCCAAAGCATATCTTTACATGAATGTATAAAGTACATAAACCTTTACTGTGCAGCTTTTCTGTATTATGTGAGCTTTTAGGTATTTCCAAGGTGTGCTATATGACCTGACCCTGTCCTATTAGCTAGCAGACTGGAGACTTTGGTTTGGTGAGCCCCTCCTAGTGCCCTCACCTTCTCTCATTCTACTTTTCTAGGAGAGGACTTTGTAGCTTTTCTGTATAGCCTATCTAGGCCTATTGTGTCTGGTGTTGAAAATGATGTGAGTTTATTTTGACCGTTTTTCTAAGTTTCTGCAGCTTTATTTGTCTTGTTTTGTTGTAGTATTGCTTTGCTAACTGCAGTAATGACAAAATGTAGATGCTGAATTGTTGAACTATGACAAATGAGCGTGATTAGTAGTGCTACAATTTTTATGAAGCAAGGCAAAGCTACTCTTGCCTAAGGCAATGTTTTTTTAGAGAGAAATTAATCTTCGTAAATGTATTGTTAACAAACTTTAAATCCCCCCTGCATATATCTGCTTCATGCATGAAGGACAATTATTCTGTCAAACAATCAGCCCTGCAGTACTATTGTCTGTACAGAATCACAAATGTTAATGAGTAGATAGTGTTTATTGATGCAAATTAGAGCTTCTAATGCTCAGTGCTGAGTAGTTTTGTATACTTTAAACTCATTAAATGGTCATTATTTTGAATAACATGATGGTGGGCTATGATTTTTGTCTTATTTTTATTTGTTTTGCATGATAAATAATCTCTACAATCGTCTGTAAAAACACTGAGAAGCAATATTATTTCATCTTTTCTATAGTTACCCTGAATAACTGAGTAGTTTGGTGCCCTCTAGTGATATTGAGGAGGCTGTGCAGCCCCTCAATTGTGGCGTCTCATTTCTAAGGATTATGCTGTCATTTGTATTGTCCTGTTTTGGCGGTATGGCTGAACCAATCGGAGCCGGGAAGGGGGTGTAACTAGGCCAGTGCCGACTCAGCGTTTGTGTGTCAATGTAACCAGGAAGAGGACAGTCATGTGACACACTGCAAGGGTCAAAGATGACAAGATTATGAGGTTTTCTGGAACCTATTTGGCAACCTTTTAATCAAACTCTTCTGTGTAGATGTAGTCACGAGGTTTTACGTTTTTGAAATGTTCATCTCCATCGGGAATAGTTGTGCAAAGCAAAATCAATTCTTAAATCTTTGCTTATTGCTGTGAGCAGGAAGTTCTGGCCCCGTACTGGCAAAACCAGCATTGAAATGAATTTGACCAGGTGTCCCATTTACCCAATGGCAGGTGACCCTCTAGCAGCAGGTTTAGGGTGTGAGGGGACCCCGTCGAGCGGCTCTACGATCGCCCCCGCTGACAACGTCCACCACCACGTCTACAGGGATACAGCGGAGCACATGGTTGCCACTGGTAACGCAGGCAGCCAGGTGGAACACCAGACGTCGGTGAAGGCAGAGCAGCAGTACAGCCATTAGCAGTATAACCATGCCCTGTTCAGCACCATGCTCCTCTACCACGGCTCCTAAGGAGGTGGAAGGCCGTCCCTCGGTTTGCCTGTCATTTATGCTTGACGTAAACAAGCATTCATACGCCTTAAAACCGTGAAGTGAGTGGTTGCTTTTTCATATGGTCATTGTGATTTTTTATTTATTTTTAATGTAAAGGACAGGCCAATCCCTCTTCTAAAGGGGGTGGTTAGTTTTTAGTTTATGGATATGAAATGTTCTGTAAAACAGTAACTTGTTTTTGTGATACAGTTTTGTGATGTGAAAAGTTGATTTTGAGTGATTAAAGAAAAAGCTACAGTAAATGCATATAATGCATTATCTTTTCATTTTCAAGTTAAAGTTTATACATTTGTTTTTTAAACTCTTTGTGCTTAGTCATCCTGTAATTAATTAGTAATGTACTGTTATTTTACCCATTGATCTAGTTCTGGGGCCAAAACTAGCCTGAATGTAAATTAAAGTTTTTTATGTTAATGCCTCAACCTCTGTCTTGATGGAGTCAGGTTTTTTGTTATGTCATCCTCATTCAGCTGTATCCTGATGAGAATTAAATATGAGATCACCTTAAAAGCACATCGGGATGCGATTCTTCGAATTGTCAGAAAATGTGACTGCTCCTTCCTACACTAATGGATGGGGAACAATACAGTATGCTATGAAATTGGAATACAGGACTTTTGTCTTGAACTACTATCTTGTATCCTTTACACATATAAAGCTTGAATATTTGAAGATATACACTGAGTATACCAAATACTAGGAACACTTTCCTAATATTGAGTTGCACCCGCTTTTGCCCTCAGAACAGCCTAAATTCGTCAGGGCATGGACTCTTCAATGTGTCAAGAGTTACACGGGAATGCTGGCCCATGTTGACGCCAATGCTTCCTATAGTTGTGTCAAGTTGGCTGGATCTCCTTTGGGTGGTGGACCATTCTTGATATACACGGGAAACTGTTGAGCGTGTTCAGCAGTGTTGCAGTTCTTGACACAAACTGGTGCGCCTGGCACCTACTACCATACTCCGTTCCAATGCACTTACATTTTTTGTCTTGCCCATTCACCCTCAGAATGGCACACCTACACAATCCATGTCTCAGTTGAAGTTTTAAAAATCCTTCTTTAACCTGTTTCCTCCCCTTCATCTACACTGATTGAAGTGGATTTAACAAGTGACCTCAATAAGGGATCATAGCGTTTACCTGGTCAGTCTGTCATGGAAAGAGCATGTGTTCTTAATGTTTTGTGCACTCAGTGTATTTCCTCCCATAGTTTACCCAATAAGTAAACTGAAATTCCAGTTCCAATTTTCCACATTGGGAATTAACTTTTTGTATTGAGTGAACTGAACCCTACCCTGGGTGCTCTGCACTCTAAAAAGAAAAGGTTCCTGGAGTATCCTTTAGGGGTTCTTCAAATTGAAACTGGGGGAACCCCTATAAAAAACCCTTTTAATGGATCCTCGATTAACCGTTTGAATAACCTTTTGGGGTTAATTTTTGAACTACCCCCCCCCCCCCCATTATTATTATTATTATTATTATTAATAATATGCATAACAATTACAGCAATAACACTATTTTAGTTGTCAGTGTTTATTATGATTTTAGTGGCAAAGCAGGATTAAGAAATCCAAAGGTAAACTCCCAGCAGAGCCCAAGTCCCATGGATATATCCTCTGGCGTGTTGATGTTCTCCGTATCCCATAGCCAGAATGATTTTGCAGTGCATGGTGATCGAACAGGGTGTAGGGAGGGTGAAGTCTGTGAATCCAATTTTTTTTTATTATGCAGATGATTAACAAAACATTCACATTTTACATTTACATTTTAGTCATTTAGCAGACGCTCTTATCCAGAGCAACTTACAGTTAGTGAGTGCATAAAATTTTTTTCTCCATACATGACAGTATTCATACCTTGGTTTTTGTGGTAAATGTGAATGAAAAAAACTGTTTTGATAATGGTTTTCATACACATACCTTGTCCATAACATAGAGGCCTATGGGATATTCAATGAAGAGGTAAGGGAGGAGGATGGTAAATGTGATCTGCATAACATACCAATACCAATTGACATACCTTTGTATGCCTCCTTGTCTGTATACCTGCAGACACAGACACACAAGAGGGCAGTTCAGTCATCTGCACCCAATACAGCTAGCCTTCAACATATTATTAAAGCCTACATATTCATACCTCTTTGTTGGTTAATATCCATAGAATTTTGTAAATGTTCTGTTTTAGAAAGATTTGAACAAATATGAAAGATAGATGGTATCATCATAAAACAATATCAATTTAGAACACACAAGGGGCTAACCTTAACTGAAAAATGTAAAAGTCTCAATTTAAGGTAAGTGCCTGCACCTGCTGTCCTTTCCTTTCAAATTCAAATCCAAATGTTTCAGTTGGGCAGTTAGGTTCCTGCAAGAACCCTCACCAACTAAGACAAGAACTTTGAGGATCTTAGAAGAACCCTGGTTGAACCCCTAATTTTTAGATTGTGGGGCCTCTGTTGGATTGCACATGTCATAACCCATTTGTTAAATTGTGGTTTTGAGTTGTACTCAATGCACCAATAATTACTGCAATAAGTCTGTGTTTTGCATAATTAGTGTTATTCAACGCCATACGACCACCCAGGAGCCTGGCAACGGCATAGGCCCGTGCAGTGGAAGGGAACGCCTCAGACAATGGATTCACGCTCTGTCCCCGTGCGGTCCTATGCCTGTGGTTGGGGACCATGCCCACTCCACAGTCCACACACAGATTAGATGGACACAAACAATAGGACCTTGGTTGGGCACTGGCATAATTCTCTGTTCAGAATTTAGAATCACACACCACAGGTGAGAATTGCATGTATTTATTTAAATTTTAACAGGGAGTCCCATTGACATCAAGGTCTCTTTTGCAAGGGAGCCCTGCATCTTACAATTACGCAACAAATTACACAGGAAATGCACCAGAAAGTAAAAATAGGGAATACATAAATAAAACGCACTCAAAAAACAATCACATTCTTCAGCAGAGGTCCTCAATCAACACTGAAATGCCTGAAAGGCACCGATACATCCATTTGTAGGGAACTCTGAAGATTGTTCCATGCAACATGTAAAGTGTTGGTCCCATGTTTCAGGAGCTGAAACAAAAGATCCCTGAAATGTTCCATACGCACAAAAATATTATTTCTCTAATGTTATGCACACATTTTTTACATCCCTGTTAGTGAGCATTTCTCCTTTGCCAAGATAATCCATCCACCTGACAGGTGTGGCATATCAAGAAGCTGATTAAACAGCATTATCATTAAACCAGGTGCATCTTGTGCTGTGGACAATAAAAGGCCACTCTAAAATGTGCAATTTAGGCACAAGACAATGCCACAGATGTCTCAAGTTTTGAGGGAGTGTGCAATTGGCATGCTGACTGAAGGAATATCCACCATAGCTGCTGCCAGATAATTTAATGTTAATTTCTCTACCATTTTAGAGAATTTGGCAGTACGTCCAACTGGTCTCACAACCGCAGACCACGTGTAACCACGCCAGCCCAGGACCTCCACGTCCGGCTTCTTCACCTGCGGATCGTCCGAGATCAGCCACCTGGAGAGCTGATAAAACTGGGTTTGCACAACCGAATAATTTCTGCACAAACAGTCAGAAACTGTCTCAGTGATGCTCATCTGCGTGCTTGTCGTCCTCACCAGGGTCTTGACCTGACTGCAGTTCGGCGTTGTGCCCGACTTCAGTGGGCAAATGCTCACCTTCGATGGCCACTGGCACACTGGAGAAGTGTGGTCTTCACGGATGAATCCCGGTTTCAACTGTACCGGGCAGATGGCAGACAGCGTGTATGGCATTGTGTGGGCGAGCGGTTTGCTGATGTCAACATTGTGAACAGTGCTCCATGGTGGCGGTGGGGTTATGGTATGGGCAGGCATAAGCTACGGACAACGAACACAATTGCATTTTATCGATGGCAATTTGAATGCACAGAGATACCGTGACAAGATCCTGAGGCCCATTGTCGTGCCATTCATCCTCCGCCATCACCTCATTCAGCATGATAATGCACGGCCCCATGTTGCAAGGATCTGTACACAATTCCTGGAAGCTGAAAATGTACCAGTTCTTCCATGGCCTGCATACTCACCAGACATGTCACCCATTGAGCATGTTTGGGATGCTCTGGATCATCATGTACGACAGTGTGTTCCAATTCCCGCCAATATCCAACAACTTCGCACAATTGAAGTGGAGTGAGACAACATTCCACAGGCGACAATCAACAGCCTGATCAACTCTATGTGAAGGATATGTGTCACGCTGCATGAGGCAAATGGTGGTCACAACAGATACTGACTGATTTTCTGATCCACGCCACTACCTACCAGTCATGTGAAATCCATAGATTATGGCCTAATGAAGGAATTTTGGGGGCAACTTTCAGTGCCAAGAACCCTAAGGTTCTTCGAAGAACTTTGAGGATCTTAGAAGAACCCCTAATTTTTAGAGTGTAGAGCTGGCCGCCCGGCCAAACTGAGCAATTGGGGGAGAAGGGCCTTGGTCAGGGAGGTGACCAAGAACCTGATGGTCACTCTGACAGAGCTCCAGAGTTCCTCTGTGGAGATGGGAGAACCTTTCAGAAGGACAACCATCTCTGCAGCACTCCACCAATCAGGCCTTTATGGTAGAGTGGCCAGACGGAAGCCACTCCTCAGTAAAAGGCACATGAAAGCCCGCTTGGAGTTTGCCAAAAGGCACCTAAAGGACAGACCATGAGAAACAAGATTCTCTGGTCTGAGGAAACCAAGATTGAACTCTTTAGCCTGAATGCCAAGCGTCACGTCCGGAGGAAACCTGGCACCATCCCTACGGTGAAGCATGGTGGTGGCAGCATCATGCTGTGGGGATGTTTTTCAGATGCAGGGACTAGTCAGCATCGAGGGAAAGATGAACGGAGGAAAGTACAGAGAGATCCTTGATGAAAACCTGCTCCAGAGCGCTCAGGACCTCAGACTGGGGCGTATGTTCACCTTCCAACAGGACAACGACCCTAAGCACACAGTCAAGACAACGCAAGAGTGGCTGAAAAATGTATGCACTCACTAACTGTAAGTCGCTCTGGATAAGAGCATCTGTTAAATGACTAAAATGTAAATGTAAATGAGTGGCTTCGGGACAAGTCTCTGAATGTCCTTGAGTGGCCCAGCCAGAGCCTGGACTTGAACTCGATCGAACATCTCTGGAGAGACCTGAAAATAGCTGTGCAGCGACACTCCCCATCCAACCTGACAGAGCTTAAGAGGATCTGCAGAGAAGAATGGGAGAAACTCCACAAATTCAGGTGTGCCAAGCTTGTACCGTCATACCCAAGAAAACGTGAGGCTGTAATCGCTGCCAAAGGTGCTTCAACAAAGTACTGAGTAAAGGGTCTGAATACTTATGTAAATGTTATATTTCCGTTTTTTTTATATACATTTGTACAAATGTCTAAAAGTCTGTTTTTGCTTTGTCATTATGGGGTATTGTGTGTAGATTGATGAGAAAAAAAACGATTTAATAAATTTTAGAATAAGGCTGTAAGCTAACAAAATGTGGAAAAAGCTGAGGGGTCTGAATACTTTCCAAATGCACTGTGTCACCATAGTCTAGGACAGGAAGGAACGTTGACATTCTACTATTTAGTGAGAGGCATGACCTATTTCTATAGAAGAAGCCAATTTTTATTCAAAGACATTTTATTTAACAAGTAATATTTGTTTCTCTCAAAATTATAGGGGTCAAAATTGCCACCTGTTTTCAATACCTTTCAATACAATAGACCGACACTGAGCCTTTTTTAAAAACAAAATATGAGATTGGAGAACACATTGGGAGGGCTCTTAAACCATTCCTCCATACATAATCTTTCCAGATCTTTGATATCCGTAGTCTGCGTTTATGGACTGCCCTCTTCAATTCAAACCACAGGTTTTAAATGGGGTTCGAAGTCCGGAGACTGAGATGGCCATTGCAAAATGTTGATTTTGTGGTCAATTATTATTTCATTGTAGATTTTGATGTGTGCTTGGGGTTATTGCCTTGTTGGAAGATCCACTCGCGGCCAAGTCTCAGCCTCCTGGCAGAGGCAACCATGATTTAGGCAAAAATGTCCTGGTACTGGGTAAAGTTAATGAATATCGTATTCCTCTCCATTGCTCCCTTTGTTTCTGGACAATGCCCACTATTTCACGTGTACGAACACCGGTTTGTCACCTGTCGCCAAGACCGACCTTTACAGCTGGAGTTTTTTTGACCTATCTGTACAAACGCTACGTCACTGTAACCACGCCCCCCGTAAAACACGGTCTCAAATAAAAATAGGATGAGACTATGTAATTGGATACGTATTTAATAGTTTTTCGATACATCATACGCAATTCAATTGACATACGCAATAGTAAAAGTAATACAATAAAGTATAAGTATATTAAAACCTAAATTATCTTACGTCTCGTTTTTCTTTAGAAGAATACGAAAACAACGTCCCCTATTAGCTGAAGTGGTATCGCCTAATATGCCACTTACCAGCCGCTAGGGTAGGAGTCGAAGGATAGTGTTTTACCGAGGCAATAGCGGAAAAAAAAAAAGAGCTGAATGTTGTTGTAAACACAACATTAACCAGCTAAATTATAAACACATTTGTAAATAAAACAATACATTTATAAAGTTAGCTTACGATGTCTACTCCGGCAAGAAGACGATTGATGAGAGATTTTAAGCGGTGAGTTGAACATTTTACTGATGTCTGAAGCTAACTAGCTAAAATAGCTAAGCTAGTCAGCGAAGGTTACCAAGCTAGCTAGCAAACGTTAACTAGCAAGTCACACAGCCGTCTATTTCCTGACATTTTGGGGTTTATCTAGTTTACATTTCTCAAATGTTTAATGTTGCTTTTGAAAATAGCCCCTGCCGATAAAGTCGTTAAACCCTAAAACATAAGCGACTTATTTCGTCAGCTACGTTAACTAATTTAGCTTGCCAACCAAGACTTGGCTACAGTAGCTGGCGAAGAAAACAACTCGCTCTCCCAAGACGAGTCACCATCGCTCACTCTCAAGCGAAACTGGGTTAGATTAACAATACGTCATACATAAGATTAGTCAGGTTGGTTTTACGATATCCTTGAATTGTATCACATCATCAAACCGTACTTGACTGCATAACGTTAACGTGACGGTGTTTAGCTAGCTTCTTCTTCTTTGAGGTTTCTTCTTCTATGGTAGATTGGTTGTCACACAATTTAATGTGCATCCTGCCACCTATTATGCGGGATGGAAATAGGATTCCCCCCAAAAAGTGAACAAAGTACAATAAACGACCAGAAAATAAATAAATCAAACAACTATTCTGGAAAAAATAAAACATATCTGATCCCTACACAGGCTCAAGGGGAACCTGGGAGGGCGGGTCTTCCGGCACCAGTACCCTATGCAAGCTTCAGATCCTTAAGGCACAAACACTTGAAACATTGCCAAATCCTTTACAATTCTTACACTGCAATGGTTTGGAGACGAAAGCTCTTACGGCATATCATACATAACCAAGCTTCACATGCGTTAGTATTTGCTCTTTATCAAAAGACAACAGGACCGACAGACTTTCTTATTTTTCCCCATTCACCCAGCGGGTCAGACGCTGGGCACAAACCACACCAGGAATTCTGTTCAGGTATTCAACCTGAACATCCGTCGTCACCCCTGAGATGACTCCTTTGATGTGTGCTCTACTCCAAAGTTCAAACACAAAACATCTGTTGTCTGGATTATTTTGAGGCCCACTTTAATCTAACTCTGCTCTTCAGAAATACAATGAATCAAAATAAGACCACTCCTGGTCACTCTGACAGACTCCACTTTTCCAAGCGCATACTTCACCATTTTCGACACCTCAAACAGGTTTCCCACATATGCATCCTTTCTCAAGAAACGCATCCCAACAAGAAGCGATTCATTATCATTCACACACGTATCCTCCAATCCAATTTTAGACTATTTCCTTTTCGTTCCAGTTTTCGATACTACTGTTATCCATTCAGAACATTCGTCTTCACCGAATGTTCTCAATGCGCTGCTCAATTATAACTCAGCATCCACTTCTGCCATCTTCCCACTTACCGTCCCTTCTTTGAGGTTTATTGGCAGACCACACTCATAAGGTGTATTGCCGCCACCTACTGTACGGGGTAGTACGTTTAGCTATCTAAGTAACGTTAACACTTATATGGGTTTCCGCATTGGTTGATAATATTGCAAGTAAGAGTGAGTTCAGTAATGTGTCGATTTGTAAAATAACTCAGTTTGAAAATAGGGTTACCAAGTACATTAGCTAGGTAGCAAGCAATTTGACAGGTGGAACTAAAGTTGTTTTTCTCGGACTCCCATAGGTTACAAGAAGACCCTCCGGCTGGCGTCAGTGGCGCCCCTTCCGAAAACAACATAATGGTGTGGAATGCAGTCATATTCGGGTAAGATTGGCCTTCCTCTGACAACGCCTGGTAAAGAGTACCACAGTATGAGTCATAATACCCATAAAACCTAGCGGTCAAACAGGGAAATGGTTCCAATCGTTTTCCACCATTCATTTTTCCCATTGCGGATTTTAGAAACACTTAAAATAAGGGCTGTGTTTCATGTAGGTTTACCCTGGTGTGATGTTTTGATAACCGTATAAATCTCTCTAGGACAAGGTGACTTTTCCAAGCGCATACTCAAACGGGTTTCCCCATATGCATCCTTACTCAACAAGCTCATCCCAACTAGAAGCGATTCATTATCATTCACACACGCATCCTCCAATCCAATTTTAGACAATTTCCTTTTTGTTCCAGTTTTCGATACTACTGTTGTCCATTCAGAACATTCGTCTTCACCAAATTTGCTCGACGTGCTGCTTGATTAGAACTCCCGCTCCACTACAGCCCCGTCGATGTCAATGGGGTCGTGCTCAGCCCTCTGTTTCCTGTAGTCCATGATCAGCTCCTTTGTTTTGCTGACGTTGAGGGAGAGGTTGTTGTCCTGGCACCACACTGCCAGGTCTCTGATCTCCTCCCTATAGGCTGTCTCATCGTAGTCGGTGATCAGGCCTACCAACGTTGTGTCGTCGCAAACTTAATGATGGTGTTGGAGTCGCGGCCACGCAGTCGTGGGTGAACAGGGAGTACAGGAGGGGACTAAGCAAGCACCTCTGAGGGGCACCCTTGTTGAGGGTCAGTGTGGCAGATGTGTTGTTGCCTACCCGTCAGGAAATCCAGGATCCAGTTGCAGGGGAAGGTGTTCAGTCCCAAGGTCCTTAGCTTAGTGATGAGCTTTGAGGGCACTATGGTGTTGAACCCTGAGCTGTAGTCAATGAACAGCATTCTCACGTAGGTGTTCCTTTTGTCTAGGTGGGAAAGGGCAGTGGGGAGTGCAATAGAGATTGCATCATCTGTGGATCTGTTGGGGCGGAATGCGAATTGGAGTGGGTCTGGGGTGATGGTGTTGATGTGAGCCATGACCAGCCTTTCAAAGCATTTCATGGCTACATATGTGAGTGCTACGGGCGATAGTCATTTAGACAGGTTACCTTGGCATTCTTGGGTACAGGGACTATGGAGGTCTTGAAACATGTAGGTATTACAGACTGGGTCAGGAAGAGGTTGAAAATGTCAGTGAAGACGCTTGCCAGCTGGTCAGCGTAGTTATTGATAATTCTGTGAGATCCAGGTCATTTCAAGACATTTCTAGGCCAATGATACCAAAAATGTGAAGTGATTCATCTGCTCATCGTAATGTTCCTCCTTCATCCGTTAACTTATTTATTGGGAAATGACACATGCATATATTTCATACATACAGAGAAAACCTTTAAACGTATTTATTTCCCTTTACAGCCCAGAAGGGACACCTTTTGAGGACGGTGAGTACAGCACTGTGCACTCTGCACCCCATTCTTCGTGTTTGCATACTCTATGCAGCTAAGGGTTGTGTGTGACGTAATTGTTGATTTAATAAATTCCAAATAAAGTAGACTAGAGCAGTCTATCATCAACTTCCATTTTTATCTACCGGCGGTATTGCAGATAATGCAACACCTGTAAATGTGAACAAGTTTTCTAACATTCTTGGTTAGTATGAGTGATATGAGCCAGAGCCATGGTTCTAATTAATCTTTCCCCCCATCTTTTATGTTCCAGGCACATTTAAGCTCACTGTTGAGTTCACAGAAGAATACCCTAACAAACCCCCCACAGTACGATTTGTGTCAAAGATGTTTCATCCAAATGGTATGTTGTCACAACGACAGTAGCAAAACATCCTGATAATGGTTAGTATTGCCTGCAAAGGTTAACAGTATTTTAACCCTTCCGTTTTATTTACAGTGTATGCAGATGGAAGTATATGTCTAGACATTCTGCAGAATCGATGGAGTCCAACCTATGATGTGTCATCCATTCTTACCTCTATCCAGGTAGGCAAATATATCATGTTTTCCATATTACATTATTTTATATGCCATGAAACCTCCCTTCCCTGTCAACATTTAGTCCTACTGTGACAAAGCAGAGATTGTAAAACACAACGTCATGGTGCATGCCCACTTTTATGTCTCGCTCTCTGTGCTGTAGAATGCCTGTCTCGTCTACTAAGTTGGCTCATTACTCATCACCTCTCTCCCTTCCCTCCTTCCAGTCTCTGCTAGACGAACCAAACCCCAACAGTCCAGCCAACAGTCAGGCAGCCCAGCTTTACCAGGAAAACAAGAGGGAGTACGAGAAGCGTGTGTCGGCCATTGTAGAACAGAGCTGGAGGGACAGTTGACCACACCCTCACCCTTCTGGTCTCCTCTATCCCCAACGCTGAGCTGTGTGTGTTGCGAGTTTGAGGAGTACATCTTAATTTAGATTTTTTTTGTTTCTTCCTCCTTTTAAAATTTACGTTTTTATGCACTTTACCTCTCCCTTGTTCAACCATTTTTTTTTCTGACACGCTTGGAGTGATGGAGTTTTTCTTTTTTTCTATTTCTCCCTCCCGTTTTGGCTTATCAGGGGACTTATGTGCTGAGTCTTGTTTTTGCCGCCACTGTCTTCAATTGAGGACAATTTTTGGACGTCAATTACCTGCCTCCCTTCCCTAGCTGAAATAAATGAGTTGGACTGATATGTGTAATGTTTGGAAGAAATGAATCATGTTAACCTGCTTGTAGGTCCTTTCTTTGGTGTGCTCCCCGTACCCTTTAATACATAAGCTAATTTTACAAAGCAGCATCTGAGCTATCAAGCTCATTAACTTTCTTTGGAAAATTGCTGCGTGTGTTCATCCTAAACAACCTGATTCAGAACCAGACCCACATGCTTAACCAATGTCTTTGCTGTGTTGTGAGCTCTGTTACATGCATGACAGCGATAGTGCATTCTTGTTCTCTGTTCATTAGGTACTCTAATGTACAGTGGGGAGAACAAGTATTTGATACACTGCCGATTTTGCAGGTTTTCCTACTTACAAAGCATGTAGAGGTCTGTAATTTTTATCGTAGGTCCACTTCAACTGTGAGAGACGGAATCTAAAACAAAAATCCAGAAAATCACATTGTATGATTTTTAAGTAATTAATTTGCATTTTATTGCATGACATAAGTATTTGATCACCTACCAACCAGTAAGAATTCCGGCTCTCACAGGCCTGTTAGTTTTTCTTTAAGAAGCCCTCCTGTTCTCCACTCATTACCTGTATTAACTGCACCTGTTTGAACTCGTTACCTGTATAAAAGACACCTGTCCACACACTCAATCAAACAGACTCCAACCTCTCCACAATGGCCAAGACCAGAGAGCTCTGTAAAGACGTCAGGGATAAAATTGTAGACCTGCACAAGGCTGGGATGGGCTACAGGACAATAGGCAAGCAGCTTGGTGAGAAGGCAACAACTGTTGGCGTAATTATTAGAAAATGGAAGAAGTTCAAGATGACGGTCAATCACCCTCGGTCTGGGGCTCCATGCAAGATCTCACCTCGTGGGGCATCAATGATCATGAGGAAGGTGAGGGATCAGCCCAGAACTACACGGCAGGACCCCAGACCGAGGGTGAAGGTCATGTGGTCTGATGAGACCAAAATATAGCTTTTTGGTCTAAACTCCACTCGCCGTGTTTGGAGGAAGAAGAAGGATGAGTACAACCCCAAGAACACCATCCCAACCGTGAAGCATGGAGGTGGAAACATCATTCTTTGGGGATGCTTTTCTGCAAAGAGGACAGGACGACTGCACCGTATTGAGGGGAGGATGGATGGGGCCATGTATCGCGAGATCTTGGCCAACAACCTCCATCCCTCAGTAAGAGCATTGAAGATGGTTCGTGGCTGGGTCTTCCAGCATGACAACAACCCGAAACACACAGCCAGGGCAACTAAGGAGTGGCTCCGTAAGAAGCATCTCAAGGTCCTGGAGTGGCCTAGCCAGTCTTCAGACCTGAACCCAATAGAAAATCTTTGGAGGGAGCTGAAAGTCCGTATTGCCCAGCGACAGCCCCGAAACCTGAAGGATCTGGAGAAGGTCTGTATGGAGGAGTGGGCCAAAATCCCTGCTGCAGTGTGTGCAAACCTGGTCAAGACCTACAGGAAACATATGATCTCTGTAATTGCAAACAAAGGTTTCTGTACCAAATATTATGTTCTGCTTTTCTGATGTATCAAATACTTATGTCATGCAATAAAATGCAAATTAATTACTTAAAAATCATTCTGGATTTTTGTTTTAGATTCCGTCTCTCACAGTTGAAGTGTACCTATGATAAAAATTACAGACCTCTACATGCTTTGTAAGTAGGAAAACCTGCAAAATCGGCAGTGTATCAAATACTTGTTCCCCCCACTGTATATAGGAGAACATACATCCGGATTGATTGTACAGATTTTGCACTGGTTGTCCACCATGTCATTCTTTCAGCACTTGTAAATAAAAAGTCAAAACTACCTTTACTATGACAGCAGTAGTGTTTCTCTTGGCTGGTTAACCATGTTGTGCTCCCTACCGTAATCATCAATCCACTCTATATTTAGCTTTCGCTATCTGTGGCAAATACTGTGAACTCTTGCAATGCTAGCACTGAGAAACTAGCTACACACTTCCATCATCAGTTAATCACAATGCTTCTGCAGCATTGCCATTCGACAAACTTAATTGAGAATGTATGGTTTATTGGCAAGGAACTCTTTAAACAAACTCATCGCAGACATATGGCGTACACATACCAAATGACACCTGGTATAACACGTGTTGTTGCTTTGCTATTTTTGACTATGACCGTAAGCACAGACTATCCCCCCCTCTACAACTATCCCCACTCTGCAAAGAGCAGAGGGGGGATTGTTGTCATTCGCAGAAATCCTTGGTAAGGGACCAAAGGATTTCATAATATACTACCATTGGACCAGACACATTGAATGGGCTCCCGCCCAAGATGCATTTAAACAACTTTACCGGTGTCACAACACAAGGTCATAGGCCCCTTGTCAAGGGGCTTTGGCATCATGCACTCAGTCAAACATGGATATTTTACATTTTAGTCATTTAGCAGACGCTCTTATCCAGAGCGACTTACATTTTCATACTGGCCCCCCGTGGGAAACGAACCCACAACCCTGGCGTTGCAAGCGCCATGCTCTACCAACTGAGCTACAGGGGACTATATTATCAATTTAACAATCTAACAGTCTGTCTACAATCACTTTCACTGTTAGGGCAGCCCTATCAGTAATGGCACTTATAACAAACGGCAGTCACATCCCATAGTAAATACAGATGATGCAAAGACAATTCAACAGAGGAAGCACATTGCATTCATAGTTATAAGCCCATCTTGTGCAATAGTACATGTCTAGAATGACTTTCAGCACGCAATCTTGGTTGAAATGTTTTATTTGTTCATTTGGAGGAGCAATATGGCTAGTATTGTTGCATGCATGATACAGCTAGCGTCAACAATCCTTGGTGTGACTGACACAATAACCTGTATTACATATCTGCTCTAAACCAGTGGTCCTGAACCAGGATGTCCATCTTACAGTACAGCCTTTACTAAAATGATAACAAAGTCCCTCTTCCCAATTCTTCATTTTCAAACAGCATTGATAGTAATTGGGAGTAGAAAAATACAATAACAAAAACACAAAACTAACATGACCACAAACAATGTCCACTGGGCCAGGTAGAGCAGCTACCTGTTGTAGGCCCTCTCCTTCTTCGCCCTCTCCAGGGCCTTGTCCATGGTCTTCTCATTCTCACCCCTGCATTTGGGGCAGAACCACTTCCCCTTGGGCTTGTGATGCAACCCCACACAGGAGAAGTGGAACCACTCGATGGGACACTCGTCGTTATCACAGCCAATCATCTCGCCGTAGGACACCTGTTCACACAGGCAGTAGGTGGGCTCGTCTGGGTCGATGGGCAGGTCTGGGGGTGACACCTCCCTCTCTGACTTGCCCTTTGACCTCTTCTTCTTCTTGGACGACGACGTTTTGGCCCTCTTCTCCCTGGACGCCCCCATGCCCGCCTCGTCACCATGATCCATGCCACCATAGCTCTCCCGGTTCTCTCCGTTCTTCTGCCGCCGTGAGCGTTTCCCGCCAGACTTGTCCCCTCCACCGACTGAGCCTGGCGTTGCCTCGTCACGCCTCTTGTCGTGGTGACCTGCTTTGCCCGGTGTGGTTGTCACTGCCGACATTGACATAATGGAAGCTGCAGTCGTCGTCATAGCAGTTGATGTGGGTACATGGGTCTCGGGGTTCTCCTGGGAGGCGTGGAGGAGCTCAGAATGCCAGTCCACCTGCCGGCTACGGTTCTCCACCAACTCCACCTGGAACAGTAGGACAGTACAGGGTTTATTATATATACTGTGTGGGTTGTGATCAGTGGGGTGACATTGGTTGGTCAAGGAGAGTAACCAATGTGGGCTTTGCCGCTACCTCATCTATATATTATTGTTATTTTCAAGCTGGACAGTCATTCAGCAAAGTTTACAGGCAGCCAGCCATGTTTACGCACCATCTGCCCAGCAATCTGTATCTTCTCATCTCCTAGCTCCTGGCTGCTGATGAGAGCTCTCTGGATGGACAGCTGCATTCTGCGCTGCTGGAGAGGGTCGGACTCCCGACGGTATCGCTCATAAGCATCATCCAGCTCCTGTAGGACATCTGAGAAAAACAAAATATGCAAGAGATGTAACAAACATGGCCCATTTGTAAAGGGGAAAACAATAGTTTATTAGGTAAACAACCGTTTATTACTGTAGCTAGCTAAATACCTTTACATACTTTGGAACAAATCCAGTTATAACTAAGTGAAAATTGAAATAAAAGGGTATCTACTATTTCAACTATATTACAGATACACAGGCTGACAAGCTTGTATACCTGAATGCCATCAGTAGCCAGGTACTTGCTAACTACTACCGTAGCTAACGTCAGCTAGCTGGGCTAACAGTTTCGTTAGCTAGCTACATTATATGATTAGAGGTATGTAGATAACTAGTCGGTGGATGAAATGTGAACAAATTGCCTTGGTATTTTGCATCAATTTCCTTCATAAGAGACACGCTCCTCTGTAGGTCGAATGGTAGTGATTCGACCAAGTCCAAATATTCTTCCACATAATTTGTAACGACGTGGACCGGGTCGCCGTTAGCCGGATTTAGCATGTTCTTCTGTCGAAGTCCACACAAAACTGTCCACAACAAAATAAGAGATTATATTTGTTACACAGAACATCCGAAACTCATAATCCTGAAAACATACGTTGAACTTTTATTTAAAAAAAATATATCTAGCAAACTCTTCGAGATGACTTTTGCTATACTGTATCGAACGCTACTGCTGTTAGCTAGTTTAGGGTAAGCTAGGTAAACTAGAAGCGAAGTAACGTTAGCCTTCACAATAATTACTGTCTGAACACGAAAATGAAGCTACGCAAATAACGAACAATTGTTACTCACCAGCAACTTTATATTTGTCATTTAATGAACTTCATACAACCTATTAAATCCAACTGGAGAATCTTGTAACTCAACTGTGTATTGATTGCGTCTGGTCCAACTTGGAGAACTGTAAATGTTTATGCGCATGCGCATCGTATGACAAACAAACCTGCCATGGGTAGATTTTCTACAGTGAGTGTAGATACTTTTTAGGCAGTCGTTTTAATGCATTTAATTAGTACAAGGATGTAGATCTTGTGAAAATGGTCCATGCTTGATGTTACAATTTAGCTAGTTACAGTTGCACATGTTCGTAATGTTTGAGCAAGACAGTTATCAATGACACGTTAGAGACTAAGTCTCTGTGCAACACTGTTAATGAGATAGAAGACAGAATATGCGACCGATGAAGAGTAGAAGACAGAAAAGACATAACAAATAAATTAACTCCAACATTTTAATATAGGGTGGTTGACAAAAACAGGCGACAACCCCAGTGCCACACTGTCACTGTAAGATTATATTCTGGATGACAGTAAAGACGGGAATGTCATTACGGAATATGATTAACTGTCTGGAAGAAAATCACAGATTCTAAATGTAATTTTGTCTACATTTCACCAGGTATTGCTCAGTGTGTTACAGTATGTGTATTGTTATTGGGTAGTCTTATATTAAGGTGTTAGCTCACCCTCATGTGCCCCGTTAATTGTGAAGTGCTGGCTAAAAAAAATAATAAAAGCAAAGAAGACACTTTGAGAAAAGAACTGTGACTCCAGCGTAGAGGAAATATTACATTGTCATTTTTTTGTTTCAATGGGTTCAGTGTAAGAGAGAAAACGTAGCCAAAAAGTATTTATCAATGTAAAAAAATCATCGAGGTCAATAGTTTATTGAGCACCAACAGACTAGGAGTCATACCTGTGGGAAGTAGCGGTTAATTAATTAATATTTTGTTTTAGAACATTTTACTAGTCCTGTATTAGCGGACCGATATACCCTTATGTAGCGCCAGCAAAAAAAAAATCGCAGCACCACGAACATCTTCCTGCGGCTATGCTAGAAGTGGTTTCATATGTTGGAGTCCTTATTTCTTGTGTGTATTATTTCTTATTAACTCAATCCGATCGTGGGTTGTCAACAATGCCGTTTTTAAAGGCAATGATACCTCGTTCGTGAATATTGCATTCAAGGTAAAACGCTGCAAATGTTGGCTCAATCGGAAATTACCTTTAAATGGCACATTGTCGACAGGCCCGATCGAATTCAGTCACGTAAAGACTAGCTACAGCTAAAGTCTCTGAAAGGTGTTGACAATGTCATTGATATTTGTCAACGATTATAGAGAATGGATTCTCAGGATTCCCATGGAAGAAAGTGTTGTTTGTGTGTATGAATGTAATACTTTATGTATGCATGTACACTACATGACCAAGAGTATGTGGACACCTGCGGGTCTGACTGAAATTTGATTAACTGACTTGTTGGAAAGATGACATCCTATGAAGGTGCAACTGAGCTCTTCAGTAATGCCACTCTACTGCCAATGTTTGTCTATGGAGATTGCATGGCGGTGTGCTCGATTTTATACAACTGTCAGCAACGGTGTGGCTGAAATAGCTGAATCCACTAATTTGAAGGGGTGTCCACATACTTTTGTATATATAGTGTATGTGAGTGTTTGTATGTACAGTACATATGTATGTGAGTGTATCTTGGACTCTGCTCCTATAGACTGTTCTCAGCTCTCAAATAGTTTTTTGAAGGCAGAGCTGATCTCCTGGATCATGTCTGTGGTGGTGGTGGCTCGGCCATGTTTGTGGAAGGCCTGTCTGTTACACTGTCTGGTCAGACAACAGGCCCCAAACGCTGCCACCACTGACGGGTTCACACTTAGGCAGAAGAAGAGATTGGAGAATACGTAACCGTTAGATCAATGACGAATACACTATAAAATTAGACCAACTAGGTTACATATCGTTGCTGTCGGAAGAAAACCTCCAAAACATAAACTTTTCAGGAAATTGAAAAAACTGCTTTATTTTACAATTAACAAACATACAATTTCGAAACTTCAGAAGCTATTTTGAATAAATGTTCTTGGTCCTAGAGTCATTAAATGCTCAGAGTACATTGATGAACGTTACTGCTTTCAATACACGAAGGCGGCAGGTAGCTTAGTGGTTAAGAGTGTTGTGCCAGTAACCGAAAGGTCTCTGGTTCTAATCCCCGAGCCAACTAGGTGAAAAATCTGTCGATTTTGAGCAAGGCACTTAACCCTAATTGCTCCTGTAAGTCGCTCTGGATAAGAGTGTCTGCTAAATGACTAAAAAAATACATAAATATTGAGTTACGAGGTTTTCATCAGACAGCGACGATATGTTATCTAATGTTTTCATAGAGCTATATTCATTTTGGTCAGGTCAGTGTTTAATCACACAATGATAAGATTAATATTGTACCTTTTGGTCATGTCTGCTGAGGAGGCATATGCCCAGTGTGCCAGCACTCCCAGAGAGCCAGATAGGAGGTCTCCTTGCCCCCCACACCGCCGCCCGCTGCCCTCCTGTCTGCACAAGATCACTGGACACCACAGAGACACAGGACACGGTCAGATCTTGACAGGAATATGTGTGAGCGTAGCGCTTAGTCTGAGTGTAGCTGTGTGTATGTGTTTGTAACACTAACCCTTGTTACCGTCGGTGATGAGGTCTTCCTCCCCCTTGAGAATCACGGTCAGGTTTCCCATGGCAACACTGAGCTCCATGGCACTCCTCTGATGGTCACTGCTATCCAGAGGCTCATGGTGCTGAAAACACAGATAGTGGGTTAATAATGAACGAACGCACACACTGAGCTAGCACTGGCAGACTCACCATAGCCTCATACAACCGGGTGAACTCCATGTAGTTGGGAGTCAGGATGCCCTTCTGGTACCCTTGGATGACTGATGGCTGCTGAGCAACCAGCCACAGCCCGTCCTATTGGTGGAACACACACAATCAATGAACATCCTTGTAATTTAAAAACAAATCTACTACCAAAGCAAAAATCAGTTGTGTGTACAGTACTTACTGCATCAATAACTATAGGGATATCTCTTGCTTTGGACTTCTCAATTACTTCCTAAAGAAAAAGAGTCATAAGAACATTGGTAATATCATGTGGACTGTCTAAACTCAAATTGACTGTGTGTGTGTGTGTGTGTATAGTCAGTGTCCCACGTGCCTTGGCGTTTTTCAGCAGCATGACATCTCTGCCTAGCCCTGGTCCCACCACCAGGCTATGGAGTCTGGGGAGCCATTTCTCTATCTCCTCCACTGCATTGGGGCTGTCCCTATGTACACAGTTATCATCAACATTACATTACATCATATACACACTGTTTACATACACTGAGTGTACAAAACATTAGGAACATCTGCCATTTCCATGACAGACTGACCAGGTGAATCCCGGTGAAAGCTATGATCCCTTATTGATGTCACTTGTTAAATCCACATCAATCAGTGTAGATGAAGGAGAGGAGACAGGTTAAATAAGTATTTTTAAGCCTTGACACGATTGAGACATGGATTGTGTATGAGTGCCATTCAGAGGGTGAATGGGCAAGACAAAATATGTAAGTGCCTTTGAACAGGGTATGGTAGTAGGTGCCAAGCACACCGGTTTGAGTGTGTCAAGAACTGCAACGCTGCTGGGTGTTTCACGCTCAACACTTTCCCCTGTATCAAGAATGGTCCACCACCCAAATGACATCCAGCCAACTTCACACAACTGTGGGAAGCATTGGAGTCAACATGGGCCAGCATTCCTGTGGAACGCTTTCGACACCTTGTAGAGTTCATGCCTCAACAAATTGAGACTGTTCTAAAGGCAAAAGGGGGTCCAACTCAATATTAGGAAGGTGTTTACATTGGCTTGTCAGTGTATGCATTGGCTTCTAAGACAGAACTTACAGCACAGGATGAACTATGAGCTCCGGACTGTAGGATTTGATCACTGTCGCTGCGTCTTTAGTACAGAATACGTGTGACAGGTCGGCCCCCTAGGAAGTGACAGAGGTTTTGTCATCATATCAATGTCTCCGGCAGAGAAAGAATTACACAGGACCAAGAAAGCTACTGTGTGCTTACCACTTTCAATGCAGAGATAGCAGCAAAGTACGGAGCTCCTGTATACCTTACCATGACAAGAAAAATAGTCAGAAGGAAGGGTGGATGGAATGAAAGGACACAAAGAAGAGGAGAAAAAATTGTGAATTACTTTGTTACCTCACACAATATGGGTATATGGCAGAAAACCTTCATTTAGAAATCAAAGTTGATGGTAGAGTTGGGTTGGGTCACTTGGGTGACTTACTCTTGACATCCCCCAATAATCCCAATCCGCCCGTCTTGGCCTTTATGCTTTTTAGACGTCAGTGGAGGGACTATATTTTTCACCAGTGGAAGGATATCATCCATGCCTGTGCGTGCGGCTGTCCCAAGGGAGAAGGAGCGCTCGATGACTGAGAAAGAAAAGAGAGAGGTATTCAGAGTTCTCCTTAAAATGTGTAGCTTCCCTGCGCTAGCTGCTTGTGTGTTGTGTGTGCTTTTAGGCTTAGACATGTTTGTGCGTCTGTTTCCGCATTATTCAGTTCTGTTTGACCTGCTTGTCGACAGGCAGTCTCACCAGGGCTGGCCATTGCTCAAACACAGTCCAACTGAGTGAGAGAAGTGAATACCTAAAGACTGAGAACCTGCATTGGACTGTGGCTGACTGTGGTAGCTGGGCCACTCAGCCTGGGATTGGGGCGAGTGGACTCGGAGGTGACACGACCGGCCACGCGTCATATGGCTGGAGGCGGACATCGGCACACCGGGCTGCATGGTGGACTCCATGGTATTCCGAGCAGGCGGCATTGCTGTGGTTGCGGTAGCTGTGGCGATAGGGTTTCTGGTGGCGATGCTGGAGAACATCTGTCCCAACACCTGGAGCATGTGGAGCTCGCGGGCGTGTTCAGCCTCTCGCCGGCGGTCCTCGACCTGCAGACGCTGCTCCTCCATCTGGTAGAAGCTCTGCTCGGCCTCGGCACTCTGCTCCAGGAACCGCTCCATCAGACTGTCCAGGGGCAGGTCGGCATGCCGCTTCTTGGGCCGCTTGGGTCGGCTGGAGGACGGCCCACTAGCTGACTGGCTGCTGCTGGTCTGTCTGACTGTGATGCCTGTGGAGGAAAGTGGATTGAGGTTTCGAGGGCTGTCACTGTGGCAGTATCTGCATACAATATGATAACAATGTAACAACATGCCATATAAATGGTACTTACCGTTCCCCACTGTCACAGGGATAGTGATGGGAGGGTATTCCAGCTTCACTTGGGTCTCTGGGTAGGAGCATTCCCCTGTGCTCTCCAGGTATGGGTCCTGTGGAGGGTCTGTGTCCTCTTCCTCCTCTGTCCCGTCCATGGTCTCATCCCCCACAGCCCCGCTGTCTAGCAGCTCCTGGGGGTCAATCTGGGGACGGCTGCTCAGTATCCTCTCCATGGCATCATAGAATTTGCAGATCTTGTGGTATTGTCCATTGTTCCTCAGGTTGCCCTCCTTGGCCAGGAGGAACTGCCTTTTCAGGCTTTTGATTCGCACCCTACACTGCTCCGGGGTTCTTTCGAACCCCATCTCTCCCAACCTTCGGGCGACGTCGCGGTAGACATGACTGTTTCGGAAGTTTCCATCCAACGCTGTCTGGATGTCCTGCTCGCCCCAGATGTTAAGCAAGGTTCTGGTCTCGACATCCGACCACAGAAAGCCCCGTGTTGAAATGGCGAGCATAATTAGGTGCGAGTTCAACTGATGCGCGATTGATATTTTAAAGCATGCAGAAGTTAGAAAACCAAAAAAAGTTAGCTAGCAAGTCGGCTAGTGAAATAGACTAACGTTAGCTAGCTAGCAACAGCCTGCATCAAACCTCGAAGCTCGACATTCAGACTGAGATTGATACCAGGTAACAATTTACCTGGACATGGAAGGCGCACATTTAGCAGCCTGATGTTGAGTTTCAGACAATGCACTTTAATATAATGGAGATCAGTGTGTCCCACAGTCTACAAAGCTGATTGATTATAGATCCCCACCAGTACACTCATGAGTACACCACAGCACAAACGTCAGGGGCAGAATGTGTACTACATCACAGGGATTGATTCTGAGGAGCTCTGCTGGGTCCTAAAGGAACTGAATTATTTCAAGGATTATTGTGATTTATAAAATTACAGTGACAGGGATTTCATGTTAAAGTACAGTATTTGTTGTTTTCACTTTACCTTCCTCGTTTAGATACAGAAGTGTTACAACAATCGTCAGTGCAACAGTACTGAGGCAAAAGACAACCATCCAACTTCCATGTTGCATGATTCTGTCATGCCCTTGCGAGCCTATTTAGTGGTATTAGAGGTGTCACAGACAGCGCTCACACACTGACAGTTCTTACCTAGACACGAACTGTGAGTTACTGCTGAAAATAGGATAGAGAGACGCTTCACTGGGATCATGAGAGCTGCTAAAAGAGCCTAAACCAAAACAGGAAGTGGGTTGGATATGACACTGGAATCTGATTGCTTTTTTTAAGCTCTTAAAGAAACAGAGGTCCTTTATGCTATTTATTATAGGGTAAAGTTCACAGATAGAGTGTGAACTCTCCGTTCTACATAGGATATTGAATATCCTATTGAGTTGTAATTTGTTTCCTTCATTGAATAGTACAATGTTACACTTACATTGTAACTAGCAGCACATCACCTGTCTCGTCTAAAGGCTAGCAATAAACTGGATTGCTCGATTTGCTCTCCTGCGCGCAGTGTTGTTCATTTTTGGAATCATTATTTGACCTCAAGGGGCGCAATGCGAGGTAAATCAAGTGCATCTAGAAATCCAACCTCCCCAAGCGTTTAAATGAACTTCCGGTTTTATCACAACTTTGAAAATCACTTTCAACAAGTGGACGAGAGAGGGAAGATCGGTGTTCTTCCGACTAGTCGGGCTTGTTAGATCTATGTGTTGATTGTATTGATAATCGTTCGAGTAATATCGAAGACACAGGACGATTTCTGTGTGTTTTAATCTGTCGATGTCAAGTAACTGTTAGCTATGTTTTCTAATGGCAACTTGCACCTACATTGTCCTATATCCGTAAACTAAAGGAAAGTTAAGTTAAGATAGTTTGGAGTGTCTCTGCTACACCGCTGAGGAAGGCTGCCAAGCGGCACGGGGCAAGAACCATGCCCGAGCTTTCCAAGATGAGGAAGCCCGACGTCAAGGTTGTCATTCTGGGCGACATGAACGTTGGGAAGACCTCCCTGCTCCACAGGTACATGGAGAGGAAATTTAAAGACACCATGAGCACCGTCGGAGGGGCGTTTTTCCTCAAACAGTGGGGACCCTACAATATCTCAATTTGGGACACTGCTGGTAAGGTGTTCATTATTGACTGTCATGAGTAGGTGTCGTTTATAGTAGGTCTTACGTTATTTTCCTCATTGTTTGATATCCACAGCCTGTTTAGAGTAGGGCCCTACACGTGTAACAATCAGTGTAGCCTGAGTAACCAGCTCTGTTGTTGATTTCCACTGTGTTTACCTGTGGAGAGTGCGTGACTCCACCACCTGAGGGTTGCTTGGCTGGGACAGTCCCTTTCATGTGACTGAGGCCAGATCAGATTAGTGATCTGGCCTACCAGGTTAAATGGGCTACTGGACAAGAACCACAATGTCAGACAAGTTAATGCCTATTATGTTGGACTAGGTCATATTGTACAGATTCATTAAATCATGGTTAATCTGAAATTGGTCTATTCCAATTCCCCAAAACCCCATCTCAAATTCTAGTTGGCACTGGATGAGGTCATATCACATGATTATATAGTATCTGATGTTGCACATTTTCAAGGTTCAAGATGTTCAGGGACAATAACATTACATTTTATGTTTCTCAATATTTATTCCATCCACCAAGGGTTAGGCTATATTCTTCCTAGCCCAATATTGGACTGAAGGACCTAAAATTAGTCCTTAGTCCAAGGACCTCACATGTTCTGTTTAACCTTTTAAAAATATTTTTTAATCTTTTTTTTTCCTGAAAATTATTTCTCACCGATATGAAAGGTACATTCCTTATGCTTCCAAAACCATACCACAAGCGATGTGTGTTGATGTTCAGTCCGAGCGCCACGGCGCTTAACAAAACACCCCCCTACAGAAGACGCCTTCGGCCAATGACTCTTATGTGTAATGTAATGGAACTGAAAGTCATGATCAAGGGCTATATCCTTCCAGATCTGGTGTTAGATATTGGGCTGGGGGCAATGCTTAACAGCCAACACTTTTGATTTTTGAGGATTTTTAACATATAAAAAAAAACTGGTTCATATAAGGAGTGATGAAATGCAGACAATCAATTAAATATAATGACAATCAATGTATATGCAATATTACATTTACCAGAGTTTAGATTAGGTTTTTGTTTATTAGACCTGAAGTTCAGAAAGACACACAGGCCTAAACCTAAACTCGACATCCAGATGTTTTTGAAATCCTGATTGGCACACTTGTGGGGCTAAAGCCCTCGCCTCATCAGAGGTTGTAACCTGGAAATAATGACATGCATTGTTTTGGTCATCTGTATCAAATGGGCACTTTCTGATACTCTATAATAACAGGTTCGATGTGAGGTTGGGATATAATATCAGTGCTTTGAACTTGGGTAAACATTTAGCAAAATAAACTTCAATCACAGCAGCTGAAATAAAGGTGAATTGGTTATATGACACAAGGAATATTATGACTATTAGCAACAGCAACATGATTTTGGTTGACTTACTGTAAGAAACTGGTAACTGAATGCTAAAACGAGTGTGTGTTTGCTTTGCACACCATTGTCAAAAGCATTAAGGGGCTTAACTCCAGTCCAGTGACTGTTGTTGGTTTAGAAAGATAGAAAAACCACTGAGTCACCAAAACTCAATCTCCCGTCCCTGCTCCTTATCCCGTCCCTGCTCCGTATCCCCATGACCTCTCAGCAGGATGCTGTTGCCTGCTATGTCCACATCATAGGTTAAAATAGGAAGTATTATGATTGCACAATCAAGTCCGAAGTTCATGGGGAAGGGGTTATGAGCCTTGTAAGTGAATTATTTACAGTATATAGTAGTTCTCAGACATTGTTGTAATTTCCCCTAAATCCTCCCCAGAACAGAAAATATAATTGTCAAACAGCCACAGTATTGGTTCCTTATTCTCTATGGGAGTTTCAACTGTGATGTATTTCACTGCTTACTTTAATTCTTATGACTATTGGGGAGGGTTAGATTTTTAGTAAACAGTAGCCTACATAGACAAACAAATAGACCTAGGCCTACTTTCAAACACATACTACTTACATACACTTACTAACACATTTAGTCTCATTTCAACCAATGGATGTTTCAGTGGTAGATGGTTCAACCTCCTGTGGAAGTTATAGAAGTTATAGTCACATGACATGAAGACTGCATCGCGAGGAGGGGGTTTGGGGTGACAGCACATGCTTCAACCTCCCACCCATTTACTGAACCTAATATAACCCTGGAGTGTTGAGTCATTCTACCAAATACAAAACATAGGCCTACACCAAAAGGGGGGTGGGGGTGGTTTAGTATCTCCCTAACCAGCACTTGTCTTCCTGACTGGCCCTCCTCCCTACAGATGTATCATCTCCTGTTTATGACACTGCTACACACTGGCTGTTTCTGGGCAGAATAGGACCCTAGCCCCGCTGCCCCGCACTTACTCTCTACCCTGTAGAGCTTTTTCTCAAACAACAAAATCTTCCCCTTCCTCAAATTCTGTTGATCCCAGGAAAATAGCTGTGTCAGCATAAACTAGACTTCAGCTCAGCTCTCCTTATTTGGTGGGTTATGTATCAGGCAGGCTACTTCTGGACAGTCAGGCCTAAGGTTTCTAATTAGATATCTTACGACCTGTGAAACATTTCATTTGGAACATGTTCAAAGGTTCCCTGGATTTCTGCACATATTTGGCCGATGATGTTCTAAACACTGGGAACAAAGAGCTCTCTCACACACTCCACACTCGTACAAAGGCTCCCTGATGAGATCGCTGTACTGAAACTCACACACACACACTGAAAAGCTCTTGCGTTATTCTACAACAATGGCTGCTTCTGTTTTTCGGCTACTGACTGTCTCGCTCGCTCTCCCTACCTCTCCCTTCTGTAGGCTATAGGCTACCTGTGGTTTGGAAGCCCATTCTTTTAAGCTTGTGCTTTTTTGTCTGTGGTTTGTTTGCCTTTATAGCTCAGTTGGTAGAGCATGGCGCTTGCAACGCAAAGATAGTGGGTTTGATTCCCGGGATCACCCATATGTAAAAAAGGTATGCACGCCTGACTAAGTCGCTTTGGTTAAAAGCATCTGCTAAATGGGCTCCTGAGCGGCGCAGTGGTCTAAGGCACTGCATCTCAGTGCTTGAGGCGTCACTACAGACCCCCTGGTTCGATTCCAGGCTGTATCACAACCGGCCGTGATTGGGAGTCCCATAGGGCGGCGCACAATTTGCCCAGCGTCGTCCGGGTTTGACTGTGTAGGCCGTCATTGTAAATAAGAATTTGTTCTTAATGGACTTGCCTACTTAAATAAAAAAAATATGGAATTTATTATTATTACTTGGTGTTCGTTGGTCTATATAAGAACATAATCATGAATATATGTCAACGCTTATGTGTATGCATCTACTTTCCTGTGTGCTTATAATGTTTTCTGATCATCCTTCCCTTTGTGTGTGTCCCAGGTCGGGAGCAGTTCCACGGGCTGGGCTCCATGTACTGCCGGGGCGCTGCTGCTGTCATCCTCACCTACGATGTGACCAACTGGCAGAGCCTGGCTGAGCTGGAGGAGCGCTTCCTGTCCCTCACCGACACGGCCAATAATGACTGCATCTACGCCATCGTGGGCAACAAGGCCGACCTCACAGACCCCCAGGCCCAGCTACTAGCCAACCAAGATGGCCTGACAGAGGACCAGAGAGAGTGGGACATGGAGAGGACTGGGGAGCCCAGGGTGCCTTCTGCATGTCCCACCCCTCCAGCCTCCCCAATCTCCCTGTCAGGGGTGTCAGTCAACAAGCAGGTGAGCCGGGAGGACGCAGAGGCGCTGTACGGGAGGATCCTGAGATACAAGGGTCTGGAGGAGACGAACAGCCTGCCTGCTGACAAGATGTGCTTCGAGACTAGTGCCAAGACAGGCTATAATGTGGACACTCTGTTTGAGACACTGTTCGACATGGTGCTGCCCTCCATCCTCAAGAAGAGGACTGAGAGAGAGGGATCGCCCACCGTGGACCTGGAAGAGTGCAAAGGGACAGGGAAACGGGCCAGGGCCGCCTGCTGCTAGGGATTAGGGGGAGGTGGGGAGGGATGGATGGACTGTTTGGGGGGGGGGGGGGGGGGTTTAGACTGATCGTAAAGAGGGGAGTTCATGTCATCTCTGTATTGTTCTCCCAGGACATTCTAAGAATTTTCAGCGTTGACCGTTTGATGATACACACACACCTGCACACACATTCTTTCAATCAAGCTGTCAATCAAATTAATAATCAAAACAAGTAATTTCATTATTCTTCCAATGAGCCGGTAAGTACAATAGTGGAGAGCTGGAGTAAGGAGTTATTGGATTTTAAACGTCTTCGAGAGGTTCTGTGTGGACTTGAGTTCAGCCCAAAATGTGTGTATGTGTAGAGCAGGTTTGGGTTTTCTGTTATTAATCTTGTTCTGGAGGCAGCTCTGCAGAGTGGTCACTAGCTGGCGCAGCCACAAAGTCATAAAATCTAACCTTAACCACACTGCTAACCTTAAATTAAGAGCAAAAAGCTTTTTATTTTCTTTTTTTCCCCATACATTTCTACAATATAGCCAATTCTGACTTTGCAGCTGGCCCATCTAGCGGAAATGGCTCAGTATTGCCTCCAGGACAAGATTCATGACAAATGTCAACCTGCATGTGTATATGGGAAATAGGCTACTGGTACACAGGCACACCTGTTTATAAATCAATCACTGAATGTTTGTTCATGTTTTGGAATGAGAATGTCACTAACCATGTTTCCATCCACAAATGGCGGTGGAAATGCCTTTATGCGCAAATATTGTTACAATAACCATAATATCGAAGTAAACTTGGAGTCAAGCGATGATATGGTGTTTGGTCCCCCACTATGACTCGGTGGCTTGATGGTCCTTTTCAATAAATATTGAGGGTCTAATTCTGGTGACATCATGATTGTCGATGCTTGACTGCCGTTTGACAAATAAAAATATTCTCACTCTTTTATAATATTCTCATCATGTAGACTAGCCTATCCACACTGTATCTGGGAGCTGTTGGCTAGAGCGCACGTGCCAAGACCAGAGTAAGCACATTTGCTATTTAACGCAACAAGTTGAAAATGTGATAAACACATAAAACTTTAGATTTTTTTTCGGAAAAAATATTTTTGTGTGCACTACGTCATCACGCACTGATTTTTTTATCCGCAACAAGTCAGTTTGGTGGAAGCACACCACTGGTGGGAAATATATTCTTTATGTGGATTTTAGAATATTCACATGAAAATCTGTCGCCAATTGGATGGAAACCTAGCTACAGATGCCATTGTTCAACAGCACTAATTGTTTGACTAATAGGGTGGCCACACTGAATTGTGTAAATTAATCCTATTTTAAGGATGTTCTGTTGCATGTTTTTTATTGATTCCTTTTTTCATGTCATTTTGCCTAATCTAAATTATAATATGTGTAATATACAATATATGTAAGATACAAGTTTGATATTTTCAAAGATACGATAAATTATTATTTTCATTTAGAAATAGGGGGATATAGTTTGTTTGAGCTAAAGTGTGAATGTCAATGCATGTACCACCAGCAGAAGTATAACAAACAAAACATTTTATTTTTGTTATGACTCAATTACAATAGAATTCAATGGATTCATAGCACCCAATGGTATTCAACATAATTACATAGAACAAATGACCAAATGAATCTGTTCAGCACATATGTAATGAATAGAAGTGGTTGGAAATATAAAACATGTGTTATTATTTCATGGAAGATTCAACATGGACTACTTCCTTGGACCTAGATTGTGATAAACAAATAAATGCTCTGGAGGGATTGCTGACCGAAGCACAGATTTGGTCCAACCACTCCTCTCTGCTCAGACTTTGGCCAGGGTTGCGTTCAGTTTGATTAAACGTTTGCCACGTTGCGTGGCGGTTTGTACTAAACTACACATTTCACCAAAACGTTCTTCAATGTTCTTGAACAGAGGTGTATTCATTATGCCCATTCTGTTGCAAAACATTTTGCAACAAACTGACCCAACCCCTCCTCGTTTTTCAACTGGTCGCTCAGAACAGCACCGTTTCCATTGAATTGAATGTTACACACCATTGTTTTTGTACTGAAGCAAGCCCCAGAGTTGTTAGAATTTTTGTGCTGGCTTGATTCTGACTGAGCTGACTTCATATGATTAGCCTGTGGAAAAGCATACTTGGAAAATGTGATGTCAACAATTTGTGTCATGGGTAAAACACAATTTTACAAAATATATATATTTTAGTTCTGAGCAAAATAAAAAAAGTTCATTCAGCGGATATAAATATACGTAGGAAAGTAAATCAGTGCAGTTTGTGACAATGTATGAATGTAAGATTAGGGTAAGAGCTGTAAAATATATATTGATACATAGACAGTTTATATATTGCTAACAAACTGTTTGCACTGTAAGGCCTCTTGATGCATAAATGTTATGTTACGTGAGAAGAACACTTGATGTAAAGCAGATTAATACTGAATGTTAAGAGCATTTCTTCTCAGTTGAAAACCTCAACCAAACCTCATAATTTACAATTGGTAGAGGGTCAGTGTTAGTGTAGTGGCAAAGGCACTATATACCTGAATAATAAAACGTAAGCACACTTTTAAAATAATAACTGAAGCAGTGCACACACACAATCAATTTTATCAATCATTAGATTCATTGATACCTGAAGCAGTGCATACTCGGGCATCTTTGGTTGTTTCAGCTGTATGCTCTTGGTATGGTCAGTTAAACATGTTTGGTACAGTGCATTCGGAAAGTATTCAGACCCCTCGACTTTTTCCACATTTTGTTACGTTACAGCCTTATTCTAAAATTGACTAAATTGTTTTTTTCCCCTCATCAATCTACACACAATACCCCATAATGACAAAGCAAAAACAGGTTTTTAGAAATATCACAGTAATAATAATATGCCATTTAGCAGACGCTTTTATCCAAAGCGACTTACAGTCATGTGTGCATACATTTTTACGTACAGTGGGGGAAAAAAGTATTTAGTCAGCCACCAATTGTGCAAGTTCTCCCACTTAAAAAGATCAGAGAGGCCTGTAATTTTCATCATAGGTACACTATGACAGACAAATTGAGAAAAAATCCAGAAAATCACAAAAAATCCAGAAAATCACATTGTAGGATTTTTAATGAATTTATTTGCAAATTATGGTGGAAAATAAGTATTTGGTCACCTACAAACAAGCAAGATTTCTGGCTCTCACAGACCTATAACTTCTTCTTTAAGAGGCTCCTCTGTCCTCCACTCGTTACCTGTATTAATGGCACCTGTTTGAACTTCTTATCAGTATAAAAGACACCTGTCCACAACCTCAAACAGTCACACTCCAAACTCCACTATGGCCAAGACCAAAGAGCTGTCAAAGGACACCAGAAACAAAATTGTAGACCTGCACCAGGCTGGGAAGACTGAATCTGCAATAGGTAAGCAGCTTGGTTTGAAGAAATCAACTGTGGGAGCAATTATTAGGAAATGGAAGACATACAAGACCACTGATAATCTCCCTCGATCTGGGGCTCCACGCAAGATCTCACCCCGTGGGGTCAAAATGATCACAAGAACGGTGAGCAAAAATCCCAGAACCACACGGGGGGACCTAGTGAATGACCTGCAGAGACCTGGGACCAAAGTAACAAAGCCTACCATCAGTAACACACTACGCCGCCAGGGACTCAAATCCTGCAGTGCCAGATGTGTCCCCCTGCTTAAGCCAGTACATGTCCAGGCCCGTCTGAAGTTTGCTAGAGTGCATTTGGATGATCCAGAAGAGGATTGGGAGAATGTCATATGGTCAGATGAAACCAAAATAGAACTTTTTGGTAAAAACTCAACTCGTCGTGTTTGGAGGACAAAGAATGCTGAGTTGCATCCAAAGAACACCATACCTACTGTGAAGTGTGGGGGTGGAAACATCATGCTTTGGGGCTGTTTTTCTGCAAAGGGATCAGGACGACTGATCCGTGTAAAGGAAAGAATGAATGGGGCCATGTATCGTGAGATTTTGAGTGAAAACCTCCTTCCATCAGCAAGGGCATTGAAGATGAAACGTGGCTGGGTCTTTCAGCATGACAATGATCCCAAACACACCGCCCGGGCAACGAAGGAGTGGCTTCGTAAGAAGCATTTCAAGGTCCTGGAGTGGCCTAGCCAGTCTCCAGATCTCAACCCCATAGAAAATCTTTGGAGGGAGTTGAAAGTCCGTGTTGCCCAGCGACAGCCCCAAAACATCACTGCTCTAGAGGAGATCTGCATGGAGGAATGGGCCAAAATACCAGCAACAGTGTGTGAAAACCTTGTGAAGACTTACAGAAAACGTTTGACCTGTGTCATTGCCAACAAAGGGTATATAACAAAGTATTGAGAAACTTTTGTTATTGACCAAATACTTATTTTCCACCATAATTTGCAAATAAATTCATTAAAATCCTACAATGTGATTTTCTGGATTTTCTTTTCTCATTTTGTCTGTCATAGTTGACGTGTACCTATGATGAAAATTACAGGCCTCTCTCATCTTTTTAAGTGGGAGAACTTGCACAATTGGTGGCTGACTAAATACTTTTTTCCCCACTGTATGGGTGGTCCCGGGGATCGAACCCACTACCCTGGCGTTACGAGCGCCATGCTCTACCAATTGAGCTACAGAGGACCACAGTATTCATACCCTTTACTCAGTACTGTTTTGAAGCACATTTGGCAGCGATTACAGCTTAGAGTCTTCTTGGGTATGACACTACAAGCTTGGCACACCTGTAGTTGGGGAGTTTCTTAGGACAATTCCTTCAACCTCATGGCTTGGTTTTTGCTCTGACATGCACTGTCAACTGTGGGACCTTATATAGACAGGTGTGTGCCTTTCCAAATCATGTCCAATCAATTGAATTGACCACAGGTGGACTTCCAAGTTGAAGAAACATCAAGGATGATCAATGGAAACAGGATGCACCTGAGCTCAATTTCGAGTCTCATCGCAAAGGGTCTGAATACTTATGTAAATAAGGTATTTCTGTGTTTTTTCATGAATTTGTAAAAATGTGTAAAAAACATGTTTTCGCTTTGTCATTATGGGTATTGTGTGTAGATTGAGGAACATTTCTTATTTAATCCATTTTTGTATGGATTCAGTATTCAGTATGAACATGTATGAACTCACTAACTGTAAGTCGCACTGGATAAGAGCGTCTGCTAAATGACTAAAATGTAAATGTAGTTAGTATAAGGCTGTAACGTAACAAAATGTGGAAAAAGTGAAGGGGTCTGAATACTTTCTGAATGCACTGTATATAACTTAGCTGAGGTAATAAGTTAGAGAGCACCATATCAAATAGGACAAACAATTTAAAAAGAACATTTACATGTATATTTCATATTGCTGTTGACTTCATGCCGGGGCTTCTTTTCCAATTATCACCACAAGACACTTGCTCTCCACTTGAAGTGTTCACACAGTCCTTCAGTCATCACAAGCCTGTGTTCAGGGGAGTATGATGAAGTTGCACCATAGACGCTGATCTAAGGTCAGTTTTGTGTTTTCCCCTTTATGGCTAAGATTTAGGGAGGGTAAGCTGATCCTGTGCCTAAGTGTAACGTCTACCTGAATTGCATTTGGTAGGGGGGGAGGGGGGTATGGTCACAGGAAATGATGTCAAAGGGGATTTAGGGTGAGCCAGGTCACAGGTTCTTCATGCAGACCTGACAGCGGCTGATGCGTGAGAGGAGCTGGCCTGCTTTCAGGGTCTCGGATGCAGGCTCGGCCTGGAAGGACTGTTCGATGGAGGTGAGCCAGAAGCTGTGTTTGTTGGCGAAGTAATGGCAGGTACCCTTGGCCCCGTTACACTCGATGAAGGGAGTGGTGCGGAAATCCTCCAGACAGGAACCAGGGGATGACAGAGACTGACCACCACCCTCGTCACCTGCTGCTGTGTGCTGTGGGGAGACGAGAGGGAGGGGAGATTGCTTTCACATGTCCTGCGTTTTCAGATCAATAAAGATGAAAATGAGACAAGAAGAGGCCACTTTAGACTATATTAGAACAAGAAGCAAGAGACTCACCATAAGGAAGGAGTAGCCAATCCACAGGCTGCGCCAGCCCGCAGGGCATTGTGGGATGGTGATGTCCTGGCTATGCACAGCGATGGCGACGGACGGAGCCTCACACACAGAGCAGCGGCTGATGTAGGGTTTGATCTCGCCCTCCTCCACAGGCATCATGGGAAGGGGTGCGGTGGTGGACAGCCAATAGGACTTGTCATTGCGGCTGGCGTAGTAGCAGATGTCTCCGGGGTTGCAGTACAGGAAGGGCATGGTGTTGAAACGAGGAAGGCAGGAGCCTGCCAGACCTGGGATCAATAGAACCATTAAATTAACCAATTATTCAATAAATGTATTCATATACAGTGAGGGGGAAAAGTATTTGATCCCCTGCTGATTTTGTACGTTTGCCCACTGACAAAGAAATTATCAGTCTATAATTTTAATGGTAGGTTTATTTGAACAGTGAGAGACATAATAACAAAAAAATCCAGAAAAACGCATGTCAAAAATGTTATAAATTGATTTGCATTTTAATGAGGGAAATAAGTATTTGACCCCCTCTCAATCAGAAATATTTCTGGCTCCCAGGTGTCATTTATACAGGTAACGAGCTGAGATTAGGAGCACACTCTTAAAGGGAGTGCTCCTAATCTCAGTTTGTTACCTGTATAAAAGACACTTGTCCATAGAAGCAATCAATCAATCAGATTCCAAACTCTCCACCATGGCCAAGACCAAAGAGCTCTCCAAGGATGTCAGGGATAAGATTGTAGACCTACACAAGGCTGGAATGGGCTGTAAGACCATCGCCAAGCAGCTTGGTGAGAAGGTGACAACAGTTGGTGCGATTATTCGCAAATGGAAGAAACACAAAATAACTGTCAATCTCCCTCACCCTGGGGCTCCATGCAAGATCTCACCTTGTGGAGTTGCAATGATCACGAGAACGGTGAGGAATAAGCCCAGAACTACACGGGAGGATCTTGTCAATGATCTCAAGGCAGCTGGGACCATAGTCACCAAGAAAACAATTGGTAACACACTACGCCGTGAAGGACTGAAATCATGCAGCGCCCGCAAGGTCCCCCTGCTCAAGAAAGCACATATACAGGGCCGTCTGAAGTTTGCCAATGAACATCTGAATGATTCAGAGGAGAACCTGTAAGTCGCTCTGGATAAGAGCGTCTGCTAAATGACTAAAATGTAATGTAAATGTAATGTAAATGAGAACTGGGTGAAAGTGTTGTGGTCAGCATCAACTCAACTCGCCGTGTTTGGAGGAGGAGGAATGCTGCCTATGACCCCAAGAACACCATCCCCACCGTCAAACATGGGGGTGGAAACATTATGCTTTGGGGGTATTTTTCTGCTAAGGGGACAGGACAACTTCACTGCATCAAAGGGACGATGGACGGGGCCATGTACCGTCAAATCTTGGGTGAAAACCTTTTTTCAATTTATAACATTTTTGACATGCGTTTTTCTGGATTTCTTTGTTGTTATTCTGTCTCTCACTGTTCAAATAAACCTACCATTAAAATTATAGACTGATCATGTCTTTGTCAGTGGGCAAACGTACAAAATCAGCAGGGGATCAAATACTTTTTTCCCTCACTGTAAAAGGATGACAGTGTTACAGCCACTACAGGCAAACTTGAGACAGCCTAATTGGTTCTATCTGCCAATCCAATCAAATAAAATCTGAATAGATAGGTGTATAACCTAATAATCGTGTGGTCTTTATTAGAATTTCCTGTCTTTTAGGTTCTTATCTTTGTCTCACCTAGGTCCTGGTTGTGGGCCTTCTCCTGGCCCTCGAAGTACAGCAGACTGTAGCCGTCCCACAGCTTGGACATGCCCACAGGGCACATGGGGGTCTGCTCTGATTGGCTGTGCTTCACCAGCAGGTATCCCACACTCACACTGCGTCCAGGCATGCCAGGCAACCCTGTAGTACCTGGGTTACCACGGTGTCCTAGGGGTCAGAGAGAGGTTTAAATGCCTCTGTGTGTAAGAGAAAAATAGTGTGCAATGTATTCGTACGTTTCTTTTTCATTAGTGTGTGGTTAAAATTAATTTAACATAACATGAAATAACACTTTCAGACAATAGGGAACTGTGAGGGCCTTCTATGTATATATTGTTCTATTTAATCTTTACAATAATTTCAATGATCTTCTGATTTCATCTCTTCAGTTTGTGTTGGAAAGAGAAGGGTTACGTTAATACTGAAGAGAGAAAAAATTAAGGATTTGTCTTTGGTGGTCTCTGGGTAGGAAAATCGAGCTGGCTCAGCCAGCCATTGGCTAGGCCTTTAGAAGCTGGACAGAAGGCCTCTGCCATTCAACTGTTTTAGAGCAGAATTTTGGAGTGACAGTGGAATGAACCAATCACATTTTGACTTGCAATAGGTGGGATAGTAAAAAGAAAAAGTGAGCGCAAGAGCAAATAATCAGTGGTGCAAGCTGTAGTTTTCTCATAATGCAAGTAACATTAGCTAGCTTGTGTTGTAGTGTGACAATGGCCACGGCGGCTGCAGCAGCTGTTCTCAACTTCAAGGTGGATGTTGTTGCTAATTTATTAGCATCTCCTTTTTCAAAATTAACTTTCAAACTTCGTTTGGTGAGTGGCACTGTTTTTGTTGCAGCTTCCTTGCTGTTATCTACAATATCTCTTAGAAAATAATGACATTGTTGCATTTCAACTTTAGATCACCGGTTAGTGTGATGAATGTGATAAAATATATTTGCAATAGGAAGTAATAACTGGTTTGTTCATTTCATTCTGGAAATGAAATGGTTGTGCTTTTGTATCGTTATGATTTTATGCCTACTGGCGTGAATGGGCTGCTTATTCGTTAACATTATTTGATGCTATGTGTGACTGCTGTCTATGGGTCCCTGTCTATGTGTTTTACCAAAAGTGCACAGGTATTACGGTCGCTGTCCTTTCAGCACCACAAGCCTGTCACCTTTGATGTGACACTGCTGTTGTTGCTATTGGTGATAGTGGTGTTAGGCTACCATAGGTTGTGTAAACAGTGTTTTTTGTTTTGCTGGTTGCATTATTTTATGCTGTGTGTCATGTTGCATCTGTGCCGGTTCTGTCTCTGTGTGTGCAGCAGCCCAAAGTGCAGCCAGGCCTGTTTTATTCATTCATAATGCCGTCAATAAGCATTGCTCCTCCTTCACTAGAACTAGAATGGTCCGACTACAGAATATATAATGTCGGGCGCATTAAGTAATGCTATGTTTTCTGTTCTTTTCTAGATTTTTGAGTTTGATACAACGTATTGGAAGATTTTTGGTCCCTCTGAAGGCCTAAATCCTATAGTAACGGTTTTCCACTGCTTTCAGGTAAAATAAGTCACACCATGAGAACTGTCAATGGAATACAGGTTTTAATTAATTTCAGATCAGCACTAAACTAATTACATACCTAATAATCCCTAAAGGCCATGGGTAATTTATCTCATAAAACACCTGCAGCTCATTCAGACACATAACACTCTGACCCAAACCCTCTGGTGGAAACGAGCTCCCATTCTTAATCCCTTAATCAAGGCCTGATTGCTGTAATCCTTATATGCCCTGTTGCCCTGGCATGGTCGCCTTCCTGTACCTACCTTCCATGCCTTGAAGACCAAGGTGGCCCCTCCCTCCGTCATTCCCACGGTACCCGGGGGTACCCGGTCTGCCACCCACCCCTGGCATCCCCTTCTGCCCCTGGGGGCCCAGGTAGCCTAAATGGGAAGGGGGGATGGGGGTAAAAGAAGGGGTAAGGAAGAAGCAAAAAGGGGGAAATGGTCATTCAGTGAAGAAAGTCAGCCAATCCTACAGAAGCACTTGTATAAAGAACAACATTTGACATAAAGAAGTATATAACAATATTGTTACACAATATAAGGTAGTTGTGCTGCTGGATTCTCCTACCTGGATCTCCAGGGGGTCCTTTCGGGCCAGTCTCCCCTCGTACCCCCTCAGGTCCTCGGATGCCCTGAGGCCCTGGAGCACCCCTTTCTCCTGGCATCCTGGGGGGGAGTGGGGCTGGGCCCGGGTTACCTGGGGCTCCCAGATAACCTGCAGGACCAGACCAGGTCACACACAGTTTGTACGTGAGAAACTTTAATAATAGTGTAGGTGATTTTCAGGTGAATTATAGTGATGTGCAGATTGAGATCAAACCGAGGGAGATGACATCATTACCTATGGGTCCAGTATTTCCTTTTGGGCCAGAAGGACCTCGATCTCCTTGGAAACCAGACCTACCAGGAATTCCCATCATCCCTTGCTCTCCCTTCACACCTTTGGGACAAAAACCATGGCTGTTACTCATTTTACTGTTTCAGTGCAAAGTAACCAGCTCAATAATCCCTGCTTGCCAAATGTGAAACAGACAGCCATCTATGATGGATAATAAAACATAATTCTGGATTGTATTTCGTAATTCCCACTCGGCCTACTATAATTCTATGATCCGTACCTTTCTTCCCAGACACTCCGCTCTGTCCTTTGTATCCTGATGGTCCCTGATCCCCCTGCTTTCCTTTCAGACCAGTGAATCCAGGGAAGCCATACTGGCCAGCTAAACCCTTCTCTCCATATGGAGAGGGCGCACCAGGATATCCACGGGGCCCAGGGAAACCTATGAAACAGAACAATCATTATTAGCACACCAAATACACACCAACCAAACACATCCCACACATCATGCACACCACATCCCAGAGGATAAATACTTAGTTAATCTTCTGTAAATCCACACATTCTCCACTCTACTATACCTGACAGCCCTTTGGGTCCAGGGAAGCCAGGGTCTCCTGATGGTCCAGGTTTGTCTGAGGTGCCCTGTGGTCCTTGGGGGCCCTGAGACCCTGGGGGTCCCACCTGGCCCTGGTCACCTGAGTACAAGGGACAAAGAGAAGAAGAGAAGGGGGAGGTCTTAGATACTTTGAAACACTAAATGTCCTCCAAACCTTGTAACAAAAAGATGCAATGTGTCTTTTGGAGCAATGACTAACCTGGTTGTCCTTGAACGCCCTTCAAACCCAGCGATCCTGGGGTCCCGACCTCCGAGTTGGGTATACCTGTCTCACCCCTCGCTCCCTTAGCACCGGGAACACCTGGGGTTCCCAAGTTATCCTGACCTGGGAGTCCAGGGATGCCCTTCACACCCTTCAGTCCATCCAGTCCCAATATACCCTTCAGGCCAGGAAAACCTGCAGAAAGGAGCAGATCAAACACAGTGATAAGGCAAAGGTGTTGTGTGTGCACACCTGTGCTTTTGTGTATGCGTGTGTGTGTGTGTACCTCTCTGTCCTGGGAAGCCTGGTTGTCCATTTGTGCCTGATTCTCCTGGGACCCCAGGCCATCCCTTCGTACCCTGGTTGCCTGGAAACCCTTGTTGACCATCAGATCCTGGAGACAGCAACCACAGTCAGACACACACAACAGTCAGACACAGGCAATGAATGACACTCATTTTAATAATGTGAGCAATACGGTAGGAAGTCAAGTTTCTTACCTATAGCTCCTCCTATGCCAGGCTCTCCCGGCCCCCCTTTCATGCCCTCAATACCATGGAAACCACCACTGCCCCTGTCTCCCGGATTCCCAATGTAGCCCTTCTGACCTGTAGGGAGAGACAGAGGGCATCAGGAACACTGCTACCATGGTAACGCATCTCAGACAGCATCTTAGTCAAATTAGACTCATTTTTTTCATCTGTACTGAGAGCATAGAATAGTAAAATCAATATGGTGGAGGCCTACCACTACCAGGTACACTGTGTTTTCTCTCACCAGTCCATAGTTCCTAATGGAAATGAAGGAAGCCAGCCCCAATGAGTGACTCACCTAGAACCCCTGGGAAACCATCATCCCCCCTCAGTCCTGTGGATCCGGGCATGTCGATTACGGGACCCTCCTCACCTGGAGAAGAAAACAATTAGGCGTATTTCAGCCAGTACCTTTCACTACTCACCCTTTCTTCTATTTAAATGTTAAATAGTCCTGGGACTTTTGCTTCGAGTCCAAGTGCTTAACAAAGACAAGCTTAAACTGAGTTGAAACAGCTGGAAAGTGGAGTCTGGATGACTACTGGCGTCTACAGCAGTGGAGGCTGCTGAGGGGAGGACGGCTCATAATAATGGTTGTAACGGAGCGAATGGAATGGAATCAGATACGTAGAAACCATGTGTTTGATACTCTTCCACTTATTCTGCTACAGTAATTACCACTAGCCCGTCCTCCCCAATTAAGGTGCCACCAACCTCCTGTGGTCTACGGTACTGTACTTATCCATCTATGAGATTTGCGACAGACTGGGGGCATCATACCTTTGACCCCCTTCACTCCTGGATCTCCTGAAGATCCGTAGGCACCGGGGGTACCTTTCTCCCCCTGAGAAACAAACACAAGAAACACCACATTAACATGTTTAGCATGAACACTAATGAGGGCTGGCTGCAGCAGAGACACAATGGGAACCAGACTACATGGTCTCACCCTGTGACCGGACATCCCAGGAAAGCCGCTGATTCCGTCTGATCCAGTCGGACCTGGCATTCCTTTTGGCCCTGGAAGTCCCTGCGCCCCTGGGTTGCCTGGGAAACCCTTCTCATCGCTGGGGTCTCCGGGAACGCCATGGTAGCCCTCCATACCAGGAACGCCGGGAAAACCTTTAGGACCTGTAGAAGAGAAGTGGGGAAGGTTAGAGGGGATGAAAATGAGAGGAGGATGAGAGTATGTGAATAAAGAAGAGCGGGTGGATAGGAAGGGCATGAAGCCTGAATCACCTCTGGGTCCAGTAAATCCTATTTGTCCTGGGGTTCCATCTTCTCCCTTGGTCCCCTTCATGTCATTGATGATCTGACGAGGGATGTGGGGCTTCTCGCCTGGCATACCACGCAAACCACGGTCACCTAGGAGACAGCGGGGTTGAGCGTGAGTGTCCAATCAGATAGAAGGATCCGATAAAGAGAAAGAGAGAGACAGGGAAAGAGAGTGGTAGAGCACAGAAAGACACACCATTCTAATGACAGTTCAGTCTCACCCTTTGAACCATAGTCGCCCATGTTTCCTTTCTGTCCAAATCCGCCGGGAATGCCATTCTCTCCCTTCTGTCCAGAGAAACCCTTAAGGCCCGACTCACCGGGCATACCTCCAAACCCTGACATGCCACGAGAACCTTTGATACCTGGAACAGGAAGTGACATCGCAGGTCAGAAAGAACGTCCTTACAGCGGCATCTGGCTACGATATATTTCAGCATTACTCACTGCAAACATTGCATCCTCATATCAACTCATCAGGAAATGACATGTGGAATGTGATCAGAGTATGACCATACTGTGACCACGAACTCTATAATTAGAACATTGGACAGAACATGACTCCACTTAGTATAGTATGTGTATAATAAGTTACCCTTGAACCCTGGCAGGCCAGAGTGTCCTGTAGGTCCTGGCTCTCCAGGGTCACCCAGGTCTCCGGTGTTTCCCTCAGCGCCCAGACCTCCAAACTCCCCCGGTGTCCCCTTCAGTCCTATGGGCCCCGGGGTGCCAGGGTCCCCCTGATCACCCCTGCCTCCGCTCAAACCTGGAAGATACAAATACACAGGGTATTAGCTGTGAGTCAAAGAGCTTCTTCCTCTTCAAAGCAAATTAAGAAAGTTCCAAAAGAGAAGTTAGTCAGTTGTGTCTGACCTGGTTGTCCGATGCTTCCTGTTGGTCCAGGGACTCCAGCCTGTCCGGGTACACCTGGCCAGCCGTACTTCCCAGCAGCTCCCGGTCTTCCTTGCTCCCCCTGCAGACCTGAAGGACCCACGTCGCCCTTGAAACCAATCATCCCAGGCATGCCACCCATCCCTGAGAGAGACGGGAAGAGAGAAGCCATTACAATAGCTATACACTAACACTCTTGAAAAGGTGGAGAAATTGTAGTTTATTGAATGTCAACTTCAGTCCACTGTACGTTATGGTAGTACCCACCTGGGTAGCCCTCGTTTCCAGGCTCTCCGCTAAAACCTTTAGGTCCCTGCTCTCCAGGAAGACCCACTTCTCCAGGTTGTCCGGTTGACGCTCCCCAGATCTCCCCGTGTGGTCCCTTTTCCCCGGGCTCCCCGTCCCGACCATGTTGGCCTGGCAGACCTTGGTCTCCAGGTTTACCCTTGGCGCCGGGCTGACCCAAGTCTCCACGGGGGCCAGTGAAACCTCAGAGAGGACCAGACCATCAGAACTATTACCATCAGCTAGTAGGAGGTTAGAACCTGGACTAAGATGTAATAAGTAAATTCTGACTTAGAATTTGTGGACAACTACAAATACCTACAGTGAGGGACAAAAGTATTTGATCCCATCCTGATTTTGTACGTTTGCCCACTGACAAAGACATGATCAGTCTATAATTTTTATGGTAGATTTATTTGAACAGTGAGAGACAGAATAACAACAAAAAAATCCAGAAAAACGCATGTAAAAAAATGTTATAAATTGATTTGCATTTTAATGATGGAAATAAGTATTTGAAACCCTCTCAATCAGAAAGATTTCTGGCTCCCAGGTGTCCTTTATACAGGTAACGAGCTGAGATTAGGAGCACACTCTTAAAGGGAGTGCTCCTAATCTCAGGTTGTTACCTGTATAAAAGACACCTGGGAGCCAGAAGCAATCAATCAATCAGATTCCAAACTCTCCACCATGGCCAAGACCAAAGAGCTCTCCAAGGATGTCAGGGACAAGATTGTAGACCTACACAAGGCTGGAATGGGCTACAAGACCATCACCAAGCAGCTTGGTGAGAAGGTGACAACAGTTGGTGCGATTATTCGCAAATGGAAGAAACAAAAAAGAAATGTCAATCTCCCTCGGCCTGGGGCTCCATGCAAGATCTCACCTCGTGGAGTTGCAATGATCATGAGAACGGTGAGGAATTAGCCCAGAACTACACGGGAGGATCTTGTCCAATGATCTCAAGGCAGCTGGGACCATAGTCACCAAGAAAACAATTGGTAACACACTACGCCGTGAAGGACTGAAATCCTGCAGCGCCCGCAAGGTCTCCCTGCTCAGGAAAGCACATATACAGGCCCGTCTGAAGTTTGCCAATGAACATCTGAATGATTCAGAGGAGAACTGGGTGAAAGTGTTGTGGTCAGATGAGACCAAAATCGAGCTCTTTGGCATCAACTCAACTCGCCGTGTTTGGAGGAGGAGGAATGCTGCCTATGATCCCAAGAACACCATCCCCACCATCAAACATGGAGGTGGAAACATTATGCTTTGGGGGTGTTTTTCTGCTAAGGGGACAGGACAACTTCACCGCATCAAAGGGACGATGGACGGGGCCATGTACCGTCAACTCTTAGGTGAGAAACTCCTTCCCTCAGCCAGGGCATTGAAAATGGGTCGTGGATGGGTATTCCAGCATGATAATGACCCAAAACACACGGCCAAGGCAACAAAGGAGTGGCTCAAGAAGTAGCACATTAAGGTCCTGGAGTGGCCTAGCCAGTCTCCAGACCTTAATCCCATAGAAAATCTGTGGAGGGAGCTGAAGGTTCGAGTTGCCAAACGTCAGCCTCGAAACCTTAATGACTTGGAGAAGATCTGCAAAGAGGAGTGGAACAAAATCCCTCCTGAGATGTGTGCAAACCTGGTGGCCAACTACAAGAAACATCTGACCTCTGTGATTGGCAACAAGGGTTTTGCCACCAAGTACTTAGTCATGTTTTGCAGAGGGGTCAAATACTTATTTCCCTCATTAAAATGCAAATCAATTCATAACATTTTTGACATGCGTTTTTCTGGATTTCTTTGTTGTTATTCTGTCTCTCACTGTTCAAATAAACCTACCATTAAAATTATAGACTGATCATGTCTTTGTCAGTGGGCAAACGTACAAAATCAGCAGGGGATCAAATACTTTTTTCCCTCACTGTAGGTGTCTGGTTAGACCGTAAACTCTCCTTCCAGACTCACATTAAGCATCTCCAATCCAAAGTTAAATCTAGAATCTGCTTCCTATTTCGCAACAAAGCCTCCTTGACTATCCTACCGATCCTTGACTTCGACGATGTCATTTACAAAATAGCCTCCAACACTCTACTCAGCAAATTGGATGTAGTCTATCACAGTGCCATCCGTTTTGTCACCAAAGCCCCATATACTACCCACCATTGTGACCTGTACGCTCTCGTTGGCTGGCCCTCACTACATATTCGTCGCCAAACCCACTGGCTCCAGGTCATCTATAAATCACTGCTAGGCAAATCCCCGCCTTATCTTAGCTCATTGGTCACCATAGCAACACCCACCCGTAGTATGCGCTCCAACAGGTATATCTCACTGGTCATCCCCAAAGCCAACACCTCCTTTGGCCGCCACTCCTTCCAGTTCTCTGCTGCTAATGACTGGAACGAACTGCAAAAATCTCTGAAGCTGGAGACTCTTATCTCCCTCACTAACTTTAAGCATCAGTTGTCAGAGCAGCTTACCGATCACTGCACCTGTACACAGCCCATCTGTAATTAGCCCACTCAACTACCTCATACCCATATTTATTTTGCTCATTTGCACCCCAGTATCTCTATTTGCACATCATCTTCTGCACATCTATCACTCCAGTGTTAATACTAATTAATTGTAATTATTTTGCACTATGGCCTATTTATTGCCTTACCTCCATAACTTACTACATTTGCACACACTGTATATAGATTTTCTATTGTGTTATTGACTGTATGTTTTTGTTTATCCCATGTGTAACTCTGTGTTGTTGTTGTTTTTATTGCACTGCTTTGCTTTATCTTGGCCAGGTTGCAGTTGTAAATGAGAACTTGTTCTCAACTGGCCTACCTGGTTAAATAAAGGTGAAATAAAAATAAAAAGCACTATAGTACATTACAAGTGGGAGTAAATGTACCTGTGTAGAGGGATTGGATGTTATGTGTCTGTAACTAGCGCAAAAATACTACAATTACAGCTAAAGCAGCAAAATGATTACCTGGATGTCCGGGAGACCCTCCTATGCCTTGCTCTCCTATCTCTCCTTTGGCACCCTCATCTCCAAGTGGACCTGTGAATCCATTTTGACCTAGGAGTCCTGAAGCACAGACAAAAGGACATACAGGAAGTTAAACATAAATGTGGAATTTGACAGGAAAAGACCATGCAGGACATATGACACATTTTCTGTTTTGCATTCTAAAGCTCAAACCGAACCTAAAGGAAAAGTTACCTGGGAAACCCTCTAACCCGTGTGGTCCTGGTGGTCCTGGCATACCGGGTGGTCCGGGTACGGCAACACAATCGCCTGAGTAAAAATAACACACAATGGACATATTTACATTGCGATTAATAATTACTATGAGAACGGTCCTCATTTAATAACTGCTGTTTCACTACTGTTTAATGAAGCTCTACTCCACATCTCATACTGTACATATCTGTGGAAACGTCAGTGGTTTTGCCTGCTTGTTGCCTTGTTTCGACGACACTGTTGCCCAGTGTGGATTGTGGATCAGAGCATAGCGAAAATAATTTATACATATTAGCCAACTAACCAAAGACAAAACTATGACGGGAGAAACCAGTTACAAAAATGTCGTTCACTTAACTCTTACTCTATACACAGTAAGCACGGTTACATGCACAACATAATACGATTATTGTGAATAGTCAGATTAATATAATAGTTTGATTTAAACATTTCATGCTTTGCAAGAAGAACGATTTCCCTAACAATCCTGTTTACATGGACACATTTGAAATCAGGCTACCTGATGGGACTTTGATAAATACAGAAAATCGCCAATCAAAATAAATGTTCTACCACAGCGACCATGTTATTTTTGTGAAGCCTATTTGATTCTGAGTTCGGACATATAAAGTTTATATGTGAAAACTATTTCTAAGAGGAATACTTGTTTTTCTGAACTCACTTCACTTGCGCAAAAGAAGGAAGCTCGCGCTGCTCGTGCTAGCACATGCGCAGATTAAATACGCTGCTGTTACTCTGATAAAGGCGTTTACATGTCCTAATAATTCAAAAGATTGCCTAGAAATCCCGGTGTTTTAATCGGCGTATCCTTACTTCAATTATGACCTTACGCCGATTAAGATAAGCAGAGTAAGGTGTTTACATGACTAATGTCATACTTGGCTTACTGCCGTAATCAGTTTAATATCGAATTATTTGTGTGCATGTAAACATACTCACTGACTGTAAACTAACCCAAGACAGAAAGGCTACGGAAGCAAAGCACCAGTAGAGAAAGGTTCTGTAATGAAAATGCTGTTACTCCAGCTACCTTTGATGTCATTCAGTCCTCCATCTCCTGTCGGACTACAGTCAGACTCTCCTTTCAATGGCAATAAAAGAGAGAGGGAGAAAGAAAAAGAGAGACATTCAAAATAAGGGTTAGAAAAGCTCGAGCATGATCTCAAACAAGCACTGTTGTGGCTGGTTTGAGGGATGCAGACAGACTGCATCAGGGCTCATCTGGAGCAAGAGATGAGGAAAGATGAAAGTGGAAGCATCAGTTCAATCATGGACACAAGCACGGAAGGGCAAACATTACAAAATACAATTACAAAATACAACTACAAAATACCATAAATATTAATTTATCAAAATAAACCATTAAATTACTTGTATTTTGAAATGTATTTAATTAAAATACATGTATTTTGTATTTTCAAATACAGAAATACATTTGGAAGTAGCCGGCCTGAACAGCAACTGTCTTGTTTTGTATGCTTTGTACAAAATAATAAAATGCAGGAGGACAGGATATTTATAAACGTAGCTCTTTATTAACTAGCTATAACTGGCATGTTCATGTGTCTCTGGCCATGATCATCTTTTAGAATGACCTCACCACCTGGGTGGTCTTAACCAATCATAGCACAGGATGATATGACAGTAGAATGCATCCAATTACAATTCAGTATGCTGACACATATGAATATTACAGCAACAACATTCTCAGTAATGGTTACAGAAACGTTTTACTTGCTATGACTGTGATATGTTGTTGTTTATCTACCTTAGATGAATGCACTGACTGTAAGTCACTCTGGATAAGAGTGTCTGCTAAATGACCAAAATGTAAATGTATGTGAGAAAATGAACATACAAAAATGAACTGCAAATCACACTGGGTATTATGATTGGCCTTGTTTCAGGGCTGAGCTAATTAGAATAATACTAAGCATGCTTTGCAATTGTTCATTCATACATTTATATTTAGTTCATTTAGCAGATGCTCTTATCACACTATAGTGCCATCAGACTTCTGATACCAATGCAAGGTGAAAAGGGGCCACAAAATGGTGAACCGCTATAATAAAATAGTATAGAAAAGTATTTTGTATTTTGAAAGTGTCTTGTTATAAAATACACTGCTCAAAAAAATTAAGGGAACACTTAAACAACACAATGTAACTCCAAGTCAATCACACTTCTGTGAAATCAAACTGTCCACTTAGGAAGCAACACTGATTGACAATAAATTTCACATGCTGTTGTGCAAATGGAATAGACAACAGGTGGAAATTATAGGCAATTAGCAAGACACCCCCAATAAAGGACTGGTTTTGCAGGTGGTGACCACAGACCACTTCTCAGTTCCTATGCTTCCTGGCTGATGTTTTGGTCACTTTTGAATGCTGGCGGTGCTTTCACTCTAGTGGTAGCATGAGACGGAGTCTACAACCCACACAAGTCGCTCAGGTAGTGCAGCTCATCCAGGATGGCACATCAATGCGAGCTGTGGCAAGAAGGTTTGCTGTGTCTGTCAGCGTAGTGTCCAGAGCATGGAGGCGCTACCAGGAGACAGGCCAGTACATCAGGAGATGTGGAGGAGGCCGTAGGAGGGCAACAACCCAGCAGCAGGACTGCTACCTCCGCCTTTGTGCAAGGAGGAGCAGGAGGAGCACTGCCAGAGCCCTGCAAAATGACCTCCAGCAGGCCACAAATGTGCATGTGTCTGCTCAAACGGTCAGAAACAGACTCCATGAGGGTGGTATGAGGGCCCGACGTCCACAGGTGGGGGTTGGGCTTACAGCCCAACACCGTGCAGGACGTTTGGCATTTGCCAGAGAACACCAAGATTGGCAAATTCGCCACTGGCGCCCTGTGCTCTTCACAGATACACTGAGCAGATGTGACAGACGTGGCAGAGTCTGGAGACGCCGTGGAGAACGTTCTGCTGCCTGCAACATCCTCCAGCATGACCGGTTTGGCGGTGGGTCAGTCATGGTGTGGGGTGGCATTTCTTTGGGGGGCCGCCCAGCCCTCCATGTGCTCGCCAGAGGTAGCCTGACTGCCATTAGGTACCGAGATGAGATTCTCAGACTCCTTGTGAGACCATATGCTGGTGCGGTTGGCCCTGGGTTCCTCCTAATGCAAGACAATGCTAGACCTCATGTGGCTGGAGTGTGTCAGCAGTTCCTGCAAGAGGAAGGCATTGATGCTATGGACTGGCCCGCCCGTTCCCCAGACCTGAATCCAATTGATCACATCTGGGACATCATGTCTCGCTCCATCCATCACGTTGCACCACAGACTGTCCAGGAGTTGGCGGATGCTTTAGTCCAGGTCTGGGAGGAGATCCCTCAGGAGACCATCCGCCACCTCATCAGGAGCATGCCCAGGCGTTGTAAAGAAGGTCATACAGGCACGTGGAGGCCACACACACTACTGAGCCTCAATTTGACTTGTTTTAAGGACATTACATAAAAGTTGGATCAGCCTGTAGTGTGGTTTTCCACTTTAATTTTGAGGGTGACTCCAAATCCAGAACTCCATGGGTTGATACATTTGATTTCCATGGATGATTTTTGTGTGATTTTGTTGTCAGCACATTCAACTATGTAAAGAAAAAAGTATTTAATAAGATTATTTCATTCATTCAGATCTAGGATGTGTTATTTTAGTGTTCCCTTAATTTCTTTGAGCAGTGTACATTGAAGTTTAGTTCAGCCTAGTTTAATACAAATTACAAAATACTCAGAAGTAATTTAAATACATATTTCAAATACATGTAACAGAAATACTGCCCATCTCTGGACACAAGGGTATAAGACAATCTCACACAGTCCCATTCATGACAAGGCCTTGGAGTCTAAAACTATGGGGAAAGGAGATACCTAGTTAGTTGCACAACTGAATGCAGTAAATCAGAGAGGTGCGGGGGGCTGCCTTAATCGACATCATCGGCGCCCGGGGAGCAGTTGTTTTTGGGGGTTAACTGCCTTGCTCAAGGGCAGAATGGCAGATTATTCCCAACTTGCCGGCTCGGGGATTTGAACCAGCGAACTTTAGGTTACTGGCCCAACGCTCTTAACCGCTAGGATACCTGCCGCCCCCTACTACAACTAGTCTTTATTTTTTCCCCATAATTAGCGGAGGAGGAGAGAGGGTAGATAGGGAAGAAAATAATGAGAACGTTCAAGAGAGATAAAAACAGAAGGACTCTGAGAGTGATTGGGAAAGAGAGCGAGAGAAAGAGAGATAGAAAGAGGGAGAGGGTAACACACCTGGATCTCCAGCTCGACCTTCGACACCAGCGTAACCCGGCTCCCCATCATCGCCTCGTAACCCTGTAACCCCTTTAGTGGCACCTAGAACCCGTCCCGGTTCTCCCATCTGTCCAAACAACCCAGGGAGACCCGGCCGGCCAGGATAACCCTTTTCTCCAGTGAGTCCCTCAGGTGCGTCCCCCTAGAACAGAGAACACAGGACATATACACTACCAGTCAAAAGTTTGGACACACCTACACATTCAATGGGTTTTTCTTTATTTTTACAATGTTTTACACTTCAATTAACAGGTGTGCCTTCTTAAAAGTTAATTTGGGGAATTTATTTCCTTCTTAATGCGTTTGAGCCAATCAGTTGTGTGGTGACAAGGTAGGGGGGTATACAGAAGATAGCCCTATTTGGTAAAAGACCAAGTCCATAGTATGAAAACTTTATGCACTCACTAACTGTAAGTCACTCTGGATAAGAGCGTCTGCTAAATAACTAAAATGTAAATGTAATGGCAAGAACAGCTCAAATAAGTAAAGAGAAACGACAGTCCATCATTACTTTAAGACATGAAGGTCAGTCAATACGGAACATTTCAATAACTATTAAAGTTTTGTCAAGTGCAGTCGATGATGAAACTGGCTCTCATGAGGACTGCCACAGAAATGGAAGACCCAGAGTTACCTCTGCTGCAGAGGATAAGTTCATTAGAGTTACCAGCCTCAGAAAATGCACCTCAAATAAATGCTTCACAGAGTTCAAGTCACAGACACATTTCAACATCAACTGTTCAGAAGGGACTGTGTGAATCAGGCCTTCATGGTCGAATTGCTGAAAAAAACCCACTACTAAAGGACACCAATAAGAAGAAGAGACCTGCTTGGGCCAAGAAACATGAGCAATGGACATTAGACCGGTGGACATTTGGCCTTTGGTCTGGAGTCCAAAATGGAGATTTTTGGTTCCAGCCGCCGTGTCTTTGTGAGATGGTTTGGGATGACTCGGACGGCAGAGTGAAGGTAAAGCAGCCAACAAGTGCTCAGCATATGTGGGAACTCCTTCAAGACTGTTGGAAAAGCATTCCAGTTGAAGCTGGTTGAGAGAATGCCAAGAGTGTGCAAAGCTGTCATCAAGGCAAATGGTGGCTATTTGAGGAATCTCAAATATAAAATATATTTTGATTTGTTTAACACTTTTTTGGTTACTACATGATTCCATATGTGTTATTTCATAGTTTCAATGTCTTCTCTATTATTCTACAATGTAGAAAATAGTACAAATAAAGAAAAACCCTTGAATGAGTAGGTATCCATACCTTTGACTGGTACTGTAGCTCAGAATATATCACTCCCTGTAATGCTAAAGATCTACACAGCTGCATTGGCTTGAACAGCTAGTTTATAGACACATTATTAGGTAGAAAGTGTTTGAAGTGCTTGAACAGCAGGTTATCAATGAGAAAGTAGGTGGTGGGAAAGACAAGACTGGATCTTTAGGGGGTATGATGTTGCACTAGTAGGTCACTTACTGAAGGACCACTGTTCCCAGGGGATCCATTGATCCCACTTGGCCCAGGGAAGCCCTGCAATCCTGGGTCACCTGTCGCACCTGGGTCTCCTGGGTCCCCGGCATATCCTGTAGAGTTCACACACAAACGCACTCATTTACACTTACACTTGCTTAATGGTGTCTCACACTCACCACTGTATAAAGGATGTACAAGTGTGTGAAAATAAAGAATAAGAATAATCCACCTTTCTCTTTGACCCGGGTGAACTCGCCCTTCCTGCCCTTTGGACCTGGTTGTCCTGTGGCACCAGGGAACCCCTATGGAGGAACGAAATATGGGGACATATAGTAGGGGAATAGAAAGCCAGTGAGAGAGAATTGGAGAGGAAAAAAACAATTAAGAGAAATGTGTGTTTATGATTAATATTGCCATACTGAAAGTGATGTGTGATGTTTGTTGTGAGGTAGATGTGAGTTGTTCTTACAGGCAGACCAATGACACCTCGGGGTCCTGGTTCGCCTGACTCGCCCTGCTGACCAAACTCGCCACTCATTCCAGGGTCGCCTTGGCTACCAGCAGGGCCGGGCAGGCCCGTCGGAGAGTGGACAATGTTGCACTCACACAACCCGTGATCACCTAAAACACATACACAACTCTGATCAGCTGTACTGTAACACATAACGTGATCATACAGCGCACAAATGTACAGCACGGATTACATGTTTGAATAAACACACACTCTAACCTTTCAGTCCTTTTTTCCCTGCAGATCCTGGCCGCCCTCTCGACCCTGCAGATCCCTTGTAGAAGTCCGCCCCTGCAGATATTTAGACACATACACATATTAAGAAATACATTTACAACTCACAACAATCCTTTAATATCATTCCATCATACTAAACAACCTTTTAATAAAATATCAAAATGAATCTCTTTCATGTCCACACTCACATGATCCTGGTGGTCCGGGTGGGCCCCTGAAACCAGGAATGCCGTCGATACCTGGGGGTCCGGGGCTGAGAGCAGGGATACCTGGCTCTCCAGGTGGGCCCATCTCTCCCTTTACACCCGGATCCCCGAACGGACCCCACAGATCCTCCACTGTTGGAGCATAAGGGATAAGGGAGATAGGAGAGGAGAAGATTAATGATTACTGAGAAAACCAAACAAAAAAAAATAAACACAAAACAGTGCACAACTTGTTAACAATACAGTTATAATAATTGTTATTATACCATTATAATAAGTGCAATAGATCTACGTGGCTACATCACTGTAAATAGTGTAAAAGCTGTCTAACACTACTGGCCACTGTCTAGATAAGTAAGGGTTTGGTACTGACCTTGTAATTGACTATCACCCTTCCTAGCAGGAGGTCCAGAGCGGCCTGGCAGACCTTTCTCCCCCTGCAGACCCCTCTCTCCCTGGGGTCCTAGCTGTCCAGGGGGACCAACTACACCCCCACCCCAACATGGACATCAATCAGTATCAATATAACGATCAGTGTTACAGTGAGGGAAAAAAGTATTTGATCCCCTGCTGATTTTGTAGGTTTGCCCACTGACAAAGACATGATCAGTCTATAATTTTTATGGTAGGTTTATTTGAACATTGAGAGACAGAATAACAACAAAAAAATCCAGAAAAACGCATGTCAAAAATGTTATAAATTGATTTGCATTTTAATGAGGGAAATAAGTATTTGACACCTCTACAATAATGGCGCCGGAGAAGAAGGCTGCCGTTTTACAGCCCTCTAATCAATTGTACTATTATGTGTGTTTTTCCGCGTTATTTGTAATTTATTTTGTACATAATGTTTCTGCCATCGTCTCTTATAACCAAAAAGAGCTTCTGGATATCAGGACAGCGATTACTCACCTCGTATTGGACGAAGATACAGGACTGTTTTGCTAGCACAGACTGGAACATGTTCCGGGATTCTTCAGATAGCGTTGAGGAGTACACCACATCAGTCACTGGCTTCATCAATAAGTGCATCGATGATGTCATCCCCACAGTGACCGTACGTACATACCCCAACCAGAAGCCATGGATTACAGGAAACATCCGCACTGAGCTAAAGGGTAGAGCTGCCGCTTTCAAGGAGCGGGACTCTAACCCGGACGCTTATAAGAAATCCCGCTATGCCCTCCGACGAACCATCAAACAGGCAAAGAGTCAATACAGGACTAAGATTGAATCGTACTACACCAGCTCTGACGCTCGTCGGATGTGGCAGGGCTTGAAAACTATTACAGACTACAAAGGGAAGCACAGCCGCGAGCTGCCCAGTGACACAAGACTTCCAGACGAGCTAATCCACTTCTATGCTCGCTTTGAGGCAAGCAACACTGAAGCATGCATGAGAACACCAGCTGTTCCGGATGACTATGTGATCACGCTCTCCGTAGCCGATGTGAGTAAGACTTTTAAGCAGGTCAACATTCACAAGGCCGCAGGGCCAGACGGATTACCAGGACGTGTACTCCGAGCATGTGCTGACCAACTGGCAAGTGTCTTCACTGACATTTTCAACATGTCCCTGACTGAGTCTGTAATACCAACATGTTTCAAGCAGACCACCATAGTCCCCGTGCCCAAGGACTAAGATAACCTGCCTAAATGACTACCGACATGTAGCACTGACGTCTGTAGCCATGAAGTGCTTTGAAAGGCTGGTCATGGCTCACATCAACACCATTATCCCAGAAACCCTTGACCCACTCCAATTTGCATACCGCCCCAACAGATCCACAGATGATGCAATCTCTATTGCACTCCACACTGCTCTTTCCCACCTGGACAAGAGGAACACATACGTGAGAATGCTATTCATTGACTACAGCTCAGCATTCAACACCATAGTGCCCTCAAAGCTCATCACTAAGCTAAGGATCCTGGGACTAAACACCTCCCTCTGCAACTGGATCCTGGACTTCCTGACGGGGTGCCCCCAGGTGGTAAGGGTAGGTAACAACACATCTGCCACACTGATCCTCAACACGGGAGCACCTCAGGGGTGCGTGCTCAGTCCCCTCCTGTACTCCCTGTTCACCCATGACTGCATGGCCAGGCACGACTCCAACACCATCATTAAGTTTGCCGACGACACAACAGTGGTAGGCCTGATCACCGACAACGATGAGACAGCCTATAGGGAGGAGGTCAGAGACCTGGCCGTGTGGTGCCAGGACAACAACCTCTCCCTCAACGTGACCAAGACAAAGGAGATGATTGTGGTCTACAGGAAAAAAAAGAACGTGGACTGAGCACAAGTTCCTTGGTGTCGACATCACCAACGAACTATCATGGTCCAAACACACCAAGACAGTCGTGAAGAGGGCACGACAAAGCCTATTCCCCCTCAGGAGACTGAAAAGATTTGGCATGGGCCCTCAGATCCTCAAAAAATTATACAGCTGCACCATTGAGAGCATCCTGACTGGTTGCATCACCGCCTGGTATGGCAACTGCTTGGCCTCCGACCGTAAGGCACTACAGAGGGTAGTGCGTACAGCCCAGTACATCACTGGGGCCAAGCTTCCTGCCATCCAGGACCTCTATACCAGGCGGTGTTAGAGGAAGGCCCTCAAAATTGTCAAAGCCTCCAGCCACCCTAGTCATAGACTGTTCTCTCTGCTACCGCACGGCAAGCGGTACCGGAGTGCCAAGTCTAGGTCCAAAAGACTTCTCAACAGCTTCTATTTGCACTGCCCCCCCCCCCCCCCCCCCACCCCATCTTTTTACGCTGCTGCTACTCTGTTAATTATTTATGCATAGTCACTTTAACTCTACCCACATGTACATATTACTTCAACTACCTCAACTAGCCGGTGCCCCCGCACATTGACTCTGCACCGGTACCCCCCTGTATATATAGCCTCCCTACTGTTATTTTATTTTACTTCTGCCCTTTTTTTATAAAAAATAAATGCACTGTTGGTTAAGGGCTGTAAGTAAGCATTTCACTGTAATGTCTGCACCTGTTGTATTCGGCGCATGTGGCCAATACAATTTGATTTGATTTGATTTGAACATTACTTAGTACTTGGTGGCAATAAAACCCTTGTTGGCAATCACAGAGGTCAGACGTTTCTTGTAGTTGACCACCAGGTTTGCACACATCTCAGGAGGGATTTTGTTCCACTCCTCTTTGCAGATCTTCTCCAAGTCATTAAGGTTTCGAGGCTGACGTTTGGCAACTCGAACCTTCAGCTCCCTCCACAGATTTTCTATGGGATTAAGGTCTGGAGACTGGCTAGGCCACTCCAGGACCTTAATGTGCTTCTTCTTGAGCCACTCCTTTGTTGCCTTGGCCGTGTGTTTTGGGTCATTGTCGTGCTGGAATACCCATCCATGACCCATTTTCAATGCCCTGGCTGAGGGAAGGAGGTTCTCACCCAAGATTTGACGGTACATGGCCCCGTCCATCGTCCCTTTGATGCGGTGAAGTTGTCCTGTCCCCTTAGCAGAAAAACACTGCTAAAGCATAATGTTTCCACCTCTATGTTTGACGGTGGGGTTGGTGTTCTTGGGGTCATAGGCAGCATTCCTCCTCCTCTGAATCATTCAGATGTTCATTGGCAAACTTCAGACGGCACTGTATATGTGCTTTCTTGAGCAGGGGGACCTTGCGGGCGCTGTAGGATTTCAGTCCTTCACGGCGTAGTGTGTTACCAATTGTTTTCTTGGTGACTATGGTCCCAGCTGCCTTGAGATCATTGACAAGATCCTCCCGTGTAGTTCTGGGCTTATTCCTCACCGTTCTCATGATCATTGCAACTCCACGAGGTGAGATCTTGCATGGAGCCCCAGGCCGAGGGAGATTGACACTTCTTTTGTGTTTCTTCCATTTGCGAATAATCGCACCAACTGTTGTCACCTTCTCACCAAGCTGCTTGGCGATGGTCTTGTAGCCCATTCCAGCCTTGTGTAGGTCTACAATCTTGTCCCTGACATCCTTGGAGAGCTCTTTGGTCTTGGCCATGGTGGAGAGTTTGGAATCTGATTGGTTGATTGCTTCTGTGGACAGGTGTCTTTAATACAGGTAACAAGCTGAGATTAGGAGCACTCCCTTTAAGAGTGTGCTCCTAATCTCAGCTCATTACCTGTATAAAAGACACCTGGGAACCAGAAATCTTTCTGATTGAGAGGGGGTCAAATACTTATTTCCCTCATTAAAATGCATATCAATTTATAACATTTTTGACATGCGTTTTTCTGGATTGTTATGTTGTTATTCTGTCTCTCACTGTTCAAATAAACCTACCATTAAAATTATAGACTGATAATTTCTTTGTCAGTGGGCAAACGTACAAAATCAGCAGGGGATCAAATACTTTTTTCCCTCACTGTATAACAATAAAACACTAAGCAATATAATATAACAGCTCTAAAAGCTAGTCTTTAATCTTCAACATCATATTCAATGAAAGGTTGACTACCTGGAGAAAGATGATACTGTATATTGCACCAATTTGTAAGTCGCTCTGCATAAGAGCGTCTGCTAAATGACTTGAATGTAAATGTACATTTTGATAGTTGATAGTGTAGCCCATCGGCTTAAATGATAATTGACATGGTGATAGAAAAGTGATTGATGAGTTGATTGGCTAATCATACCTCTGTTAGGCCCTCCTGAGGGACCTTCATAATAGATCAACTCCCCTGGTTCTCCGATGGCACCCTAAAAATAACCCCCCGCTGTTAAAACCAACTATATCGTTTGTGTGTTCGGATTTGAATGAAAGTTTAGAATGGACCACTGTCCAATCAAAGATCTGATAGTATCAGTGTTTTGATATGAGGATCAACTGTAGGATCACCTTTTGGCCATCTCTGCCCCTAAATCCTGGTTCTCCAAGGTCCCCCTAGAGTGAAAGACAGAGGGAGAGAGAGAGGGAGATACTTTATGAGAAAGGTGTCCACCACCATCAAGAGCACAAAATATGCAACTGCAACATCTCTAGTAGCCAACAAAGACCAATGCAAAGACCAATGCAAAGACCAACACATACTACTGACTGCAATAATATGGAGATCTTGGCATTGTTTGGCCACACACACATACCCTCAATCCATGCTCTCCATCCCGTCCAGGGACACCCTGAAAGAACACACAAGGATATTCAACAGGTCAGTATCTCACAAGCAACAAAGACAGGTTCAATAAGGTAGTTATAATAATTTATGTGTAATTTATACAGTATAATGTATGTATAATGTTTGTATAATACTAACCCTTTGCCCAGGCATCCCCATAACCCCAGTCTCTCCTTTGTTGTCAGCCTGATAAGTAACAGATACAATCACATTGTTATTTGTCACATGCTTCATAAACAACAGGTGTAGACTAACAGTGAAATGCTTACAATTACGGGCCCTTCCCAACAATGCAGAGAGAAAGAAAATAGAGAAATAATTGAAAAGTAATAACACATAATAATAAATACACAATGAGTAACGATAACTTGGCTATATACACGGGGTACCAGTACCGAGTCTATGTGCAGGGGTACGAGGTTATTGAGGTAGATATGTACATATAACTAGGAATAAAGTGATAACAGGATAGATAAACAGTAGCAAAATGGGCCAATGCAGATAGTCCGGGTAGCTATTTGGTTAACTATGTAACTAACTATTTAGCAGCCTTATAGCTTGGGGGTAGAAGCTGTTCAGGGCCCGGTTGGTTCCAAACTTGATGCATCACTACCGCTTGCCGTGCGTTAGCAAAGAGAACAGTCTATGACTGGGGTGGCTGGAGTCTTTGACAATTTTTAGGGCCTTCCTCTGACACCGCCTGAAGTCCTGGATGGCAGGGATCTTGGCCCCAGTGAAGTACTGGGCCCTACACACTACCCTCTGTAGCGCCTTGCCAAACCAATTGATGACGCAGCCAGTCAAGATGTTCTCAATGGATCTGTTAGTCAACCATTATCTACAGTGCTAACATCTCAACATTATCTCAATTTTGTTAGGATGGAACATGGACCACAGGAGAAGAGAGGTCACTTACCTCACCTCCAGTTTCACCTTTCAACCCTTTCTCACCCTTTCTGCCCTGGAGGAGACAAAGCAGAATAGTGTTAGAGTGATTCAGTTCACACACAATCAAAATATTTATTGTATGTTTTTGAACATATTAAAGTGTGGAGCTGTACTGACGTAGGGTCCGGTATGTGGGCTGGTATGGGGATGGGTGGAGTTCCCTGGGGGACCTGGCTGTCCAGCCTCACCCTGTGGCCAGAGAGGGAAGTGCAGTGAGAATCATGCAGCAGAGATGAGGACAGCATTGATGATCATAATATTTTGTAGTCAAACACATTAAGTGCTGGGCAGTAAAAACTATTTAAAACATACAATGGTGCCTGCATTCACATACCGCGTCTCCTTTGACCCCCTTCAACACTTTGACCATGGTGCCCTGAGCAGCAAACACACCAGGTTAAAACACATCCTTATAATTATTTTTAATCTCATTCACTAGCCATTTATCTTCTAGGAGAGATAAAACATAGTCCAAATTAGTTGGTGTGAGGACCTTACCTTTGGTCCAGGAAGGCCAGGAAACCCTGATGGGCCCTGAGTCAGGAAACAAACCAGAAGAATGATTGGGTATCTATCTAGTACACAGAAGGGTGTATATGGTACAGCAACACATTTATATGCACGCACACACACACAAACACACACACACAACTAACCTGTGGTCCTGGGAGTCCTCTGTAGCCCGACCGACCTGGGTAACCCTGAGGACCCTGAGAGAGAGAAGGGAGGATGGAGAACGAGAGAATGATGCTGGCTCTCTTGTACCATAACTTTAGAGTGACAGGGAAAGGCGGCGGCGCCATACTCACAACAAATCCAGGATATCCGGGCTGTCCTGAATCTCCCTGTAGAAAAGACACACAGAGAGAAGGGGTTATTTCTGTGTAGAGTACAAGAGTACATCATATGTGTGTACTGTACAATATCATGGCATGATGTATCGTTCAAAATAGCCTGTATGTTGATAATACTGTAGTACTGATATCAGGTCTATCCCACAGTTCTCTAGCCCTCTCCTCTTACCCTGAACCGCTCCATGAACACACTCAGCTCCAGAGTGTCTCCCTTCTGTCCCTTTCTGCCCGCCTGACCCTGTGGAGAGAGAGAGAGAGAAAGGAGGAGGGGGGAGGGGGTAGAAAATAAAAGTACAATTAAAAAAGAAAATGGAGGAGAGGGAGTTATTCAATGTCTCAGGCTACAAGGTGGAATCCTTGATTCTATCTCCACAAACGTCTCTGGTGACCAGTGGCGACCTGTCATTCAGGGCAGGTGGGGCATGTTATTGCATGTTATTTTGACATTAATACGTGTCACATATCAGTGTGCAAACAATGTAAAAAAAAACCACTAAAAAATAATTTTGTTAATAAAGCAGCATACAAACTTGGTCTCTTTTTTGCTTTCTTGAGAAAGGCAGCTCCAAAATGCAGGTGTTTTAGCCTAGCTCAGTGCTTTCTGTGGTGGTGGGGCATCCAGCGGAAAATACGGAGCTTAGGGGTTGGTAATGTTCTCTAGTTGCGCTGTGATTGGGTAATGTTCTCTAGTTGTGCCATGATTGGCTCAGTGTTCTGTCATTCATGGGTACACTACGTCACCGCCAAATCTAAGAGAAGAGCTCGAAAATTCAAGCCCCTTGTGTGCTGCCATAGAGTTACATTAGAAGTGCCCATCCAAGAAGGCTCAAGGGCATTGGCCACAGATATATCTACAGTAGCTTTGATTGGACTGATCATGTCAACATCATACTTTCAAAATCTTAGCTAGCAAGCTAGCAGTCATCATCATGAATCAAGTCGACAATCTACTGGCAAATGCTTTTTAATCCTTGTCATATGAAGAGAAATAATGAAGAGAAATTATAGATAAAACGTATCGGTGCTCATCGGCCATAAACATTACACAACAAGTTGGAAATCGCAAATCCAACAATTAGTGGTTTGGAAGGAATCAGTGGCTAACTGCAAGCATTGCAAAGCAATCACTAGCCTGCTATTCAGTGGAGTGGGTGTGTGTTCCAAGTCTGGGTTTAAGGGTCTCTTTTCCAAGCTTAAAAGTATAAACATTCAACATTGGCCATGCTATCAATCCAGCATGACTTCTGCCACACTCAAAACAACTGGAAACTTGGAACTGGGAAATCTGACTTCAGTGAGTTCAAGGCAACTGGGAACTCTGAAAAAAACTAGCTCCGACTGGGAAAATACGTTTTGAATGGTCAACCAACTTGGAATTGCAAGTCGGGAACTCAGGCCTCTTTCTAGAACTCTGACCTGAAGATCACTGATGTCATCTTGTTTTTTTCCGAGTTCCCAGTTGTCTTGAAAGCACCATAAATCCAGAGATTGCCAGACTTTGATGAGAAAGTTTGATGACAAAATTTGCCCATGACTCCAAACAACAAGGTGAGTCCAAAAATGTATTGTATGCTGCTGCATAAATTATGTAATATGCCAGGGAGATATGTATACTGTAGCTAAGAAAGTAATACTAAGTGTATGTTGTGTAGTAAGCTGTTAGTAGCCCATGTGCCTCACCCTAATAATTTGGTCCCTTTTCCCCTCATAACTTAGCCTACTGTTCTGACTTGGTGGTTCACATGTAGCCTATAGCCTGTTTTAGAGAAATGTAATCATTGAATATTGTAAGAGCTTTCATTGTCTGCTTATATGCCCCCTTTATTTATCCTACGGTTCTGACTTGGTGTACAGGGAGAATACTGTAAGAATGGCCCATGTTCTGAATTCTGTCGCTGTAGATTTAAAAAATGCTGAACAAATAGTTAAACTGACTATGTCCGTCCTAGCTCACTCATTAATGTCTTAATCGAAATTACGGATTGCCTCATCCTCTCGCCGTCACCTTATGCCATAGTTTGTACATCTACATTTTCGGTAGAAACCACATTTGTTTAAGCAAGTCAGCCATATCAGCTATGTTTTTTTAAAGGCAGTAAATGAGGCTGAATGAACTGTTTCACTGCCAGACAAGGCTCCGCTGATAGCCAGGTGTAGCAGTGGTAAGATGTTGGGACTGCTGTTGGGACTCTGCTGTTGGGACAGCTTTATGCAGGCCCTAACAGTTTGTGGGCACTGTTTGTCACCGTTATAGTGCAATTAATGTATTGTTTAGTGTTGTGTTGTGTAGTGGCTTTGCTGGCATGCATCTCCCCCCACCCCAATTTTTTTGGTTTGCCCCACCAAGATTTACATGCTAAAATCTACACTGCTGGTGACATCACTGGGTTCATACGTACATTATACCCGGGCTGGCCATCGTAGCCTGGTTGCCCTGCCAACCCTGAGTCTCCATGTGTTCCGTTGCACCCGTCTGCTCCAGGTTTCCCACGAGTCCCTGCCTGTCCTGGGTGGCCCTGGAGATAATATGGAGGAGTTAATGACAGACCTTTACAACATCATTACATGTTGTATTAAGACTACGTACAGTATTAACAAGACAACAATAGATGATTTCTTGGCATGGGTGTGTCTGCTATTTATTTGTTCGGAGAGAAAATTCCCAATACAATCCCACTTACAGGAATACCGTCCGATCCAGAAAACCCAGGAACACCAGTCATCCCCTGCGGAGAAATGAAAAACACTTGATGAGTAGACACTAGATACACTACTAAGTCAGAGTCTGAGATCTCTAGTGAAGAATTTTCCAGTCAGTGTTCCTCACCACAGAACCCTTGGGGCCGATAAAGCCTCCTCTGCCCCGGTCGCCCTTCTCTCCCTGGACTCCCTGGACTCCTGGGTCCCCTAGCCGTCCTGGAGGTCCCTGGGGGCCCTGCAGGCCAAGAGGACCAGGTTGGCCCTGAGGAGGAGGAGAGAGACATGTTAATCAACAGAAGAAAAGAGACATGAAACACATCAAGGGATGGAGACTGATAAATATTAGTGCGGAGCGATTAGTGCTTTTTGAAGTTGGTTCAGTTTCTGTTCACTATTAAAAAATAATCACGGTTTTCGGTTTAAAGTATATTTTTTAAAACATTAAGTACACTATGTATTATGTGGGTTGAATGCTGTAACAACACTGAATAAAACAATTAATAACAGTCCCATGATGGTAGTGACTGTCCAAAAATGCTTATCACTTATTAACCATCATTTATTCACATTACTTTACTTTAATAAACATTTTGTTTTATTTGATGACTTTATGATTTCATTCAAAGTCATCATCTCATCTCTATAGTGCTGCTGCCTACGCTGTCTGACAAAATCACTATTTTAGTAGTTCTTCTAAGTAATTAAGGCATACTTTTATGACTGCTGAATACCAACTATGAATCACTTAGATCATGTCGATCACGGGTTCTATCTTCTCTCCCCGCACACCCCGCTTCTCACCGCTTTCCTTCCATTGAAAATGAATGGGAAGCGGTGTTTCACCGTGTGGTGCCGCCCCTAGTGTACATGGGCCGTCTCCGTGTCTGCGCCACACAGATTGGGCAAGTTTAAGCGAGTGTGCAATGGATTATGGCCATTATAGTTAATTACCACATTTTCTGAGCTAAGCTATGTAGAATATTGGCCTGTTGGAAACTACAACTCCCTACTACATTTCACAGTTCAGGCTTGATCTGATGTATCTTTACAGAAACTGCACATCGAGCTCACAGAAAAAACCTGAACTAAATAGGATTCAAATAATTGAACTGACGTCGTGAATTAGTTGTTTAAAAACACAAAAAATTACCAACATTTCGTTTAATCACTCAGCACTAATCAGTGGTGGAAAAAGTACCCAGTTGTCATACATGAGTAAAAGTAAAAATGCCTTAATAGAAAATGACTCAAGTAAAAGTGAAAGTCACCCAGTAAAATACTACTTGAGTAAAATTCTAAAAGTATTTGGTTTTAAATATACTTAAGTATCAGAAGTAAAAGTATAAATCATTTCAAATTCCTTATATTAAGCAAACCAGACGGCACCAAGTATTATTTTAATGTTTTTACTGATACCCTGGGGCACACTCCAACACTCAGACATAATTTACAAACAAAGCATGTATGTTTAGTTAGTCGGCCAGATCAGAGGCAGTAGGGATGACCATGGATGTTCTCTTTGTGTGTGTGAATTGGACCATTTTCCTGTCCTGCTAAGCATTCAAAATGTAACGAGTACTTTTGGTTGTCAGGGAAAATTTATGGAGTAAAAAGTACATTGTTTTCTTTAGGAATGTAGTGAAGTAAATGTAAAAGTTGTCAAAAGATACCCAAAATAACTACTTAAGTAGTACTTTAAAGTATTTGTACTTAAGTATTTTACACCACTGGCACTATTAAATATACAAATGTACACTACCAGTCAAAAGTCTGGACACACATACTCATTCAAGGCTTTTTCTTTATTTGTACAATTTTTTACATTGTTGAATAATAGTGAAGACATCAAAACTATGAAATAAAACATATGGAATCATATAGTAACCAAAAAAGTGAAAAACAGATCAAAATATATTTTACATTTGAGATTCTTCAAATAGTCACCCTTTGCCTTGATGACAGCTTTGCACACTCTTGGCATTCTCTCAACCAGCTTCATGAGGTAGTCACCTGGAATGCATTTCAATTAACAGGTGTGCCTTCTTAAAAGTTAATTTGTGGAATTTCTTGAGCCAATTAGTTGTGTTGTGACAAGGTAGGGGGGGTATACAGAGGATAGCCCTATTTGGTAAAAGACCAAGTCCATATTATGGCAAGAACAGCTCAAATAAGCAAAGAGAAACAACAGTCCATCAAGCGCTATGATGAAACTGGCTCTCATTAGACCAGTGGAAATGTGTCCTTTGGTCTGATGAGTCCAAATTTGAGATTTTTGGTTCCAACCGCCATGTCTTTGTGAGACGTAGAGTAGGTGAACGGATGATCTCCGCATGTGTATTTCCCACCGTAAAGCATGGAGGAGGAGGTGTTATGGTGTGGGGGTGCTTTGCTGGTGACACTGTCTGTGATTTATTTAGAATTCAAGGCACACTTAACCAGCATGGCTACCACAACATTCTGCAGCGATACGCCATCCCATCTGGTTTGGGCTTAGTGGGACTATCATTTGTTTTTCAACAGGACAATGACCCAACACACCTCCAGGCTGTGTAAGGGCTATTTTACCAAGAAGGAGAGCTGCATCAGATGACCTGGCCTCGACAATCCCCCGACCTCAACCCAATTGAGATGGTTTGGGATGAGTCGGACCACAGAGTGAAGGAAAAGAATCCAACAAGTGCTCAGCATATGTGGCAACTCCTTCAAGACTGTTGGAAAAGCATTCCAGGTGAAGCTGGTTGAGAGAATGCCAAGAGTGTGCAAAGCTGTCATCAAGGCAAAGGGTGGCTATTTGAAGAATCTCAAATATAAAATATATTTTGATTTGTTTAACACTTTTATGGTTACTACATGATTCCATATGTGTTATTTCATAGTTTTGATGTCTTCACTATTGTTCTACAATGTAGAAAATAGTAAAAATAATAATAATAATAGAAAAACCCTTGAATGAGTAGATGTGTCCAAACTTTTGACTGGTACTGTATGTGTTTGTGATAAAAGCAGTGTTTAAACTTTAGACTTACTGTTGTTGTAAAAAGAACATAGAAAGGCCATTAACTCCCCTTATAGGCAGGTAACTGGGGCTTTAGTGTTTAATAGAGGTTAAAGCACCACAACAATGTCAAATGATATAAAAAAAAACTAGAGCAGCTAAACATGCTGCAGTGGGGGTGAGACTCCACCCAGTGGTGGTTTTATGGTTTTATTACAAAAACCCTAAGTGGAGAAACAGCTTTCCTACTCTGGGGGAACAGTAAAGAAGCAGAGAGATGGATTCCGGGCAATGGCCAGGGTGAGGGCTATTAAATACAATTGTTAATAATAACACCAAAGATGGTGGATAAAGGAAGATGTCTTACTCAGGCCGGTTACCAATGAAAAAAATGGTCACAGTTCTGGTCTACTTAAGGGTGGCTCTTCCATAGACACCAATGCAATAGCAGCTGGATCTGGTCTACTTAGTTCATTGACTGTATATGAACCAGAATAGATGAAGGAGTGGCATGTTTTGCTTCCTCTTCCGTCTCTGCTAACAGCCCCCTCCAAATCAAAACCAAACATGGATTTCATGTTGTGTTCTCACTTTATGTGTGCACAAATGTCTGTGTTTCACACCTGTTTGTCCTAGCTAATCAGTTGCTGTACGGGCACCAGAGACGGAAGAGGAAGCGAAACACCCCACCCACTGTTTCTTTCTTGTTCAATGCTGCCACAGACGGGAGGCAGACAAGAAGTAGAATGGATTGTGTGCATGTAAACATGGACATCCATGTTTGGTTTTGATTTGGGGGTGGGGGGGGTAGCATCTAACAATTTGATTTAATTATTTCCTGGGCACCGCTCAGTGATGTAAGGGACAACCTATTAAGAAGAACTGTCTACCGACTGTGGATATACACTGAGTGTACAAAACATTAAGGAGACCTGCTCTTTCCACGACATAGACTGACCAGGTGAATCCAGGTGAAAGCTATGATCCCTTATTGATGTCACTTGTTAAATCCACTTCAATTAGTGTAGATGAAGGGAAGGAGACAGGTTAAAGAAGGATTTTTAGGTGAATGGGCAAAACATTTAAATGCTTTTGAATGGGGTATGGTAGTAGGTGACAGGCACACCGGTTTGTGTCAAGAACTGCAACGCTCATGGGTTTTTCACGCTCAACAGTTTCCCATGTGTATCAAGAATGGTCCACCACCCAAAGGACATCCAGCCAACTTGACACAACTGTGGGAAGCATTGGAGTCGACATGAGCCAGCATCCCTGTGGAACGCTTTCGACACCTTGTAGAGTCCATGCCCCGACGAATTGAGGCTGTTCTGAGGGCAAAAGGGGGGGGGGGGGGGGGGGGGGGGGGGGGGGGGGGTGCAACTCAATATTAGAACACATGCTGCTACACAGATACAGATTTGGTCTTGAGTTATCTCGAACGCATTTACTATGGAATGCAATTAGACCTCGTCTTATTCATAAATTAAATAATTAATAAAGAGGTCTATGTTTGGGCTAAGCCAAGCATAACTTCAGAGAGAACTGGAAACACTCAAAACCTTGGTTAAGACTTTGTAGTATCAACTTATGGCCACAAGGATGAGACGTGTATCTTCTTGAGTTTGTAAAGTTATGCATACTGAAAAACTGCTCTCTTCTGCCATCCAGTGTTTATGTGAGAGACTCAAGTGTGTTTTACTCCTAGGAGTTATGCTATTTGAGAGTGACTATGTGAATGATGGCATACAGTACTTTATATCTGGTAACTCTGCCTGGGAGCATGCCAAACCCTGCATATATGAGTATCTGTTCTGATCTGTGATAACCACTCAGAACAAGTGCTTTCATGCAATGCACCTCTGATACAGCAACCTACTATATCTTACACACACCCCTCTCTCTCTTTCACACACAAACACACACACACACACTTCCTTTAATCTCTCAATCATATGCACAGAGCACACAGTCAGATAAGAGGCTGACTTGGGGCAGGATGTTCTGTCTGATGCAGGATGTTCTGTCTGATGCAGGGTGTTCTGTCAGAGTTAAAAAAGGGAATCAGAGTGTTACTCAGACCAGCATGTTTTGGTTGTTGGCTGTTTGAAACTTCACAAAGTCTAATCTACCAACTAAATATAATGGTCTGATTAAGGTGCTCTGTGTGCAGAAAGAGATAGAACAGAGGGATAAAGAGAGCAAAAGGAGCGGAAGAAGGTCCGTATCTGTAGTGAAGATAGTAATTACAGTGAGGGAAAAAAGTATTTGATCCCCTGCCGATTTTGTACATTTGCCCACTGACAAAGAAATGATCAGTCTATAATTTTAAGGTAGGTTTATTTGAACAGTGAGAGACAGAATAACAACAACAAAATCCAGAATTCTTTTTATAAATTGATTTGCATTTTAATGAGGGAAATAAGTATTTGACCCCCTCTCAATCAGAAAGATTTCTGGCTCCCAGGTGTCTTTTATACAGGTAACGAGCTGAGATTAGGAGCACACTCTTAAAGGGAGTGCTCCTAATCTCAGGTTGTTACCTGTATAAAAGACACCTGTCCACAGAAGCAATCAATCAATCAGATTCCAAACTCTCCACCATGGCCAAGACCAAAGAGCTCTCCAAGGATGTCAGGGACAAGATTGTAGACCTACACAAGGCTGGAATGGGCTACAAGACCATCGCCAAGCAGCTTGGTGAGAAGGTGACAACAGTTGGTGCGATTATTCGCAAATGGAAGAAACACAAAATAACTGTCAATCTCCCTCGGCCTGGGGCTCCATGCAAGATCTCACCTCGTGGAGTTGCAATGATCATGAGAACAGTGAGGAATCAGCCCAGAACTATACGGGAAGATCTTGTCAATGATCTCAAGGCAGCTGGGACCATAGTCACCAAGAAAACAATTGGTAACACACTACGCCGTGAAGGACTGAAATCCTGCAGCGCCCGCAAGGTCCCCCTGCTCAAGAAAGCGCATATACAGGGCCGTCTGAAGTTTGCCAATGAACATCTGAATGATTCAGAGGAGAACTGGGTGAAAGTGTTTGGAGGAGGAGGAATACTGCCTATGACCCCAAGAACACCATCCCCACTGTCAAATATGGAGGTGGAAACATTATGCTTTAGGGGTGTTTTTCTGCTAAGGGGACAGGACAACTTCACCGCATCAAAGGGACGATGGACGGGGCCATGTACCGTCAAATCTTGGGTGAGAACCTCCTTCCCTCAGCCAGGGCATTGAAAATGGGTCGTGGATGGGTATTCCAGCACGATAATGAACCAAAACACACGGCCAAGGCAACAAAGGAGTGGCTCAAGAAGAAGCACATTAAGGTCCTGGAGTGGCCTAGCCAGTCTCCAGACCTTAATCCCATAGAAAATCTGTGGAGGGAGCTGAAGGTTCGAGTTGTCAAACGTCAGCCTCGAAACCTTAATGACTTGGAGAAGATCTGCAAAGAAGAGTGGAACAAAATCCCTCCTGAGATGTGTGCAAACCTGGTGGCCAACTACAAGAAACGTCTGATCTCTGTGATTGCCAACAAGGGTTTTGCCACCAAGTACTAAGTCATGTTTTGCAGAGGGGTCAAATACTTATTTCCCTCATTAAAATGCAAATCAATTTATAACATTTTTGACATGCGTTTTTCTGGATTTTGTTGTTGTTATTCTTTCTCTCACTGTTCAAATAAACCTACCATTAAAATTATAGACTGATCATGTCTTTGTCAGTGGGCAAACGTACAAAATCAGCAGGGGATCAAATACTTTTTTCCCTCACTGTATGTCTCTGTTTCTTTCTCATCGCTGTCTCTCCCTCTCTCTCTCCATGTACTGTAATTATCTTTTAATAATAAAAACAGTAGGACACTCGTGATAGTCATGGCATACATGTAGAGAACACACAACACACACACACGCACACACACACACCTGCAGAGCCTCATTAATCTCAGTGATGTGTTCCACACGGGTGTGTGTGTGAGAGGCCGAGAGGATCAAGTGATCCTGGGGATGCAGATCATGTTGAGACCACTGTGTGAGGCCTGGTACATACCACTTCAAAACACACACACACACACACACACATACATTTGTTTTACTATCCTTGTGGGGACCTAACAATTGATTTACATTCAAAATTGTATTATCCCTAACCTTATGGTGTCCGCATGCTTCCCAGCCAAAACAGTTAGCGCATACAGTGCATTCGGAAAGTATTCAGACCCCTTGACTTTTTCCACATTTTGTTACGTAACAGCCTTATTCTAAAATGGATTAAATTAGGTTTTTTCCCTCATCTATCTACACACAATACCCCATAATGACATAGCAAAAATAGTTTTTTAGAAACTTTAGCATTTATTTAAAAATAAAAGCAAATATCAAATTTACATAAGTATTCAGACACTTTACTCAGTACTTAGTTGAAGCCCCTTTGGCAGCGATTACAGCCTCAAGTCTTCTTGGGTATGACGCTACAAGCTTGGCACACCTGTATTTGGGGAGTCTCCCATTCTTCTCTGCAGATCCTCTCAAGCTCTGTCAGGTTGGATGGGGAGCGTCGCTGCACAGCTATTTTCAGGTCTCTCCAAAGATGTTCTATCGGCTTCAAGTCCGAGCTCTGGCTAGCCACTCAAGGACATTCAGAGACTTGTCCCGAAGCCACTCCTGTGTTGTCTTGGCTGTGTGCTTAGGGTTGTTGTCCTTTTGGAAGGTGAAACTTCACCCCAGTCTGAGGTCCTGAGCGCTCTGGAGTAGGTTTTCATCAAGGATCTCTCTGTACTTTGCTCCGTTCATCTTTCCCTCGATCCTGACTAGTCTCCTAGTCCCTGCCACTGAAAAACATCCCCACAGCATAATGCTTCCACCACCATGCTTCATCGTAGGGATGGTGCCAGGTTTCCTCCGGACGTGAAGCTTGGCATTCAGGCCAAAGAGTTCAATCTTGATTTCATTAGACCAGAGAATCTTGTTTCTCATGGTCTGAGAGTCCTTTAGGTGCCTTTTGGGAAACTCCAAGTGGGCTGTCATGTGCCTTTTACTGAGGAGTGGCTTCCGTCTGGCCACTCTACCATAAAGGCCTGATTGGTGGAGTGCTGCAGAGATGGTTGTCCTTCTGGAAGGTTCTCCCATCTCCACAGAGGAACTCTGGAGCTCTGTCAGAGTGACCATCGGGTTCTTGGTCACGTCCCTGACCAAGGCCCTTCTCCCCTGATTGCTCAGTTTGGCCGGGCTGTCAGGGCGTGTTGTAGGTGTAGTGTAGGAATCAAACGCAGGACGCAGACTGAATGTTCCAAAGGCTGTATTACTGGCCCAACACAGGCAACAGGACAACTAAGCCCGACAGCAAAACCCGCACGAAGGCGAAAGGTAAATGCGCACTAACAGGTGCGACAAAATGTAACGGTGCACACACAAGTGCAAATAAGCTCCAGCACAGTGGAGAAATACGCTCAACCGAGCAAAACACAAACACTGACGGAAACAATCACACACAACACTAGACAAACACAACGAGAAACTTATAGGACACTAATTACGTCAAAACAGAAACAGGTGTGGAAACAAACAGACAAAAGCAAACGAACATGAAACATCTAGCGGTGGCAGCTAGAATTCCGGAGACGACGAACGCCGAAGCCTGCCCGAACAAGGGAGAGAGGCAGCCTCGGCCGAAACCGTGACAGTACCCCCCCCTTGACGCGCGGCTCCAGACGTGCGCCGACTCCGGCCTCGGGGACGACCAGGGGGACGCGGCGCAGGGCGCGTCGGATGCCTCCGATGGAACTCCGTCAGGAGCGACGGGTCCAACACGTCTCTCCTCGGCACCCAGCACCGCTCCTCCGGACCGTATCCCTCCCACTCCACTAGATACTGGAGACCCCCCATCCGACGTCTCGAATCCAAGATGGATCTCACGGAGTACGCCGGTGCCCCCTCGATGTCCAACGGGGGTGGAGGGGTCTCCAAGATCTCATCTTCTTGGAGTGGGCCCGCTACCACCGGCCTGAGAAGGGACACATGGAACGAGGGGTTAATACACTTATACTCCACAGGTAGCTGTAATCTATAACATACCTCGTTCAACCTTCTCAGGACTTTAAATGGCCCTACAAACCGCCGACCCAGTTTCCGACAGGGCAGGCGGAGGGGCAGGTTTCTGGTAGAGAGCCAGACTCGATCACCAGGTGCGTACACCGGTGCCTCACTGCGGTGGAGATCAGCGCTCGCCTTCTGACGTCGGAGGGCCCGCTGCAGATGGACGTGTGCAGCGTTCCAGGTCTCCTCCGAGCGCCGCGCACACTCATCCACCGCAGGAGCCTCGATCTGGCTCTGCTGCCAGGGTGCCAGAACCGGCTGGTAACCTAACACACATTGAAATGGAGTTAGGTTAGTGGAGGAATGGCGTAGGGAATTCTGGGCCATCTCGGCCCAGGGAACGTACCTTGACCACTCCTCCGGCCGGTCCTGGCAGTATGTTCTGAGAAACCTACCCACATCCTGGTTTACGCGTTCCACCTGCCCATTACTCTCCGGGTGGTACCCCGAGGTGAGGCTCACCGAGACCCCCAACCGCTCCATAAACGCTCTCCAGACTCTGGAGGTGAATTGGGGACCCCGATCAGCCACAATGTCCTCGGGTACCCCGTAGTGCCGGAACACATGGGTAAACAGTGCCTCGGCAGTTTGCAGGGCCGTAGGAAGACCCGGCATGGGGAGCAAACGACAGGCCTTAGAGAACCGGTCCACAACGACCAGGATGGTAGTATTCCCTTGGGAGAGGGGAAGGTCTGTTATAAAGTCCACTGAGAGGTGGGACCATGGCCGTTGTGGAACGGGCAGGGGTAGCAACTTACCCCTAGGTAGATGTCTAGGCGCCTTACACTGGGCGCACACCGAGCAGGAGGAAACATAAACCCTCACATCCCTTGCCAACGTGGGCCACCAGTACTTGGCACTAAGACAGTGCACTGTCCGGCCGATACCCGGATGTCCAGAGGAGGGTGACGTGTGAGCCCAATAGATCAATCGATCCCGAACCTCGAGCGGAACGTACTTCCGACCCTCCAGGCACTGTGGTGGACTAGGGTCGGTGCGTAACGCCCCGCTCGAGTTCAGCATCGACCTCCCACACTACCGGTGCCACCAGACATGACTCAGGCAGTATGGGAGTGGGCTCCACGGACCTCTCCTCCGCGTCATACCGCCGAGACAGCGCATCTGCCTTGCCATTCTGTGACCCAGGGATGTACGTGATCTTAAAAGTAAACCTGGTCAAGAACATACTCCATCTTGCCTGGCGAGGGTTCAGCCTCCTCGCCGCCCGGATGTACTCCAGGTTACGGTGGTCCGTCAAAATGAGGAAAGGGTGTTGAGCCCCCTCAAGCCAGTGCCTCCACACCTTTAGAGCCTGTACCACGGCTAACAGCTCCCTGTCCCCTACGTCATAGTTCCGCTCCGCCGGACTGAGCTTCTTAGAATAAAAAGCACAGGGGCGGAGTTTAGGTGGCGCGCCAGACCGTTGTGAAAGCACGGCTCCTAAACCGGCCTCCGACGCGTCCACCTCTACTTGGAACGGCAAAGAGGGATCCGGATGCGCCAGCACCGGGGCCGAGGTAAACAGGTCCTTCAGCCTCCCAAACGCCCTGTCCGCCTCGGCCGACCACTGCAGACGCACGGGACCCCCCTTCAACAGAGACGTGATGGGAGCTGCCACCTGTCCAAAACCCCGGATAAACCTCCTGTAGTAATTTGCAAACCCCAAAAACTGCTGCACCTCCTTCACAGTGGTTGGTGTTTGCCAATTACGCACGGCCGACACCCGGTCTACCTCCATCTTCACCCCTGACGCAGACAACTGATAACCCAAAAAGGAGACCGACTCCTGGAAAAACAGACACTTCTCTGCCTTCACATACAGGTCGTGCTCCACCAGCCTCCGCAACACCCTGCGCACCAGGGCCACATGCTCGACCCGGGTAGGTGAGTACACGAGAATGTCATCAATGTACACCACCACCCCCTGCCCCTGCATGTCCCTGAAGATCTCATCCACAAATGATTGGAAAACTGATGGAGCGTTCATCAACCCGTATGGCATGACCAGATACTCGTAATGGCCCGAGGTGGTACTAAAGGCTGTTTTCCATTCATCACCCTCCCTGATGCGCACCAAGTTGTACGCGCTCCTGAGATCTAATTTCGTGAAGAAACGCGCCCCATGCAACGACTCAGTCATGGTCGCAATCAGCGGGAGTGGATAACTATACTTCACCGTAATCTGATTGAGACCACGGTAATCGATGCACGGACGCATACCACCATCCTTTTTCTTCACGAAAAAGAAACTCGAGGACGCGGGGGAAGTGGACGGCCGTATGTATCCTTGTCTCAGCGATTCGTCTATGTAAATCTCCATAGCTTTCTTCTCCTCCTGAGACAGAGGATACACATGGCTCCGTGGGAGCGCAGCTCCTGCCTGGAGGTTTATCGCACAATCCCCCTGCCTATGGGGTGGCAACCGCGTCGCCCTCGCCTTACTAAACGCAATAGCCAAATCCCCATACTCAGGTGGAACGTGCAATGCGGGCACCTGGTTTGGACTCTCCACCGAGGTAGCCCCTACGGAAACGCCCAAACATCTACCCACACACTGAGCAGACCACTCCATCAGAGCCCTCTCCTGCCACGAAATCGCTGGGTTATGGGTACTCAACCAGGGCATGCCCAGCACCACCGGATACGCAGGAGAGTCAATCAGGAACAGCTGAATCATCTCCTGATGATCCCCCTGCGCACACATCCTAAGTGGCGCCGTGACCTCCCTGATTAAGCCCGTACCCAACGGACGACTATCTAGGGCGTGAACGGGAAAAGGAACATCAACAGGAATGAGGGGAATCCCTAACGCTAAACAAAACTTTTTATCAATAAAATTCCCAGCCGCGCCTGAATCTACCAGCGCCTTATGCTGGGAATGAGGTGCTACCTGTGGAAAACGTACAGGCATACAAAAATGGGCAACAGTGAGCTCTGGGTGAGTGGGGCGCCTACTCACCTGGAGGGAATCCCCAGTGCGGGACCTGTCGTCATCTCCCCTAGGAGGCCATCCCCAGCACCTAGCCGCGGTGTGTCCTCCCCGACCACAGTTGGTGCAGTGGATGGACCCCCTAGCCTGCCGACTCCTCCTCTCTCTAGCGCCAGCGCCCCCGAGCTCCATAGGACAAGGCTCGGAGGCGCTGGAGGGTGGAATGGACGGACCCTCCGCAGGACGTCCGCGGGTAGCCAGCAGGGTATCCAGCCTGATGGACATATCAACCAGCTGGTCGAAAATGAGGCTGGTGTCCCTACAAGCCAGCTCCCGACGGACGTCCTCTCGTAGGCTGCATCGGTATAGATCGATGAGGGCCCGATCATTCCACCCTGCATCTGCCGCTAGAGTACGGAATTCGAGCGCGAATTCCTGGGCACTTCTCCTCCCCTGCCGGAGGAAGACCAGACGCTCCCCCGCCGCTTTCCCCTCCGGGGGATGGTCAAACACCGCCCTGAAGCGGCGGGAGAACTCGGTGTACGTAATCGTCGTGGCGTCGATCTTCCTCCACTCCGCGTTGGCCCACTCCAACGCTTTTCCGGCCAGGCAGGAGATCAGGGCGGACACGCTCTCATGCCCTGAAGGTGCCGGGTGCACTGTGGCCAGGTATAGCTCTACCTGGAGCAGGAATCCCTGACACCCAGCCGCGGTCCCGTCGTAGGCCCTCGGGAGAGATAGTCGGACTCCTCGAGGTTCCGGCGCTGGAATGGGCGGGCTGGCCGATGGTGCTGGCAGGGCGGGCGGCGGTGGAGGCGAACCCCAGCCTCGGAGTGTGGTAATCACCTCCTGCAGGGCGGTCCCCATCTGCAGGAGCTGCTCTTGCTGGTCCCGAACCTGGGCTTCCAGTCTCGTCTGGGCTGCTTCGGCTCCTGCTGATTCCATTGGTGGTGTGTGATTCTGTCAGGGCGTGTTGTAGGTGTAGTGTAGGAATCAAACGCAGGACGCAGACTGAATGTTCCAAAGGCTGTATTACTGGCCCAACACAGGCAACAGGACAACTAAGCCCGACAGCAAAACCCGCACGAAGGCGAAAGGTAAATGCGCACTAACAGGTGCGACAAAATGTAACGGTGCACACACAAGTGCAAATAAGCTCCAGCACAGTGGAGAAATACGCTCAACCGAGCAAAACACAAACACTGACGGAAACAATCACACACAACACTAGACAAACACAACGAGAAACTTATAGGACACTAATTACGTCAAAACAGAAACAGGTGTGGAAACAAACAGACAAAAGCAAACGAACATGAAACATCTAGCGGTGGCAGCTAGAATTCCGGAGACGACGAACGCCGAAGCCTGCCCGAACAAGGGAGAGAGGCAGCCTCGGCCGAAACCGTGACACGGGCGGCCAGCTCTAGGAAGAGTCTTGGTGGTTCCAAACTTCTTCCATTTAAGAATGATAGAGGCCAGTGTGTTCTTGGGGATCATTACATTTACATTTTACATTTACGTCATTTAGCAGACGCTCTTATCCAGAGCGACTTACAAATAGGTGCATTCACCTTATAGCCAGTGGGATAACCACTTTACAATGTTTTTTTTATTTTAATTTTTTATTATTATTATTATTATAATTTTTTTTGGGGGGGTGGGTTGGGGTAAGGGGGGGGGGTAGAAGGATTACTTTATCCTATCCCAGGTATTCCTTAAAGAGGTGGGGTTTCAAATGTCTCCGGAAGGTGGTGAGTGACTCCGCTGTCCTGGCGATCATCAATGCTGCAGAGATGTTTTGGTAGCCTTCCCCAGATCTGTGCCTCAACACAATCCTGTCTCAGAGCTCTACGTACAATTCCTTCGACCTCATGGCTTGGTTTTTGCTCTGACATGCACTGGCAACTGTGGGACCTCATATAGACAGGTGTGTGCCTTTCCAAATCATGTCCAATCAATTGAATTTACTACAGGTGGACTCCAATCAAGTTATAGAAACATGGTCAAAGGAAACAGGATGCACCTGACCTCAATTTCCAGTCTCATAGCAAAGGGTCTGAATAATTATGTAAATAAGGTATTTCAGTTTTAGATTTTTTATACGTTTGCAAACATTTATAAAAAAAAATGTTTTGCGCTTTGTCATTTTGGACTATTGTGTGGGAAAAAAATAATTTAATCAATTTCAGGATAAGGCTGTAATGTAACCAAATGTTGAAAAAGGGAAGGGGTCTGAATGCTTTCCGAATGCACTGTATATTATGATGACATTTTGTGACGTTTTTGTTCGTTTTGGACTTCGATTAGGGTTTTTCTCAGCTGTTCGGGCTCACAATTTTTTTTTTCAGAGGCAAGCCGAAGTTCGGAGCTGAAGTCTACGCCCCTTCGTCGGGTAATTGGTCAACAGTAGGGATTCTTCAATAAAGTCTTGGTTGTCATTCAACGACTTGTTTTCATGCACATTTTTTCATTGAGAAATACTGCACCAAACATCTTAGTTAGATGTAAAAGCCGCACTACTCGCTTAACCCGGAAGCCAGCCGCACCAATCTGTCGGAGGAAACGCTGTCCAACTGATGACCAGTCAGCTTGCAGGCGCCCGGCCTGCCACAAGGAGTCACTAGAACGCGATGAGCCAAGTAAAGCCCCTCTGGCCAAACCCTCCCCTAACCCAGACGACGCTGGGCCAATTGTGCACTGCCCTATGGGACTCTCGGTCACGGCTGGTTGTGACACAGCCTGGGATCGAACCCAGGTCTGTAGTGACGCCTCAAGCATTGTGATGCAGGGCCTTAGACCGCTACGACACTCAGGAGGCCCCCTAACCCTAATTCTAACCCTAATTGTAACCCTAACCCTAAACCTAACCCCTAAGCCTAAAATAGCCTTTTTCCTTGTGGGGACTGGCAAAATGTCCCCACTTGTCCGAATTTTCCTAGTTTTACTATCCTTGTGAGGACTTCTAGAACTTCAAGGAGAGTAAAACCAAACACACACACACACACACACACTTAATTTAGTCACAACTCAGTCGTCGGCGGTCTCTCAGCTTGACAGTGTGTTTTGACAGTCTCCATGTCTTTCCCAAGGCCTGAGTAGGGTCATGAGGTCGTGACCTGTGAGGTTCAGTGTTGACCCTGTTACTGTGAGAACCAACAAACACACAAACCACTCAAGTCCAGGGGATGTTTGTTCTGTGTACTGAGACTGTTGGGGCTATGGGCTAGGACAGAGGTTCACAAACATTTGTCGTCCACGACCCCATTTTGATATCTGGTTTTAATGCAGACGAGAGCACTGCTGAATTCAGCTTCAAACAGATATGTTGTTGTGAAGTGGAAACGTCTAGGAGCAACAACGGCTCAGCCACGAAGTGGCTCACAGAATGGGACCGCCGAGTGCTGAAGCACTCTCTTTACTTTACATAGAGTGTAAAAACCGTGTGTCCTCGGTAGCAACACTCACTACCGAGTTCCAAACTGCCTCTGGAAGCAATGTCAGCACAATAAATGGGTTTCCATGGCCGAGCAGCCACACACAAGCCTAAGATCACCATACGCAATGCCAAGCGTCGGCTGTAGTGGTGTAAAGCTTGCCGCCATTGGACTCCGGAGCAGTGGAAATGCGTTCTCTGGAGTGATGAATCACGCTTCACCATCTGGCAGTCCAATGGACAAATCTGGGTTTGGCGGATGCCAGGAGAATGCTACCTGCCCGAATGCAAAGTGCCAACTGTAAAGTTAAGTGGAGGAGGAATAATGGTCTGGGGCTGTTTTTCATGGTTCGGGCTAGGCCTCTTAGTTTCAGTGAAGGGAAATCTTAACGCTACAGCATACAATGACATTCTAGACGATTCTGTGCTTCCAACTTTGTGGCAACAGTTTGGGGAAGGCCCTTTCTTGTTTCAGCATGACAATGCCCCCGTGCACAAAGCGAGGTCCATACAGAAATGGTTCGTCGAGATCGGTGTGGAAGAACTTGACTGGCCTGCACAGAGCCCATCGAACACTTTTGGGATGAATTGGAACGCCGACTGCAAGCCAGGCCTAATCGCCCAACATCAGTGTTCCCACAGCAATGTTCCAATATCTAATGGAAAGCCTTCCCAGAAGAGTGGAGGCTGTTATAGCAGCAAAGGGGGACCAACTACATGATACACTACATGCCCATGATTTTGGAATGAGATGTTCGATGAGCAGGTGTCCACATACTTTTGGTCATGTAGTGTATCAAGCAACCCTACATGGGTCACGACCCCTTGTTTGGGAACCGCTGGGCTAGGAGCTGGAAGCGGGGGACCCAAAGTAATAAAGGGGAAATAATCAACTCAGAGAGAGCAAAAACAAAGTCAGACAACAATGCAAACTTCCTGAATCCCATTATCACAGAGTGATAGAGTGGCTCATTGTGGATTAGAGTCTGTCATGTATCTGACCACCAAGTACTGCAATTGAGAGGGGGAATGTTTGTGTGTGTGTGTGCGCCATCGATGCATGTCTATGCATTTTGGCAATGGCTTTTGGCAACGCATACCAATGTGAGTTAGAAAACATGACCATAAAAAAGTTAATGTGATATGGGTAGATGTCAAAGGTCAACATGAGCCCTAGTCAAGGGCAGTATAAGGCTTGGCATGTATTCTGGGGTGTTTTGGGTGAGATTGTTTTGGGGTACAAGGGTTGTTTTGACCAGGGGGGTCTCGTCCTGTCCCAACTTTAGTATCATGGTAACTACGCTAAATAGTTTACATTTAATGGTACTATGGCTGGATGTCAAATGTATTGAACATATGTGCTGTGTCCATATAAATCATTTGAATGGTGACCATTCTCTTTATAATCGAAACCAAGAAGACCATTACATCTTGCCCAGTCTTATAGACTAATTGGTTTGTTATGACAATTTAAGGGTTTACAATCACAAGCACATGTTGGGTTCGTCACATGACATCATCATTCTCACCCCTCTCCAGGGGAATGGACACAGAAGTCTTCACAAATAGAGGGATAGGAGAACATAAAGGTGTAGTGAGGATGGATATCATTCCCAGGCCAACCTCTTTAAGAAATACAATGAGAACAGCAGGAGAGAACTAATACCAAACAGTAAAGACCAGCACTTTGGGATACATACTGTAGCAGTGAGATGGATGTTCCTCCAACACAGGTAGGAGAGACAGAAAGAGAACATCTGGACTGTATTTTAAACAGTAGAGAAAAGTTATAGTGAATGAGCTGTCAAACCTGCTTAGAGCTATGAGACACATTCAGGCTCATAAACCAGTGCACCTGCATAAACACAGAATCTGAAAAATACATCTGAGGATATCAGCTCTTCAAACATGCTCTCTCCTTTCGTTTGATTCAAAAGGGCATATATATTTTGAGCTGTGTGTGTGTGCATGAACATGTGTGCGTGTACGTGTGTGTGTGCGTGTGTGTGTGTGTATTTGAGACCTTGGGTGTTTCTCAATATGCATACTACCGTGCTCCACACTCTCATGCTCCAAGTGCATTCTCCGAGGACGTTCTCTTGAGTACGTTCTTGTGAGGACGAGAGTGTGGAGAATGCATAAAACATTTCATTTGAGAAGCACTCGCACTCCCCCTACTGTATTACCTCACGCTTCACCTCCCCATTCACCTCCCCATTCACTGAACCTTCTTCCAGCCAGGACAATGGCAACAATAGAGACGAAAACAAGATAGACACAAAGAAAACATTTTACTTCATATTTAACAGCTAGATATATGTGAATCGTAATCTAGCTAGCCAGCTAGCTAGTTAACCTCTTAAGGATCTGACCCTTATTTTTAAAATTTCACCTAAAATGACTGCCTATAGCTCAGGACCTGAAGCAAGGATATGCATATTCTTGATACAATTTGAAAGGAAACATTTTGAAGTTTGTAGAAATGTGAAATTAATGTAGGAGAATATAACACAATAGATCTGGTAAAAGATAATAAAAATGATTTTCATCATCTTTGAAATGCACGAGAAAGGCCACAATATAATATTGCAGTTTATGCGCAATTTAGATTTTGGCCACTAGATGGCAGCAGTGTGTGCGCAAAGTTTCAGATTGATCCAGTGAATCATTGCAATACTGGACTATTTTGTATCAAGTCTGCCCAAATGTGCCGAATTGGTCAATTGATACATTTTCAAGTACATAACTATAGAGAACATACAAAAATGATATGGTAATACAAAATGTAAGTTTACACACTCCCAGGAATTTCATACATGATGGATCATTAGCTTATACACTAACTTTCACACATCTAGATGGCCGGGCGGGGTGGGTGTGGAGCCAGAGACAGCAGGGGTTGAAACTGTAGAACCCAGTTCCTACATTTGAATATAAAAATGGATTTTTATCAAACAAAACTATGCTACATTTTATCTCTGGGACCCTTAGGATGACAAATCAGAGCAAGATTACTGAATGTAAGTACATTATTTACCTTCAGAGGTGAATGTATCAAACCAGTTGTTGCTATATGTGAATCGTAATAATGTAGCTAACCAGATAGTATAACTGCCAAAAATTACCTAAAACCAATGTTATCCAAGGTAGAGGTCAATTCTTTGTGGATAGCTAGCTAACAATTATTTGTGGCTATCTGGCTAGCTAACAGTAGTAGTTAGCCAGTTAGCTCTATTGACTTACTATGGGCTTACAACCTACGCACACTACAGTGGGCATTGTAGGCAGGCAACCATGCCACAATTAACACAGCATGTATTTATTAACATAACAAGATAAAATAGTGTAGTCAGGCAACATATGATATGTGAATAGGCAACATTTCATGCCGAAGTCGGAGTGTACAGTGGCTTGCGAAAGTATTCACCCCCCTTTTTTCCTATTTTGTTGCCTTACAACCTGGAATTAAAATTGATTTTTGGGATGTTTGTATCATTTGATTTACACAACATGCCTACCACTTTGAATATGCAAAATATTTTTGTGTGTGAAACAAACAAGAAATAAGACAAAAAAACAGAAAACTTGAGCGGGCATAACTATTCACCCCCCCCCCCCCCCCCCCCCCCCCCCCCCCCCCCCAAAGTCAATACTTTGTAGAGCTACCTTTTGCAGCAATTGCAGCTGCAAGTCTCTTGGGGTATGTCTCTATAAGCTTGGCACATCTTGCCACTGGGATTTTTGCCCATTCTTCAAGGCAAAACTGCTCCAGCTCCTTCAAGTTGGATGGGTTCTGCTGGTGTACAGCAATCTTTAAGTCATACCACAGATTCTCAATTGGATTGAGGTCTGGGCTTTGACTAGGCCATTCCAAGACATTTAAATGTTTCCCCTTAAACCACTCAAGTGTTGCTTTAGCAGTATGCTTAGGGTCATTGTCCTGCTGGAAGGTGAACCTCCATCCCAGTCTCAAATCTCTGGAAGACTGAAACAGGTTTCCCTCAAGAATTTCCCTGTATTTAGCGCCATTCATCATTCCTTCAATTTTGACCAGTTTCCCAGTCCCTGCCGATGAAAAACATCCCCACAGCATGATGCTGCCACCACCATGCTTCACTGTGGGGATGGTGTTCTCGGGGGGATGAGAGGTGTTGGGTTTGCACCAGACATAGCGTTTTCCTTGATGGCCAAAAAGCTCAATTTTAGTCTCATCTGACCAGAGTACCTTCTTCCATATGTTTGGGGAGTCTCCCACATGCCTTTTGGTGAACACCAAACGTGTTTCCTTATTTGTTTCTTTAAGCAATGGCTTTTTTCTGGCCACTCTTCTGTAATGCCCAGCTCTGTGGAGTGTACGGCTTAAAGTGGTCCTATGGACAGATACTCCAATCTTCGCTGTGGAGCTTTGCAGCTCCTTCAAGGTTATCTTTGGTCTCTTTGTTGCCTCTCTGATTAATGCCCTCCTTGCCTGGTCCATGAGGTTTGGTGGGCGGCCCTCTCTTGTCAGGTTTGTTGTGGTGCCATATTCTTTCAATTTTTTAATAATGGATTTAATGGTGCTCCGTGGGATGTTCAAAGTTTCTGATATTTTTTTATAACCCAACCCTGATCTGTACTTCTCCACAACTTTGTCCCTGACCTGTTTGGAGAGCTCCTTGGTCTTCATGGTGCCGCTTGCTTGGTGGTGCCCCTTGCTTAGTGGTGTTGCAGACTCTGGGGCCTTTCAGAACAGGTGTATATATATTGAGATCATGTGACAGATCATGTGACACTTAGATTGCACACAGGTGGACTTTAACTAATTATGTGACTTCTGAAGGTAATTGGTTGCACCAGATCTTATTTAGGGGCTTCATAGCAAAGGGGGTGAATACATATGCACTTTACCATTATTAATTTTTTAGAATTTTTTGAAACAAGTTATTTTTTTCATTTCACTTCACCAATTTGGACTATTTTGTGTATGTACATTACATGAAATCCAAATAAAAATCAATTTAAATTACAGGTTGTTATGCAACAAAATAGGAAAAACGCCAAGGGGGATGAATACTTTTGCAAGGCACTGTATTTTCTCTTGCTTCAGCTCAAATAATGGCCGCCATTGATTTTCCGAAATATTTCGTCATTTTTATGTGGTTGCGTCATATTTAATTGCATACTTTCCATTGAAGTTTGCATCGATGCATGCTTCAAAATATGTACAAACGGACTGCCCTCCGTGCTCTATTTCGCACACTTTGATTTGGACTCATACTCCGACCCTCCCGTGCTCCAATTTGCGTGCTCTGAGCATTTTGAAAAACACCCCTTGAGTCTTTTTAGCTTTGCTCTCTCAGTCTTTGAAGGCTGGTTATGGATATAACAGAACTTTCAGCATGACAGAGATATTCGCTGCCCTGCTCCTGCTGATTACTCCTCTGTCTTTTTCTATCCTCTCCCTCCGTCTCGTTTCATGAGAGATCAGGCCTAAAGGGGACACAACCATCTGTCAATCAGGATCCAAATCAAAATAAAAAAGGAAGACAGGAAGAAAAGAGAGGGATGGGCATGGTCTGAAAGGCATGGACGGGGGTCAATAGTTGACCTGCTGATTGGACCTTTCTTCTTTTTGCCCTCTTCAACTCTTTCAACTGCTCCATCTCAATCACAATCTCTTTCTCTTTCTTTCTCTGTCTGGTATTGCTGTCACGCATTCACTATTGATCACTCCTCTCCTTGTGAGATACTGTACCTCTGTCCATTCTTCCCACTCCCTGTATTTCTATGCCATGCTCGCTCTCTCTTTCTTGCCTCATCCCCCAAGTATTCTAATCAAAATATTAGAAATAGAGGAAGAAAGAAAGAGAAACATGGAAACAGAAAGAGAGAGAGAGAATAGAAGATATGAAAGGCTAAATTCCTGTTTCTGCTACAAAGATGTCTCTTTTTCCACACCACCACCATGGTCAAATTATCTTGTGATCCAACCAGGTGCTACAAAGAACCTCTGCGCCACTCTGGTTTTGGCACATTTCACAGCATTAACATCGAGAATAGTTATATTCTGCCCATAACACAGATGAACAATGTTACACATTCCCAGTTACCTCACCATGTCATATGAGGGGAAAAAGCACTGGTGTACGTGTGTGTGTGTTGTATGTGTGTATGAGAGAGAGAGAGAGAGAGAGAGAGAGAGAGAGAGAGAGAGAGAGAGAGAGAGAGATCCGCCACGCAGGCTTCCCTTCCTACCTTTCCTTACCACTGGTCCATGTTTAGAGCCCAGTGGTAGAATAGGCAAATAGAGAAAAAAACAGGCCTGGCTTTGATTAGTGTGTAACTCTGTAAGCCCACAGCAGTAAACATGCTATGATCCCAAAACAGACACCCCCTGAAACCCACACACTGAAGTCTTTAGTCTTTATGTACCCCCACCCAGAAACACAGGACCAGGGCTGCCATGGGAACAGGACTAGCTCATTACCAGACACACAGACAAGGAGAGAGACAGACAGACAGACAGATATAGATAATAAATAAATAAACAGGTGAGGGAGATAGGGAGAAAGCTAGTGAGATGGAAAGAGGGAGGGAAAAGAGGAGAAAGAAGAGAGAGAGAGAGAGAGAGAGAGAGATGTTGTAAAAGTTCAGTAAAACACAATTTCTTCCAGTTCTGGATTAGATCTACCATCCACTGTCTGCTTTCTGTCTCCAAGTATCAGATCGCCTCTCACTTCATCAGAATGGCACTAACCACTCACACGCACACACATGCATGTACTCTTGCAGGCACACACACAAACACACTGTCAGAGGTGAGGAGTGAGTGGTGTGTAAAGGTGTGTGTCGGTGGGTTACTGACAGAAATCTTAACAGCACTGAAGCCTCTTCTCCCCTCTCTCATCTCTCTCCCTCTTGCAGCTGTTCTGTCTGCTTGAAGTAGAGCCTCAATGAAAGCCCATAAGCCTCTGCAATACTGTTAACCTGTTGCTGCTGCTGCATACCTACACATCAATCCATACACTGCATGTTGGTTCTCTCCAAATGCTTACCCCCACTATCACCGGCAGTCATAGGTCAAATGACCCAACAGACATAGGAGTGTGTGAGGGGAATGTTGGACAGCGTCACTGTGATCATTAATCCGATTTCGACATTTCAGAAGGATTCTTGCTGTGCCGTGTGAAAGTCAGGATCAGGAGGGATCTGATCCCTGCTATAGGAGAGGGGACTGAATCTAACCCCCTAACTCAACAAAGGCCTGGTCTAAGCTGGTCTAATGTGAGGAAGTCCACTTTACCAGTCAGTAATGAGAACCAGAGGCATAGGTGTGACACACACACATACATACAGTGTCTCTCTCTCTCTCTCTCTCTCTCTCTCTCTCTCTCTCTCTCTCTCTCTCTCTCTCTCTCTCTCTCTCTCTCTCTCTCTCTCTCATATATATATTGGGTTTATTGGCAACCATTATTTCTGTAGAGGAGCCAGAGCTCACATTTACCTTTTAAAGACAAGCAGCCTCGGTGCATGACTAATTGCTTACATACTTGTGTGTGTCTGTTTAGCCTACTTTAGACAGAGATGTAATTGAAGTCACACACTCCTCTGTAAGTGCAGTGTATCATTCAGCATGCCCTCTTCAGAGAGCTGGTCTGTGCGTAGCTGATCAGGGCCCAGTGATGCCAAACTAGTTCTGGACAAGCTCCCAGATTATCACTTATCTACAGTCTGCCTCTTCAAGTTCACAGAAATGCTTCAGCACAAGGGCAAGACAGGGGGTTAAGCCATGTGTGCTTTATTCTTGTTCATCCCACATTGTGTTGTTTGTTTGTTTGTGTTTGTGTGTGTGTATGTATGTGGGTGTGTGAGAGAGAGAGGTTTTGAAAGCGTAGAAATAGTATAAGTCTAATTTGGACCCAGCATCTCTATAGAGAGAAAAGGTTCTGGAATGACCCAAAAATAGTAGGATGGGAAAACACAGACTCCAGGCCTGACCTCTGACCCCTGGAGAAGAATCAACAAACAAGCATGTGGCCGGAAGCCTCTGTCTGTATGTCTGAGGGTGGGGAACAACAGAATGTCTGTCTGTCTGTCTGTCTGTCTGTCTGTCTGTCTGTCTGTATGCCTAAGGAAGGGGAACAACATAATGTCTATCTGTCTGAGGGCGGGGTACAACAGAATGTCTGTCTCTCCGTCTGTCTGTCTGAGGGCGGGGAACAACAGAATAACCCCTTGGGTCTGATTCCTGATGTATGAGAGGGATTTTGGTTGAGGGTCAGAGGTGATAGGCTAAAAGTGAAAGGTTGATTGATGAAAGTAATACCTTGACAGATAGTGTATGAGTGTATGAAGGTACACTACCGTTCAAAAGTTTGGGGTCACTTAGACATTTTCTTGTTTTACATGAAAACATACATGAAATGAGTTTGAATTGGAAATATACCAAAATGAATAGGAAATGTAGTCATTGACAAGGTTAGAAATTATGATTTTTAATAGAAATAATAAATTGTGTCCTTCAAACTTTGCTTTCGTCAAAGAATCCTCCATTTGCAGCAATTACAGCCTTGCAGACCTTTGGCATTCTAGTTGTCAATTTGTTGAGGTAATCTGAAGAAATGTCACCCCATGCTTCCTGAAGCACCTCCCACAAGTTGGATTGGCTTGATGGACACTTCTTACGTACCATACGGTCAAGCTGCTCCCACAACAGCTCAATAGGGTTGAGATCTGGTGACTGTGCTGGCCACTCCATTATAGACAGAATACCAGGTGACTGCTTCTTCCCTAAATAGTTATTGCATAGTTTGGAGGGGTGCTTTGGGTCATTGTCCTGTTGTAGGAGGAAATTGGCTCCAATCAAGCGCCGTCCGCAAGGTATGGCATGGCATTGCAAAATGGAGTGATCGCCTTTCTTCTTCAATATCCCTTTTACCCTGTACAAATCTCCCACTTTACCACCACCAAAGCACCCCCAGACCATCACATTGCCTCCACCATGCTTGACAGATGGCATCAAGCACTCCTCCAGCATCTTTTCATTTGGTCTGCGTCTCACAAATGTTCTTCTTTGTGATCCGAACACCTCAAACTTCGATTCGTCTGTCCAACACTTTTTTCCAATCTTCCTCTGTCCAGTGTCTGTGTTCTTTTGCCCATCTTAATCTTTAATTGTTATTGGCCAGTCTGAGATATGGCTTTTTCTTTGCAACTCTGCCTAGAAGGTCAGGATCACGGAGTCGCCTCTTCACTGTTGACATTGTTTTGTGGGTACTATTTAATGAAGCTGCCAGTTGAGGACCTGTGAGGCATCTGTTTCTCAAACTAGACACTAATGTATTTGTCCTCTTGCTCAGTTGTGCACCGGGGCCTCCCACTCCTCTTTCTATTCTGGTTAGAGCCAGTTTGCGCTGTTCTGTGAAGGGAGTAGTACACAGCGTTGTACAAGATCTTCAATTTCTTGGCAATTTCTCGCATGGAATAGCCTTCATTTCTCAGAACAAGAATAGACTGACGAGTTTCAGAAGAAAGTTATTTGTTTCTGGCCATTTTGAGCCTGTAATAGAACCCACAATTGCTGATGCTCCAGATACTCAACTAGTCTCAAGAAGGCCAGTTATATTGCTTCTTTAATCAGCACAACAGTTTTCAGCTGTGCTAACATAATTGCAAAAGGGTTTTCTAATGATCAATTAGCCTTTTAAAATGATAAACTTGGATTAGCAAACACAACATGCCATTGGAACATGGTTGCTGAAAATGGGCCTCTGTACGCCTATGTAGATACAGTGGGGAAAAAAATATTTAGTCAGCCACCAATTGTGCAAGTTCTCCCACTTAAAAAGATGAGAGAGGCCTGTGATTTTCATCATAGGTACATGTCAACTATGACAGACAAATTGAGAGAAAAAAATCCAGAAAATCACATTGTAGGATTTTTAATGAATTTATTTGCAAATTATGGTGGAAAATAAGTATTTGGTCACCTACAAACAAGCAAGATTTATGGCTCTCACAGACCTGTAACTTCTTCTTTAAGAGGCTCCTCTGTCCTCCACTCGTTACCTGTATTAATGGCACCTGTTTGAACTTGTTATCAGTATAAAAGACACCTGTCCACAACCTCAAACAGTCACACTCCAAACTCCACTATGGCCAAGACCAAAGAGCTGTCAAAGGACACCAGAAACAAAATTGTAGACCTGCACCAGGCTGGGAAGACTGAATCTGCAATAGGTAAGCAGCTTGGTTTGAAGAGATCAACTGTGGGAGCAATTATTAGGAAATGGAAGACATACAAGACCACTGATAATCTCCCTCGATCTGGGGCTCCACGCAAGATCTCACCCCGTGGTGTCAAAATGATCACAAGAACGGTGAGCAAAAATCCCAGAACCACACGGGGGGACCTAGTGAATGACCTGCAGAGAGCTTGGACCAACGTAACAAAGCCTACCATCAGTAACACACTACGCCGCCAGGGACTCAAATCCTGCAGTGCCAGACGTGTCCCCCTGCTTAAGCCAGGACATGTCCAGGCCCGTCTGAAGTTTGCTAGAGTGCATTTGGATGATCCAGAAGAGGATTGGGAGAATGTCATATGGTCAGATGAAACCAAAATAGAACTTTTTGGTAAAAACTCAACTCGTCGTGTTTGGAGGACAAAGAATGCTGAGTTGCATCCAAAGAACACCATACCTACTGTGAAGCATGG